GTGGGCAATGTCCGTGTGACAGTTGGTGACAGGAGCGTGTGCTCAACCGCTGGCGACTGGTGACCTGTGACGTATTGGTTGAATGGCTACCGTCTTTTGCAGGCGGCTAAGGGAAATATTGCGAGATAGGTTGCGTGTCGTGATACTCTCAAATGCAAAGCCTAGGGTATTCAGAAGCTGGTAACGACTGCAAACCATAAAACTTGGGTTCTGTCCTCTTTCCGGGAGATTGGCCACCAGTTGTTGTGCAGCACCCACTACCTGTGTCACCTCTCCTCAGTTTTCTTTTTCATCTTCCATACAAAATGCCCCCACATGCTATCAGCAAGAGAGAACGTGAGCACCTTCTCACCGAGGGCCCAAAGGCGCTTCGTCCTTTCTTCCCACGGCTTTTCGAACAGTTGGATAAAATCGAGGCCATCCATTCACCCAAGACATTTCCTCAACTCCGCAGGGCTTTCCCCAAAGTCTCCAAAGCGAAAGCCACTCTGTTGAATACTTACAAAAAGGTATTGCCGAGGTCTTCAGAGGACAGAAAGGATGAAGACGAAAATCCATATCCACCCCACCTCCAATTTGTTGAGGAAGTCGTCCGCAGAAGGGTCGCAGTCATGACGTTCAATGAATTGGGAGACCATCTTGGCCTATTTTCATTTGAGGACGCAAAGGTGACGGAGATGCGCCTGAAAACCGCACCTGAATGGGCCGAAACCGAGTGCTGGATTCCATATGTCGAAGACTATCTGAAACGGGCTGTAATTACACCCGCGGACTTCCCAACGCACGCAAATCTCAAGAAGGAAGAAGCCTATTTCACGAACCGAGAATTCAAAAACACATGTGAGGCCTTGGAGGAAGGAGAAGTCCTCAGATTCCAGACTCTGATGAGCGAGCTGCTTGTGGAAGTGGAGATATGCACATCGGTCTATGACTATTCGGTTAAGAGTTTTGGGATATTTTGGGTTGCGAACCAACTTTGGGACTTATCGACTCACCCTAAGGATTGTAAGCTCTGTACAAAAATAACTACGAGCTTGCTGCGATATTTGCTTGCGGGGATACTGTTTTATGCGTCTTGTGGAAATCTTTCGATTGCTTGATGGTTTTCAGTTAGAGTGTGGTAGCTTAGATTGGGAAAAGCGGTGGTTCGAGTAACGGGAAGCTGGCCATGGCAATAGAAGAGGAGGGAAAACAGGTCAGGAGCATTTGTTCGTTCTCCCGGCTCTGGGGAGGCGAAACTTCTTCACTTACATAAAGATCTGACGAGAGAAACAGTTGGCTTCTGAGCCGAGCTCGACTTGGTGAGGAACTATTTGGCGGCGGTGCTTTTGGTAGAACCAACTGTTTGATGGGTATGGCCGAGTGCATAGTGGCTTGAATTCCAAGACGCGATATGTGGATTGAAGGGGACGTTGCCGTGATGATGAGGAGAGGCAGGGAGAAGGGGAGTACGGGTAATACAATCTGTTCTTTCTGGATCTGGGGTGTCGGCTCCTATCCCAAAATCTCCGCTGCTTTTCCGAATGTTCTCGTTTGCCTGTTGGCTCCAATTAACCGCTTTGTGTTGTTGTGTACTGCGTATTCTCACACCCGCCGTATGTGCGGCAGGGGTTGTTGGTTCGGTGAAGTGACGTCGCCCTTTGTCGGTCGTCGGATCCGGGTCGCGTACCCCGCCGACTTGTTTGCCCAAAACTTGCGGCTCTGACACACGGCTCAGGAACGGCTTGTGGGTTTGACGGCGTTTGCGTCAGAGGTAAAGAAGCTATTGTTTGTGCAACGGGGTATAGGTGTAGAAAATAGAATCTTTTTCGAGTGTCCTGTCAATTTGCCGAGTCAGTTCCTTAAATCACCGAACTACGTCCACGCCACCAGACACCCCTGCGTCAGACACTCGTCAACCGTCACGGCAATTTCTGGCAGAAACTCCTACCTGACATCGACCATGACATACCTACGGGTGAGCGTTTGGTTGTTTCTGGCAGCAACTGGTACCTGCTACCAGTATGACAAAGACCCAGCGGACGACAAGGCTGGAGAGATATTGCGAAAGTTCCTGTGGAATTACATGGCCCTGGTGTTGCTTTGTGAGGAGATAGCGATAAAGGGAAAGGTCACAAGAGAGTGAAGCTACGTAGGCAGATCAGCAGGGGTTCAAATTGACAGAGGGAGAACAATGAGGGAATGCATAGGTATGCAGGGAGACAAACTCGAGTTGATTTAGACATTGCGCGAACCTGTTCATTCCGGGGTGCAGACGACGATGTGCTGGTGAGTGTCTTGTATGAAAGACCTCGAGAATACAGAACCAAGCCAGGACGAGGAGGTTGGCTGCATGAGCGAGCGCCCTCAAATCCAGACGTCATAGACTGCCGGCCACTCCTCTAGTTGTTGGTTCGAAGGTTTCCTTTGTCCATAATATTACTAAACCTGGATGGGGGTTGTCGCGTTGGTTCTCTTACCGCGCTCGTCTTTCTCCTCACTACCAACTCCTCCCCGAGTGGTAAGAAAGCGGCCTGTTGACTTGATGGCGCTTAAGCGACGAGGGTAATAGACGAAGACAAATCTTTGGAACGAAAGTTCGCTCGAAGGCTAGGAAACTGGGCACACTGGGTTGCCCATGAGAAGAGGACAGACAAGAACCGGTCTGTCTTCGTCGTGTAATCCTCAATATCATGAAAGTTTGACGACGCCTAACAGGCAGAGAGGGACTGTCAGACTATTCCACCATAAAAGTATAAAGAAGGGAGCACAGGCTCTAGTAGTTTTTCTACCCACATATGCCAGACCAATTCAACACATTCTCGATTCTCACATTCTAACAGCAGATCATCATCATCACACATCTCATTACTTCAACATCGATAACGAGCACCATTAATTTAGCCTCGCTACCTTCTGGGAATATGTCAGCAATGGCCTTGAAGTTGGAGATTCCAGAGGCTGATTGGCCTCGACTCATCCATGGGCGGATATCCAAGTCGAACGGACAACAAGCCTCGAACGCACCAGTTGTATCTTGCTACTCTCATCGCACTCTGACAGGAATACCTTATGATTGGCTGACTTACAAAGAGGACGGTGACGCTGCCATCACGGAACCCCTGTCGGAAAAGCTAGCGGAAGTCATGGTTTCCGACAAAATGGGTGAACTTCCTACGATTTTATGGAAGGGGGACAAAATGGAGGCGCCGAAGGACCTGGGTGACATCACCAAACCGATCTGTGACCTTGAAAAAATGAAGAGGCGGGAGGCCCTGCGAGTCCTCGCCGAATCGATCCGTGACAAGAACAAAATGGAGACGGGGAAGGTCCGGGGAGACGGCGCCGCCCAATGGATCTGTGACCTTGATGAAAACGATCTGGTACACGAAAGATTGGAGAAGGAGAACTGGACCAAAATGATATGTGGGAAGAGCGGCACGTTCACGGTCCTCGAATTGCTCCCTGTCGATCAAGGAAACAACGGTTTGGAGAAGGAGCTGGAGGAGAAGACGGAGGAGAAGAAGGAGGAAAAGGCGGAGGAGAGAACGATGGCGGGTCTAGCTCAAGAGGTGGGGAAGATCTGTCATTGGCATAAGTTTCTGCATATTGGCAACGTAAGGATGGCAAACATGTACCGCGATCTGATTCTCGACCTGGGCAAAGCCGCAACCGAATGCTCGGATCTGAAGACCTACATACACATCAGCCTCTTCTTGTTCTTGGCGGTGGATGGTCTCAACCTTGCGATGGATTTAGAGGTAACCAGCGAAGAGCAGAAACTTTTGAAGGCTATCGGATGCGAATACTTGCGGAACTACGTGGCGCTGGTGTTGCTTGGGGAGGAACTTCTTGCGCCTGGGGATATCCAGAAGGAGGAACAGCCAGCTATGTAAGTGTCAGTACTGCCTCCGTCAGTCAACTGTTTTTTGTAACGTAAGGAAGAATTGAGTTAGCGCTAGTCAAGATAGCTGTAAAAGGAGAAAAATGTATTTGGTGAACTTTTTTGTATTTGGTGAATTATTTGGTTCTGTTTTGTTTTGCTTTGCTTACGTCGTTGAGTTTTTATGTATTTTTTGCTTATTTTGATCAGAGGAAAAACCCCTTCTGCGCGACACATTTCAACAGGGTGCGATTCTTACTTCTAGAGTGCAACGACAAAAGTAAGCATTAAAATAAAATACCCAAAAGAAATGGGTGTGAAAACTCGGGAAGTTTCGAAGCGAATTCTACCCCAGTGCCCTAAGCAAGTGGGCGGAAGCAGTTTCGATTCCTGACGAGTATGTGTGCTGTTGGTTCGAGGTCTTCTTTGTCCACAATCTTAGTATACCCCAGGGATATCCCTCATGCTGGTTGAGATCCCGCGCGCTCTCATCTCACGCGCCCGTCTGGTTGAGAACCAAGAGCTGATGGAGGGCTGGACGGCGTCTAATGTGTAAGAACACCTGGTTTGATTGTGCCTTGGGAATACAATGTGGGGGTTCGTTCGTTTTTCAACCTGTCTTACGTGTTAGATCATTCTCTGGCATTGTCAACCTTCTCATCCAAATTTCATCAGAGACACTAGCTGTCAAACAAACCTCCCCAGAATCTCCACGACGCTCACTCAGGCTTCATTCGACTTCAAGCCCATGTCTCTGTTCTTCGACATACCAGAATCCTGGCAGCATGATCCACTGGGAGAGCAATGGGCCAAAGCACACGGACAAGATACGTCTGACCCAGCGGGATCTGGATCTGTTCTGAAGTTCATCACTGGCCGCAAGGCCCGGCTCTCCGATGCGCACCCTGGAAGCAAAAAAATTGCGACCCAGCTTGCGGAAGTCATGGAACTTGACAGGTCTGGTCCGTTACCGGCGACGATCCTGTGGCAGAACGACACGCAAAAACGGACCATGTGAGACAATGCAGGGCGGCGGATCCGTGAGTGCCTCAACCTTGGGAATGTGGTGTCGTGCTTGAAGGATACTGAAAGCCGCTGGGTTGGCGAGCTATCCGGCAATGGTCAAAAACCCACAAAGAAGGACCTGCTTACCACCGATTACACCGGCGACTCCGCCGAACCTAGTCGGTATATGATGGGACTGACTCGCGAGATCGAGACGATTGTAGAGGAAGGAAATACTCCTCTAGAGGTGGACATCCAGAATTAGTTGGAGGAATATTGCTGCTTAGCTCTGGACTTGGGCAAAGCGGCGACCTGGTGCTTGGATATGAATACCTACGTCTGCATCAGCTTCTATCTTTTCTGGGTTGTGGTGAAGGTTGAGGAGAAATACAAGCCAGGTAATCAGCCGCTTTATCCTACGGAGACATACAGGAATCAGTTGCGCAAGATTGCGGTGAGCTACTTACGGAAGTATGTGGGTTGGGTGTTGTGTGAGGAGTTAGCATTACAGGCATTCCTGGACAAGGGAAAGGCTGAGGGACCTAAGTGAGAGATACCTACCTGTAGTTCTTCTATGTCAGGTCAAAATTTTCCATCGATGTCAGAGATTGCTTTATTCTTAGGCAAATCATGGTTTCTTGTGCTGCACTTCAGTGATGAAGTCGTTGAGATAATGGGCTTTTTTTCTCGAGCTAGAGTCGGATTTGGCAGTCTGCCAGAGAGAGTGGCCGGCCAAAGCTAGATGTCATCGGCGGTTAGAGACACTCCCCACTGTTGGTTCGAAGGTTGCCCTTTGTCCTTTTGTCAGTATACCTGACCGGGGAGGCCGTGTTGGTTCTCTTTCCCGCGCTCGTCTCCTTCGCTTCGCCCTTACCACCAACACCTCTCCGAGCGGCAAGGAAAAGCCGGGTGACTTCAGGGCGCTTAGGTTATGAAGACCAAAAGACGAAGATGAAGCTTTTGGAATGCAAAGGTTCCTGGAGGGTGTAGGAGATTGGGCACACGAGGATGAAGCCGGACACTAGGTTGCACGTCAGAGGAGGACGGACAAGACGGGTCTGCCTTCATCCATTAGCCCCCCACCATCATGAAACTTGATAGCGCCTAATCTGTAGAGACAGATGGCTAGCTTATGCCCATGACAATAATATAAAGCAAGGGGGTTCTACTCGTTTGTCTACCTCATTTTTAGACTTGTTCCATACAACATTGAATCACCTCATCTACTAAGCTATTAGCATCACTCCAACCATTGTTCGAACCCGAGAACGAACCTCAGTCTATATCAAAATCCCATTCACCTCACAATCATGGTTTTGGTCTTGGACATACCTGAGGTTGAGCGAATTCCGCTCATCAAGGAACGAACAAAAAACCGCCAAGAACGAAAGGTTCAGAACGCAGCAAAGACCATAGACCGCAAGATCGTCCTGACCGCAACACCATGCCCCTACTTGAACGCGGATGGCACAATTGACTAATCGTTACTTGCGCTCGAGCTGGTTGAGATTATTCAGAAAGACCGCGCGACTGGTTGTTTTGGCCCTCATGGCTTGGACAAGGAGAACTCTAACAAGGAGTTATAAGCGATCCGAGGCTCGGGAGTGGATTGGTCGGGAGAACGATAAACGCATTCTGAAAACCCTGAATGAAGATTTTGGGATACGCAATCTGTTAAGAGGGGGAGAGGGCAAGTTTACAGCTCATGGCCTGCTTCCAATCGGTACCAGAAACACATCTTGCGAGGATTCGATGTTGGGCTTGGCTCGCCAAATCGAGCCAATCTCAAAGACAGTACGCAGTGGCGTACCACAGGAGCAAGACAAATGGTGCACGGCTATTCTTGATTTTGCCGAAGGGGCAACACAATGCAAGAATATGGAGTACTTCGCATACATCAGCGTGAGCTTGTTCAGTGCGGTGGTGAGGCTCTGGGAATTGATTAGAAAGTTTCTATCCTCGACGGATAAGAAGTTGGTGAAGGATATTGCGGGGAAATATCTGCGAAACTATGTGGCGGTGGTGTTGCTTGCGGAGTCAATGTCGGATGGTAGTGAGGATTAAGCCGATTAAAAAAGAACTGCGATTGGTATTGGGTTTTGTTAATTAGGTGGCTTAAATGATCAGACGTGGAATTTTGGTGGTGGTTGTAAAGGCTGTTTCAAAGAAAATTAGTGTTCGGTCAATTCACCTACCTTTGCTCGTCCCTCTGTCCTCGTTGACTTTTCGAATCTGTTTGCCTAACAAATCAGTGCAAGTACCCTTTCTCCATGACGGAATCCAGTAGGCTGCGAACCATGTTCGGACAGGTCCGGATTTGTGCTGTTGGTTCGAGACGTGCTTTGTCCACAACCTTAGTATACACCAGGGGTGTCCACTGTCCCTTATGTTGGTTCGGATCCCGCACACTTATCTCTCACGCGCCTGTCTGGCTGATCGCCAACAGCTTTCGCGAGTTGCTCAAACCTCACGGCCAACGAGTCCGAGGACATGGCGGACAAAGGAGGGCAAATGCTTTGGTCCACGAGGATAGGGAAGAAAAGGGTGGATAATGGGGATATAAAGGAAACTGGGCTCATGATCTTCCCAAACTTCCCGACTCCATAAACTCTGGACAGGCGTCAATCCACCGAACACCAGACCCGCGCATTTGTTCTTCTTCATTGTTATCAACGTATCTCAAGAACCATATTTTCTCATCCTCTCAAACAGCAACCATGTCGCTGACCCTCGGTATCCCTCCCGAACGTCACGATGCAATTCTCGACGAGCGAGCGACAAGTTCCGATGACGATGCCAGTAGATGGTGGTTTCTCTGCCGCAAACTCCACTTGTCCAAGAAGTTCCAGACCGACGATGGAAAGTTCGACTCCGATGCACTCGCCAAAGCCTTGAGCGAGGTCATGGCAAGAGATCGCGGCGATAGAGATGTACCGGACCTGTCTCGCTACACACCGCAACATTGTCTCAGAGATGATCGTGAGCAGGAGCGGAGACTTGCTCGTGTGGAAATCCTAAAGATGACGAGTCAAGAGATGGAAGTCGAATTAAAGCAGCAGTTGTGCGACTTTAAAGAGACCACACTCGACAAATACCAGTTCTCATACGACGACTTCATCCATGTCCGAGAGTTTTCCATTTGGGCTCAGATGGTGGCCAACGCGGCTGACCTCGCCCTGACGCATTATAAGAACCAGAAAGACAAGGAGGATCACCTCAAGTCACTACGACGCCTTGTTGTCGATCTGGGGCAAGCCATAGCCGGATGCGACACCATTCAGGACTATATCAGCATTAACAATCTTCTGTTCTGGTCAGCAGAGGGAGTTTTGAATTTTACCTCAAAACATGTACCAGCAGGATCGCTTGGATCCAATGACAACATCTATGTAGGAACAGGATCGTTGAGATCCGCGGCCAAGATGTTCCTCATGAATTACGTCGTGTCCATCTTAGTCGTTGAGTCGAAGGCAAAGATTTTGAGCCCCGGGCTGCCTGAGTTGGAACAGGGGATACCATCCAAGGATCTTGACATGCTTCTCAAGGATCGTCTCGAGATCGTGGACACGGCAATTGGTTCAATTCGGAAAATCCAGCTGTTCCAAAAACCCCCCAGTTACCTTACAACTGACGGCAAAGTTGATTTTGAGAGCTTCACAATGGTAATTGCGAAGGGGATGGCCATTGACACACAGTATCCGCTGCCCCCGCTCAAGATGATCCTCGATTTCGAGGGCGCTTGTTTCGTCGAGACCATGAGCCCCTCACAGAGGCTTGGGCGTAAATTGGACAGGAGTCGCCTACAACAAGAGGGGGGGTATAGCATTTTTGAAAGGCAGGAGACTGAGATTATGCAGCGTCTAACGAGTGACGGGTGGATCAAATCGATCATGGATAGGGCCAAGATCGTGTCCGATGACTTGCTCTCGCCAAAGGCAGTGCAGGAGATGACCGAGCAGCTGGCGGTGGCAATTGGAGGCCAGCTGAAGGAGGGGCCCCGGGTCGTCTATAAAAAGCCAGGGGATGGGGAGGTCCATGTACGGCTCACGGAAGTCCGACCCTTTATCATCGACTTGGGCGGATCCGTGAAGAGGTGGAAGGATTTCCAGACCTACTTGCGCTTCAGCCTCTATCTCTTCTGGGCTACGGCTGACGCCTGGTGGTCTTTGCCTCCTGGCACCACAAACCAGGAAGCACGAAACAACGTGCAGAACACCGCCGAGAAATTCTTGCGGAACTACCTGGCGTTGGTTCTGATCGGTGAAGCCAAACAGGAGGCACAGAGATTGGAGCAGTCCAAGGCCGAGCAACGGAAGCCCAAACAGCCCACCACAAGTTCAACTAGGGTAGCGGAGCCAAAGCCCGAGCAGCCCAAGCCTGACGAGCAGTCAAAGCCCGATGAGCAGTCCAAACCCGACGATGAGTCCAAGCCTGACGAGAAGTCCAGCACAGATGCAACCGGTGCAGCGGAGTCCAAGCCTGAGCAGTCCAGCAAAACTAAACCCGTAATGTACAACATCCCCCGCAAACCGGTCTCTTCCACTCCGGGGGGAAAATCGAAGTGCTGTATCATCCTCTAACGTTATTTTTGTTTCGACAATCTAGGCCCAACTTTGATAACGCTTATATTGAGTGGCCTGCATTCTAGCGTTCTTCGACGGTCTGCTAACGGCGGGCCGGTGATTCGGAACTCGTACTAGGCTGTTTGTGCCGGTCATACTGTCGCGTTGGAAACCTGCGTCGGATTTCTTTCAGTTCTAGGATACGCGGAAATGCTTTCAGGTAGAGGAAGTTGCGGAGCCGGTCTCGCAATGTCGGGAGGAGGGGGGCGTGAAGGGATAGGTCGGAGTCGTCGCCATAGCTGCCGCAACCTGTTTTTTTCGCGACCGTTAGTTAATCCATTTCCACTTCTGTGTGGTTCAGGTATTCGCGGCGTTTGCCGCGGACTCTTGGCTTGTTGGTTAGGTATGTTCACCCTTTGTCGGCCGTTTCAGCCGCCCACACCAGACGGCTGGTTTGTGCGGCGGCAGAGGTTCGTCGACTTGGTTTTGGGGCGTTTCTCTATTAAATTCGTAGAGATCGATTCCACTTGCTGGATCTTTTGTTCTCTATCTCTTCCATCGGCGTTTAGGCGACCGCTCGGTGACGAACGTGCTTCTATCCCTGACATCTTAGGAATGCGGCTATGAGGCCTTTGTGTCGAGATCCTTGAAGGGGAGGCGAGCTCCGAGTACTTATGAAGTTGATTTCCCCATTATGGTCCCGCGAGACCTTACTGTCCCTTCTCATCCAACTCTCCCAGTTGATTCTGATCTCTCCGGTCAGTTCTGCATCTTCCCCAGTTGATCTGCATCGCCTCCAATCGAACCTGCATCCCACTTGGTCAACTATTTCCTGCTTTAACGTTCAACGTCCCAGACGAACTCACTCATTGATCAGCCTCAATCGAAGACCCAGCCATGAGGTTATTGGTCGGTTCATATAACCTAGGAGACGCCAAGATGCTCCAGCAAATTGATGACAGTCTTGAACTCCAAGACAAAGAACGATGGGACAAGGATCGAAAGGATTCCTTGTACACGGCGGCCCTCAACAGCTGGAGAAGCCCTGATACATATGTATCGGGCCCTGGGAGCCTCCATAGCAGGCTAACGGAGGTCATGCATCACGACCAGTTCGTCGAAGTGGCCGCCAACAATGTCAGAATCGATGAGTTACTGAGGGACTGGGTCAGAGAGTTAGTTGACAACCCCATATTTGGCCATGTTGATATTCCTACCGCCAATGAGATCAAAGACAATATCAGAAAATTGTCTGATTATCTCGACGACTGTAAAGAGTCTACAACCGAGGAAAGGAAGAGAAAGGAGACACTGGCATGGACTCTCGACATCTTGGACGGTGACGTCAAGAAAAGGAAACAAAAAAAGGATGAAGAGGATGAAGAGGATGAAGAGGACGAAGAGGACGAAGAGGACGAAGAGGACGAAGAGGACGAAGAGGAGGAGGCGGAAGAAGAGGAATGGGGTTCTGTTTTGAAAAAGACGGCATTTACGTTTCTGTCAGCCTCCACCTATTCTTGAGCGCATCCAGCATGTTGGATCTTATGTTGGATCTTATGCCGGAATCCAAGTGGCGAGGTGAAGTTGAAGGTCTTGCATGGGGGTATTTGCGGAACTATGTGGCGCTTGTGCTTCATATGGAGGTCAGGTGCGGATTATGCAAAAAGGAGGACGTCGAGGATCTGATCATAAGGGATAGGGAATATTGTAAATTCATGAGACAGTAAGGTGATGATTGGCGAGGGCCTGGGGGTGAGTGGGAAGCTCCACTAGGTACAATGATGCTCGGTCATGAGGAGTTAGGTGAAATCCCAGACAGTTTGGTATGTGGCCGTTAGTTTATCGGCAGGATTGTATAATGTATCAGCTTTTCGTGATAGCAACTGTGCGATGTTGTGAGATCAGCCTTCGATGTCGTTGAGTGTCCGACTTCCGGTGATGCCCGTGATTGCGAACTGGACTCGAATGCTTCAATTCCGCCCTGTGAGAGCGGCTATTGATCCAACAATCCAGTATATCCGGCTGATTTGAGAGTTTGCGGTTCCTCCATTATGTTTGTCAATCATTGTCGTCGCTTGGCCGTGGAACATGTCGCTGACAGCCATGGCGCCAGTCGAATGACTTAATGTCGTTCAGGCGATGACTTCAGTGTGGTGCTTCCTCTCCTGAACAACCTAAAGCGACAAAAAAGTGACGCTGACTCATAACGGACAGCCGTTTGCCCGTTCTTCCAGCTGGTTTATGATAATCGCCGTCCCATTATCGTCCTTCTGCTTTGAGCCCCAAGAACTTCTGCCCATTTCCTCACCCCGTCTCAGATCACCCAGAGGACTCAGTGCGTACTAATCGTCATGGCGCTGCCGTCGTCAACTGCCGCATTGAGGATATTCGTTGATGCCAACCCAGAAGCCTGGTTCTCGCGGCTTCGAGACCAAGCACTCTGTTCCGATCTCAACCAAGCAAAAGCGTCGATACGCAACCGAGAGATTCTCCTCGTCGATCTCCTGCAAGAACAGGGCGACCTTCCAGAGGGCCATTATATCATCTCTGCGCGAACACACCCTCCTTTCCCCCGGGTTTTGGCAAGGGTCATGTTCAAAGACAAGTTCGCGTCATGGTGTCTGCCCGATTGCGGCAATGTTGCACTGAGCAAAGAGGAGAAGGAGGAAGCCGACTTGACAAAGCGATTCCGTGCCCAAATAGAGGACATGTCGGAATATGAAATGGTAAGCCGGATTCACGAAGAGGGTTGGATAGAGGAGGCAGGCCGTGCTCCGGTGATAGTGCCTGGGTCACAATGGCAAGTCGGTTTGCGCGACGAAGTCGATGAAGCGCTGGTTTCGGTTGTAGACGTGGAGATAAAGTTTCGTCAGCATTACCAGGAGGTCCTTACAAGGGCCAAGTTGAGTCCGTGGATGGTGCCATTATGGAAGGAGTTGGAGAAAACGCAGGAAGGAATTCAGAAGGTCAAGCTTCTCCAAGGCCTTCTAGAAAGCCTGAACCGTTACCTCAAAAACAGGAGCACAATTCAAACTCCCCTGAAAGCATTGATGATCGACCTGATCAAGGCGTACCTCTCAGCCAACGTGTACCTGTTCTGGGCTACAGCCGACCTCTTTCAACTGGCCTCATCGTGCCTAGAGATCCCCGGGCCAAATAAGGAGAAGATGAGATCAGCTGGGGGTAGAGTTCTGAGGCAGTATGTGGCAGCCGTGCTGTGCGCGGAAAAGGGAAGCCAGGTTTTCGACGCCCGAGAGGGTGGAAAAGGGGTCATAAAGACAATCAAGGCTGGATCGAGATCGAGCTGGGAGAGGACTGGCTCCGGTAGTTGAGAGTTGATGGGAAGGAGATTGCGAATGTCGGCAGCACATATCGCGGTAAATGGATAAATGCCTCACAAACTACCTTGCTGTATCGGACAATAGAGACGCTGTGATCAATCGGATGTTGTGCCTTTGCTTGTGGCGGCGACAGTGGTGAAGTGAATCATGTTGTTGGACGAAGAAAACATTGACGTGGAGTTGGAAGTTCGGTGCAGCGGGACGCACTAACAATTACTCCAGGCGTGTCCGTCAGCGGCTGGGCGGCAGCTGCAGCAGCCTGCAAGCTCCCCGCCACGCATGAATGGGCCACCCCTACTGGCCCTGCCAGCCTGATCTCATTGACCACAGTTGTGGTTCCCCTGTGCTGTGCCCAATCGGACCTGGCAGCGTGTCAGCGAAGCGCGCCCCAAGGAAGCTGAACTTTAATATCAACCTCGCCTCTCCTTTTTCCTCCTTCCATTTCAGACCGTCGAGAGCATCGTCGAACTTCCCCTCCACCAGCCAAGGAGAAGGTCACTCAAGAATCACACCCCACTCACCCAACCAAAACACAAACCACCCCCCACCGCAACAATGGCCAGCACCAACAACAAAGACGGCATCGACGCCACCTCCCTTGCCCGCACCATCTCCCACATGAACAAGGACCACGCCACCGACCTTCTGCACATCCTCATCCACTTCAATCCCCTAGCCCTCATCCAGCTTCCATTGGATCTCGAAAAGCCCATCCGCCAACTGGTCTGCGATCTCCGAGGCGAGGACGTGGACATCCGCCTCGTCGACATGTCTCTGGCGGAAATGCAGGTGCAGACCCGCGCCAAGGGTGCAGTGAAGGACCTCAACGGGGAGACTCCGATGGTTACGCACATGATCCCTATCAACCCGCCGATGAAGAGCTGGGGAGAGCGGAGGGAGAGGTTGGTGGCCATGACGAAGGAGGCCAGGGAGGGTTTGGGGCTTCCGGCTGAGGGATTGCTCGAGGAGGTGAAAGGAAATAAGGGGAAGAAGGAGGAGAAGGATGGCAAGAAAGCAGAGAAGGAGAAGGGAGGTGCCGTGATCGATACGTATCTCGCTCCCCGGTTGTTCTGGGACGGCGCCGTTGCCATCAGCGTCGCCTTCTTCTTCGGGTGTTATGCGGCCATCCGCGGAGGGTACGTGGAGTGGGACCTGTGGGCGTGGCAGTTCACGCAGAGATGGTGGCCTTTGGGAGGTGCGGGTGGGTTCAAGTGGTTGGTTAATGCCATGTTTTGGCCCGTGTTGGCCATCCATATCTCGGAGATGATCATGTTTGATCGGTCGAGATTGGCCAAGAGCGACAAGATTCCCATGGGTTCGCTGACCTGGTGGAAGTGGATGGTTAGCGTGTTTTTTGAGGGCTACATGGCTTTCCGGAGGTACGATGATAAGGTGGCCGAGTTGGAGAAGAAGCAGCATTAAGTGGTGCATCGGGCAACTGCTTACTGCGAAGGTATTCGGAAATGTTTACAAGGAGTGCACATACACAAAGGATGGACGCCATTGAGCCAGAATCACTACTGCCAGGGTGTTTTCTCCTGTAAGGTGAACCGTGCGAGCGACTGAAAGATGGTTGAATGTGCTTGATTTTCAGTTTCGGAGAGAATATTTCAGCTAAAATCTTTGTAAAGCCCAGAACACCGACATGCCCAATCGGCCCCCTCCTGCCTTCATCTTTGACACAGTGGCTGAATACAGGCTATCCTTCCTTCCAACTCCTCGGTGTCGTACCTTTCTCGAGCTATCAATGCCTTCCTGGGCCATGGCTCCTTCCCTGGGATTGCAGATTACAGGCACCAGGTGCCGGTCTTCCTCCTACTTAGCCAGGGAGTTCCTGCCTGCTCAAAATAACAGCATCTGATGCCGTGGGCACCCGTCGGTCCCGAGAACGTCAATCACGAGATGGGTCTCATGTTGAAGAGCTTCATCTTGAAAGCGTCACAAGCACTCGGACATTTGGGCGAAGAAGGGACGCTTTGGAACCTTGACTTCAATCAGGAACATCTTCAATGCCTATCTACAGACAGTCAATTTTGGCATGCCCGTACAGCGGGACCGCCAGCCCGAGTGACATTGAAATGAAGCCATGTCCTGACTTCCTACCAACAGTCATGCATTCTGGCATTGGGTACAACCACGGAACATTACCACCCACCACGTCCCCGACCTCTTCCCCTACCACCACCACCCCTTCCTCCACCACCCCTTCCTCCACCACCTCGACCTCCCCGTCCACCTCTCCATCCTCCACCACCACCGCCACCACGTCCACCACCTCTATGTCCTCCATGCCCATGACTATGCCCATGCCCACCATGACCACCCCTCCCACCAAACCTCTCCTGAGCCGGCCTCGGGCCCTGCACCCTCCTCGCCTCCCTCTCTTCCTCGCTCGCATCCCAATAATTCTCCAACCCTAACAACTTACAAAACTCGGCCGTATGCGGATTCGTGTACTCAACCGGTATCTCATCCGTCATAATATTCCCGCTCACCGGGTTTCCAACCAAATCAATTGGCGGCGCCGTCTGCACGAAATCCTCCGGCACCAACAGCTTCTCACCAGTGATGTGTTCATCTACCCACTTCCTCGCTTCCTCAATCAAGGGCTTATAGCCGGCTTCGCCGAGGTCAGCGGGGATGGGCGCGTTAGGGTCCAAAGGGCAGTGTTTGCCGACGGCGGAGCGTAGGAGAGGGTGGAAGGCGAGGGTTATGGAGAGCCATTCTGGGTCGTAGGAGAGGCGGAGGGGGCGTTGCAATTCTTCTTCGTTTGAAGCTGAAGGGTTGATGGGCTCGATCTCGGCGAGTTGAAGGAATTTACGGCCGGGAAGGCACTTGTCGAGGGAGAGGAAGCGGACGGTGGTGTTGGTTATTGTTGGCGGAACTGGTTGGCCGGGTTTGGTCTTGGGGGCGCCACCGTGGGGTTGGGCGTTGTAGGACGATTGAGGGTTGGGATTCGAGAAGGAGGCGGGGAGGAGAGAGCGGAGGGCTTCGGTTGGATCTTCTTCGGTGGGCACTGCGGCAGGTGTTGACGAAGCAGCGGGTTGAGTGAGTGCTGCTACTGGCTGCTCCTCGTCGTCCATGTCGAGATCAATCTCATCGGGGTTTGATGTCGGTGCAGGTGGTGCTGATGGTTGAGCTGGTGCCGCGGGTTCGTCGTCCATATCAAGATCGATTTCGTCAGGGTTCTCTACCACCGCGGCTGGTTGCTGCTCTTGAGGTTGAGCAATCGCTGTTTCCTCTGCCGCGACCTTTTCCGCTGTCTCTCCTGCATCTGCCATCGCCTCCTTCGGGGGATCGTAGGTCTTGATAGCCGAGTACTTGCAATGCAGATGCGCCGAGAACCAATACGGCGGCCTCAACCTATCCATCACATACTCGGCCGCCTGATTACCCAGCGACCCATCAGCCGACTCCCTCTCAAAATCGGGCTTCATATTCCACAAATGCTTGGTGTTTCCGTGCTTCTCGATGGCCCTTGGCCAGTCGTGGCTGATACCGATATCCACCTGGGTCTGCAACTGCAACAGCTTGCGCACATCAATCTCGCGAACGTGGTAAAAGCTCTTGACGTCGTCGTCGTTGAACGGTAGGCGTTCGTGATGCGCCTTTCGGTAATTGTATCCCTTCCAAATACCGCTCATCCCCATAATACGCAGAGGACCCAGTTGAAGAACGTTGGCAGCGCCCATGTAGTAGATGTTGGGGCACACCCAGCCGCCGTAGTAAAGCTCCCATAAGTGAGAAGCTGCTTCGTGGTTGCCGGCGACGAAGATGGTGAGATAGGGTGCCTTGCGGACGCCGCTGTAGTACTCGTGAAAATCTCCAAGCTCGCGGTATTTCTTGGGCACAGACATGGCGTTCAAATCGGCGGCGTTACGGACGGCTTGGAAGTCGCCTCCGATGATGAGGAGGTCGACGCCATCCCATCCGCGTTCCTTGGCGGATTTCTCGGTGGCGGCGTAGATGGCGTTGAGTGTGCCGTGGCCCTGTGTCTCATGTTAGTATGGTAGTCAGTTGGTAATGGAAGGGTAATCAAAAACTCACACAACCCTCAACGGCGATGCGCACGCCCTGTTGGGTCGTGGTTTGGATGTCGATGCTCATCGCGATGCGAATTCGATGTGATAGATGGAAAAACCTGATGATTGTTTGCCGGCGTGAGATGAAACAAGATAGTCGTCTTTCGAGGATAAGAAGAGTCAGGTTTGTAATTTCGGAATGTCTGGTCCTTCCGCGATGAGGTGATGAGCTTGGAAGAGGGTCGATGGTGTTGAATTGAGGCTGACTTTCACTCACAGTACGTTTCAATCCTCTCCACTATCAAATCGTTGGACCCACTTATTTCAAGAACAGTGCGAAGGTCCCGTCCCAACTTCACCTCGACATCAACAACAACGGGAAAACCACATCGTCATCATGTTGGAAGCAAAGCCAGTTCTCCATCGATTCGTGTTCTCAATAGCGCACTTACTATACTACCTTCCTTTTGCTTTTCGAACCCTTTCTTCTTCTCCTTGGGAACGTTCCCTTTTAGTCGTCGAATGTCCGTATGACTACTCGGAGAACCCTTCCACGGGCAGGGCTATGACTGGGGTAACACGAAGTCTTCACTCGTGTGATATTTGGCATTTCATACTTAGTTTCATCCAAACGACCTGCAGCAAGTTCTGTAACGTTATTTCTGGCGTTCATGTATCCAACGTTCTAGCCAAGAGCGGCTCTGCAAGCCACAAACTATGACAGCTTGGAGCCATCTCCGAAACTGCCCGGACGAGTGTTCGCGGTGCTGAATACGATCGATAAAGGACTGAGCGGTCATTGGAGTTTAACTGCCGGATTCAGCCGCATTGTGGTGTCTTGATTTCCAGACAGATATATCAACGCCTTACTCTCAGCCGAATTACTGAATCCTGCAGTTTGTTTCTCACGACATCTCTAGTTCTTGACGTTTTTCCTTGGTCGTTACCAATACTCCAGAACGCTACCCAGTTCAATATCAAAAACTCGGTTCGAGACCGGATACAGTACCCATCACCAACTTTTCTCTTACCCATTGACGTCCGATCACAATCACCAAAATGTCCTTCCTCAACCTCAACCTCTCCTACCAAAGCATCCACTTCCGCCACCCCTCCTCTTCTTCTTCCTCTCCCATCCACCTGCCCACTCTCCCCTCCGGCATCAGTCGTTCCTTCATCCCCACTGCCCTCGGCGACCTCGAAATCGTCCATACTTCCCCTTCCCAACAATCCCAACCAGCCCTCTTCTTCATCCACGGCGGCATGGGTTCCGCCTCCGTCTGGCTCGAATACCTCTCCTTTTTCTCAGCAGCACTACAGGAACAACAAATCCCTTGCTACGCCGTGTCAATGAGAGGTCACGGAGGGAGTTGGTACCCTTCTTACCTAAGGATGGTGTACGGGACTACGAAGGGGGATTTGGCGGGGGATGTTGTAGAGGGGATTAAGTGGGCTGCTGATAGGGAGCGGGAACGACGAAAAGTATGGGAAGGGGAAAGGAGGAACGCAGATAATGTGGAGGAGAGAGAGAACAGGGAGGTGGAAATGATACTAGTAGGCCACTCAAGCGGCGGCGGACTAGCGCAGTATATCCTCAGCGCAGGCCTTCTCGACGGCTTGGGAGTCAAGATAAAGGGGTTGGTGTTGATGGGTGCTGTTCCTGGGTTTGGGTCGTACGTTTCCCCGTTTTTCCCACCTCCCCATTTCCCTTTTCTCCATTTCCCTTTTCTCCATTTCCCTTTTCTCCATTTCCCTTTTCTCCATTTCCCACCTCTCACAAAGCCAAAGACTGATCTCACCCGAACTCATCCCAACTGATTACAGCCTCCCCGTCTACCTAAACTGGTTCCGCCTCGATCCCCTCTTCACCCTCCGCATGATCCTTCACGGCTGGCACCCCAACTCTCCGCTCTCCCATCCTTCCTTGGTCCGGCGGATTTTTTTCAGCGACCAACTGCCCGAGTCTTATCTCTTGAGGTTCATGTCGTTTATGAATCGCTATGAGAGCTTTCTTTGGCCGTTGGGGGATGGGTTGGAGGTTCGTTGATCCTGAGAAGGTGTTGCTGCAGATTTCCGACTGGGACGAGACACGAGCTCGGGTATCAGGGGAAGGTAAGGGAAAGGAGGGGCAGCGGGGACAGCAAAGGGTCCTGGTCATTGCAGGCGAAAAAGATAAAATTATGACGCCGGATATTATGCAGAAACTGGCTGAATGGTATCGCGCTGCGTATGGGGTGTTGGTGGTGGGGAAGAAGATTGATGGGGTGGTGAGAGACACGGAAGAGGATGAGGCGGCCGAGGATATCGAGGAAATGGAAGAGGGAAGGAGAGATATGGAGGATGGTGGCATGGGGGTGAGGTACGCGATTGTCCCTGGGGCGGGACATCATTGTCAGAATGATGTGGGTTGGGAAGTAGGGGCTGGGAAGGTGTTGGAGTTTTATCGGCAGCTTCTGTGATACCACTTAACCTGTTTGCTGAGAGAGAGCACTAGGGAATTGTAGTAACCTATTGTCACAAGACACAAATAATTTTTTAATTTTTATTTTATCGTGTTGCTGTGTTCCGCAGTTGGATCAGCCGGCCGACGCAAGATGCGTTTAATTGTAGTCATTTTCTTCTTCCACTGTACCACGGGATACCAACGCACCCGGCAATGTTTTCTATGAACGGAACCACTCGGCCAGAGAACCACTGGGCCCCGTTCTGGTACTGGAGCTTGGGACGAAAGCTTGTATGGTGCCCTCGTACAGGTTTACAGGTAGCGGTGTTTGGTTCCTGATGCATACAGGGGGGCAGGTGAAAGGAGTACTCGCCTTCATAACTCGTGAGATCTCTGGCTCATCAATGATTATAGCCCCTGACTTACTACGCCCCCTTCACCCCCCCCCCCCCCCCCTTTCCTTCTTCCTCCATCTCCTCCTCCTTGCTTAGGCATCTCAGTCGCAAACTCACCATAGCAGACTTACACATGAAAATGTTGCCATACATCATTAGAAACAATACCAAACCAGTTGCTATTGCCATTTACCGCCTCACTACTCTCGTCTTATCGTCTCTCAACTGCACTATTATATGTATCAGACCTTGGATGGGTAGAAAGTTATACGCACAAACCGATGAAAACTGAAGAAACAAAGTACCAGCAAGCAACCGAATTCTTTTTTCGATTCACGCACGCCCCTTATGCTATGCTGCCGCCGCCACATGAAGAAAAGGTATCCCCTGTAGAACCTAGGCAGAGGATAAGATAAGAAACCGGAAAAGCCCCTCTTCTTTTTCCTCCAGAAGAGTAGAAAGACGAGGCAGCAGTAAAACAAAACAGGAACAAGAGAAGCTAACTGCAATGATAAAGAAAATGTGTATGAGAAACTGCGCAAAAGTAAGACAGACAGAAAATAAAACGAGTAATAAGGTAGTGTAGCAGTAATAAGTGTAGTGTAGTGTAAGTGCGTGGTTGTAGTTCGTTGCAAATCATGCATGCATGCCAGTCCAGTCAGGTGTCAGTCATTACCATCCCTCCCCTTTGCCCCTTTCCTCTTCCTTCCTTTCCCTTGTCCCTGATCCAATCCCTTTCCATCTTTCCTCCTTCCTATACTCCCTGACAGCCAACGAACAACAAAATTGCCATGTTATAGCATAGACCCAGCCGCTTTTCCCTATGCAAGCATCAATCGCCAATTTGACATTGTTCGATCATATCCTTCTCCATCTGTTTGAATCCAATTCTCAGACCATCCAACCCGTACATCCATCCAAGCTGTGTCCTCCACCTGTTGTAAACGGTATCGGTAATGGTATCGGTATGTGGTATGCGGCTGTCGACCTCGGCTCGGCTCGGCGGTCTTGGTAAGGTGGGTGGGTGCGGGTATCGATCCCTGTATAGCTGCTGTTCCTCCCTTCTTTTTCCTCCCTTGGGTTCCTCACATCATACCGCACTTTCTCTTCTTCTTCTTCACAATCGGAACAACCGTGCCGCCCACGCCCGCCGCCTTGACGGGCCCTATCCCGCCACTGGCCTTATCACCGCTGCTGAACGAGATTCCGCTGCCCTTTCCGCTCGACCCCGTGCCAACACCCAGCATGCCGCTCGCGGCTTCCTGTTCCAGCGTTTTCCTGTCGTTGGCAACGACTGTGAGGATGGCCTGCTCGAAAATCTCTTCGACACCCTTCATCTCCTTTGACGAGCACTCCATGTACTGGGCGCCCATCTTCTTGGCGACGGCGAGACCTTGTTCGGTGGTGACGGGGGTGAGACCTTGTGTCTTGAGCATGTCGATGCACGTCTTCTTGTGGCGGAGATCGGACTTGAGGCCGACGAGAATGAGAGGGGTGTACGGGCAGAAGTGGAGGACCTCGGGGTACCACTGAAAGGACAGGTTAGTATGAGGCCAGGGGGAAGGAGGGGTCAGAGGTGGCAGCATAACTCACCTTGTCCATGACATTCTCAAGAGAGTTGGGGCAGTCAATGGCGAAGCAGACGAAAATGAGATCGGTTTCTGGGTATGAAAGCGGTCGCAAGCGGTCGTATTCCTCTTGGCCGGCGGTATCCCATAGAGCGAGCTCGACGGTCTTACCGGTCGGTGGATGCGTCGGGTAGGTGATGTAGTTTTCGAAGACAGTTGGGACATATTTCTGTTTGCGACATGACAGTTAGCGCCGCCAACTCAAGCTGTACCTTGGTGAGGGAGAGGGACGTCATACCTCTGGAAAGTATCCCTGACTATAGCTGATCAAAAGACATGTCTTCCCGCAACCGCCATCGCCCACCACTACCACCTTCTTGGAGTATGCCGGACCCTCGGTCATGGCCGTTGTTGCTGCTGATTCTCTTCCGGTACTTGATGTGGTGCTCATCATGGTACTCACAGTCCCATCGCTCGATCTCGTCCCGTTGTCGCGTGGTACTCGTCGGCCGGCGCTACCAGTGGATGCGTATGACGAGGTGGTGGTCGGTCGTCGTTGGAGTCCTGCGCCGGGGCTGGTGCTATCGTGCCTGTCTAGGATGGATGACACCGACTGCGAATGATAGTGGTGTGAGCTGCGGTACTTGTTTGACGACGACATTGCTAGCTGGGAAGACGAGGCTGAGGTGTGTGTAGTATTTGCGGGTAGGTGAGGGATGGTAGTAGGGAGTAGGGGTGTTTGTTTTTGTTATTCGGTCACCGCCCCCCCGTAACTTTTCGTTTTCTGACGGCGTTAAAGTTGGCGTTGGTTTAGCGTCCGGCAACGGTACGGCCTTTCGTAGTTACAGTTTCTCCCAAACTGAACTCTCTTCCAAAAGCCAACCACAGCAACGATAACTCCTTCAACGAACGTAGACGGGTTGAGACCTTTCTTGGTTGTTTTGCTTGCTCTTCCTCTCTCTCTCTTTTGGTTCTTCGGTATAAGGCAGGTAGGCAAAGATTGTGGTGCAAAAGCGACGAAGGGATTCAAAAACAAAGCAGCACTGAAGGCAGAGCTTACTCACACCGAGTTGGGAGAAAGCGGCAGTGCGGAAATTGTTTGTGTGGAAGTGCGCAAAGCAAGGAGCGAATGGCGGAGAAAGTGGATGGAGACGGGACCTGAATGTTTTCGTTGTGCTGTGTGGTGGTGCCTGCCTGACTTTTGCGATTCCGGCTGCCGAACTTGGGTTGTGACTTGTGACGATGGGGCGCTCCTGCTTAGTTGCAACAAACACACCCGGACTGACGGATCCTTCTTTTTCCAGAATTGTGGGAAGCTGCAATCGAAGGTCTGGTCTGGTGATTGGGAAGTCGCAAAAGAGTACTTGGAAAGCGCGAATTGAGGTTGTGACGGGGCGGGTGCTAACAACGGCCAAGGCGGTCAAGCACTACAGTAACAGGAGATTGGGGGAGATGTTGTTGATTTGGGCCTCCGTCTACCAGTGCTTATCGTATCGCGGCGGTCAATCAAATGTTGATCGAGGGGTTGTTGGAGAAGGGAGTGCCAGGTGGTGTGCGAATGGGAATGGTGAGAGACAACGGAAGAGTGGACTGAACCGCTGGTGGTTGTTGTGGGTGGATATGGGAGGGAGGCCCTTGTAAGCTCAGGTCAAGCAAGGCAATCAACTTGCGGGAGGCAGGCAGGGCAGGCGGGAGAAGGGTCACTCCAGCGTCGGTCCCAGCACTCAGGAGGGCGTGTGGTTTGTAAACTGTCGGCGGGGCAACCGTTTCCCCTTTTGCCTTGGCTCCTTTTCACTTTCAACATGAATTGTAGCCAAAACAGCTTGGCAATGACACAACTTTGACCTGTTCATTCAAGAGAGTTGCAGACGACCGCAGCCTTGCTCAAACAGCGGTTCGGCCTTGGAAAAACAGTGCTAAAATTGGCCCTCAGAGTAAACCTGGTCCACCCCCAAGAGATCGCGTTGGTCGATCCTCAGAGCGTCTAGAGAGTGCATCCGGGAAAGCCTGTTTTAATGCAGGTACCGAATCCGCAAGTCGCAATAGCAGCACATCATATGGGACATCATATGGCCATCCCAAGCACCGCTTTCCCGCAGGATTAACGAGAATATTTGTGTTTTCCAAAACACGCCCGTTGTGTGCGTCTTTTCTCGTTCCCGAGACCACTTGCGGAGGCCTATCATCCATAGCCACATGTAAATTGTCCATGTTCAGCTGGGAACTCGAGGAGGCTGGGAGGTTGGTAAGGGGAAAAAGACCCACTTTGTCGTCCAGACTGGGCGAACACGCACGAACTGGACCAAGCTCGCCAAGAAAAAGAGCTCCAAGCTTCAAGGATAAGCTTAGGTAAAAATCATGTGGCCTGTGCGTCACCAGGCGTTTCCACTGCTGCTGCCTCTGCAGTCGCCAGTCAGCGGCCGGCCGGCTTTTCATCGGCTCCGGGGTGTGCCGGCCCCGACTGTCTCTGCAGGACTGCGGGTTCTTCACTGTCGTCAGCCGCTTCTCTCATGTTCTTTCCTTTCCCTTGCCTTCTTCCGCCAACAACCAAATTTTCTGCCCATTGTTCTCCAAACGAACCGCGTCTGGCACGCGTTGAGGGGCAACTTTTTTTGCAACAAAATCGCAGTCTCCCTTTCTCACTGTTACACAATCACCCTCAGAACAACAAGACTGACGATTGCGGGAAACTACTGGGACGATAAATTGACTGCTACGAACTAATTGCGCAGTGTCCCCATCCTATCAAAATTTTCATTTCTCTACCACCCAACGGGCTGCTCAAGTGCGCGCACACACACCAGAAACCACACAACCTATCCACAATGGACGCCACCAACGGTAACGGCGGTGCCAGCAAGTACATCACCCTCGTCTCTAAGGACGGATTCGAGTTTGTTGTGCTTCGCGAGGCGTCCCTCTGCAGTGACTACATTAGAGGTATGCTGCGTAACAACATGACCGAGGCCAGGACCGGTCGTTGCGAGCTCCAGGACATCAAGTAAGTTGCTGGCTCCCCATTCCCATCCCCATCTATATCTGCTCTCCGACACAACAAGCTGCGTGATGAAAGAAGTTTTGCTGCGTTCTTTATGACAGACCAGCTTTGCCTTTTTCGAAAAAGGTGGCATGGACTGCTTGATCATCAACTACACTTGATCTGATACCTTTTCACGATCCCGTATCCGCTTGCTCTCCCAGCACATTCCAGCATCTCCAGCACCGGGTACTAACCATCTCTTTAGTGGCGTTATCCTTGAAAAGGTCGTTGAGTACTTCCATTACTGGTACAAGTACAAGGACCGCGAGGATGTTCCCGATATGGAGATCCCCGTTGAGAACTGCCTCGAGCTCGTCGTTGCCGCGGATTACCTCGGAATGGACAGTAAGCCACACTGAGCAACGCACACATGCATACCGCCCCTTATTCCGCTTGACGCTTGATGAAGAAGACATCATGCTTAACCTTTCCTTTCTTTTCCCTACAGAACAAGTGTAAGAACTTGGGTTGGCTATGATGACCGTCATGAGCCATGATACATGAGAAAACGGCATTGGTACAGAGTCAGCGCGAGAGTTAGCTGTTACAAAGACCGAACAGCCTACGCGTGTATAGCCCTGCGATTGGTGATGGAACGAAAAGCTCGGTTCAAGAGGAGGAATCTCATACTTGGTCGGTTCGGAGGACATTGCCCCGAAGGACGAGCCTCAACATCAAAGCCTGATGGTTTCGCCAACAACATTTCGATGCTGCCTTGACCACACCTGAAACTCCAACTGGAAACACAAACACCATTCTTAGCCGAGACGGGTTTCCGAATCCATCTTAGCATCTCGTCATCCCAGCTCTCCCATGGGTCTGACGTCTTAAAAAGAGGTGGAAGAGCAAAGCCTTCCTTCACGATCTGCTTTTACTCAATACTTTCTCTACTGAGTTTTCGCTTTATAGACGAGGAGACATCCTACACATATGAGATAGACGTCAATCACAAACCAAATAATACTAGTGCATTTTAAAATAATGTTTGCAAGCGTATGTGACGGATGCCATGTCTGAATGTCAACCTCGCATGCGTTGTCCTGGTTTGTTGAACTTGATTGCTTTTCCGTAGTCCTTCCTTCTGGGGTATCTTATTCATCCTTTCGTGATTATTCGCACAAGTAGAACCATCGTTCATTCTCGCGCCGCTATTGTCCGTTCAGTTGTATCAACATCTCCCGTCCTCTTGGGTGGTGTCCTGCCACTCTTTTGGTGTTCCGTTCATTTCCCTCGCGGATAGTGTTTCCCTCTGCCGCATATTCTCCCTCCATCATGGTCGTCGTAGCTCGTCGTTCGGAGTTTCTCTTCGGGGTTTGATAATCCCAATCACCTCTCCATCTTAATCTTGCTGTCCTCCTCGTCTACCTCCATCTTGGTATCATCCTCCTCTCCTTGCCCCTGCTCTTGACCTGATTGCTGTCCCTCCTCTCGCTGTGCCGCCGCCCCTCGTTCTTGCTGCTGTTGCGCTTGTTGCGCTTGTTGTGTCTGTTCCTCAGGATCTTTCGCCATGACGTTCTCGAATTGCGACCAGAGGGCTTCGACGGAGGAGAACTCGGTTACCGACCTGTGTATCCCACCAGAAACCGTTAGTCTTGCACAGAGTATGGTAGGAAGAAGGAAAAGAAAGAAGGGAGACATACAGTAATAACAGCCTCTAACGAGCGATTCAACTTATTGATATTCGCCAGCACATGCTCAAAGCTGTTTGCGATCTCCCCAACGAGCGCTTCGCGCTGCTGCTCGAAGTACGTCTTTTCTCGGGTGCCGCCTGTTATGGAGGCGCCTAGGAAGTTTTGGGAGGCCATTTTCCGTCCCTCATTCGCTTCCTTCGGCTTCACGCGGAATGCCTGGCTACCTCTAGAAGTGTGATGGTTGACTGCGATGTTGACGAGGAGGTAATCCAATGCGGGGAGACGCGACGACGCGACGGTTGGGCCGTTTGATGGAGTCTGCTTGGTCCGGGGCAATGCGGGGCAGTCAATGCTGAAGTTTACAGGGGACCGCTGTTACGCTGTGAGCCTAAGGGAAGGTGTGCCTGATAGGGGTCCAATTCCAAACAAACAGCAAGTCAGAAATGACGGCATCATCACAAGGCACTAACAGTTGTAGCGGTGAAACCCAATGTAGATATGTTAGCGCCTTACGTTCAGATTCCCAGAGACAGCAAGCCAAGGGGTTCAAGCTAAGACGACCGCTTCACTTTGAGGATTAGCCACGATGACTTTCCAAGAGATGTCCAGGGCAGAGATAAGATATTGTTTACAGTACTATCAAAATTGATGCCCGTGTTCCTTCACAGAAAGTGTCCCAAGTGACACCAACCAACCAGGAGCGACCGACTCGAACGGTATCGTCCGAGTCGTAGTGCACCATGCTGTGCCATGCTGTGCCATGCTGTGCCATTACCTTAACACAACTGTGGTAAGGCGGCAGACGATGGGTCCAGAATCTTGCAGGGTGCTGCTTGGCGGCAAGTGCCTGCTCTACACTGCACTACTGCCGACTGCGACGTGGTTTTTCTGTCTGAATCATGAAAGCATGAGAGTGTGAGTGAGAAAGATCAGCTGAGCTTTTTCTCACACCATTCTTTGATCGGGAAGTGCAGTTTGGCATGTGTTGAAGAGGGAGACCAACAAAAAGACACAATGCGGAATTCCCTTTTCGCCCTTTGCGGGCTGGCAGCCTTGCACACTGTGGGCGCTGCCGCAGCTGATGTTGTCAAGGGAAAGGTGTTTGACAGATTCATCACCATTTGGCTGGAGAACCAGGTGAGTGTGACTTTCATGATGTGTCTTATCGACGTACCTATTGGCTGACTTTTCACATAGGACTTCACCAAGGCCGCGGTTGATAAGAATCTTGCCGACCTGAAGAAGCAGGGCGTCCTGCTCACCAGATATTATGGGCACACACACCCGAGCCAGCCAAACTATCTCGCTGCCATCGCGGGTGACTATTTCGGCCTCAACCATGATAACGAGGTCAGGGTCCCGGAGAACGTGTCAACGGTAGTTGACCTGCTCGATACCCGTGACATCTCATGGGGCGGATACTTTGAGGACATGCCCGGCCCCGGCTTCATGGGTAACTACAGCGACGGTACCACGGGCAACGGCGGGTGGGATTATGTCCGCAAGCACAAGTAAACCTAACCGATACATTACCTTTCTTACCTTGCACAAGATCCCCCCCCTCTTCTATGTTACCATAACACCAAACACTAACCCGTCGTTATCTTTCTCAGTCCCTTTGTGTCGTTTGACAGCGTCACGAACAACGGAACGCGTCTGCTCTGCCTGCAGTCCTTTAACGAATTCCACGACGACTTTGTGGCAAAGCGAGTGCCGCAGTTTGTGTTTATGTCGCCCAACATGATGCACGACGGCCACAACACGTCACTCGAGACGGCAACCGAGTGGTCGCATGAGTTCTTGCAGCCCCTGCTTACCGACAAGGCCTTTGACGAGCGGACGCTCATCCTGCTCACCTTTGACGAGTCCGAGAACTACGAGGAGCCGAACCACATCGTCTCCTTGCTGCTGGGCAATGCCGTGCCCAAGGAGCTCAGGGGCACGCAGGACGACACCTTTTACACGCACTACAGCATCCTGTCGTCGGCGCAAAATAACTGGGGACTGCCCCATCTGGGTAGGTACGACGTCGGAGCCAACGTGTTCCGATTCGCAGCGGAGACGGCCAGGTACGAAGGCAACAGGGACCCGACGAACCTGGCGACACTCAACAATTCACTGTCGTATCCAGGCTTTTTGCACAACGAGACTTGGCTGCCCATCCCGATCCCGAACTGGAGGCTTCGGGGTGCTGGTGGAAAGGGTGCGTTGCCGGCGGTTGAGAAGACCTGGGGCATTGAAGATGGAGTGCCGTGGAATACCCCGTACGATGGTAGTGGGAAGGTGTTTGATGGAGACAAGAATATGCCTATCTACAAGCCAGCTGTCGCGAACTGAGAGAGTTCAAGTTCGGTTATGATTTCTCTCCGGGAGGGTGCCGGGATATGGCTAGATGAGCTAATGCAATGCAGCTGGTCCCTGGTCTGGTGTTGTAAGTTGGTTCGAGCAATGCCAGCACGCGACTTCCGCTTTTTTCTGGGTCTCAACATGTCGTGGTGAGCTGCACTTGCCGTTCACGGTTTTTTGAAGTCGTTGCACCTTCCATAGCAATGCGGTTAGCTTATTCCTCCATGGCAGGCACGCTTCCTGATGAAGCCATCGGAGTGGGCAAATAGGGAAAGAGTGATGGTGAACCTGAAGTTCTTGTCGTTACTCCAATCACAGCACTTGTCAGAGTCGCACGATAGAGTCGAAACCTTGATGGAACCTCTCGCCCCTCCGCCCCTTCGCTCCTTCACTACCTACCTCGCCTGGCTCGTCAAGAGCAACTGTCCAACTACGACTCTAGTCCCAAGAAATTGGACCGAGGCTGCATCTACGCTCGACAAGTTTGACTTCCCTTGTCACTCTGTGCACCTGCTTCAGTCCTCCCCATCCGCTTCCCCTCATCCCTTTTTCCTCCAGTTATCGAGCTGTTCACCTCCGCATCTTTACTACGACCTGCTCCTCACGGGTCTTGATGACCCTGAGTGTGTTGTCCGAACCATCACGGCGAAAACAACACCACTCCATTTTTGGAGAAATTGCAAACTTAGCAAGCCGTGGAACACCAGCAAAGCTACACCCTTATTAGCAGCCAATGATTTGTTGCTCCATCTCGACATAGCAGTCTCGAAGATGACGGTCTTCTGTTGTTGCGGGGTACCTCGCCCTCCCAGGACAGCGACGCCGTCGACATCGAGCCCCAAGAACCAGACTCCAAACCCCTCGGGTGTACTTCCCGCGGTTCCTCCTCCTGCTCGCTTACCTGTTGCAGGACCACTGACATCCAACCCAGTCATTGCCATCCCGCTCTCCGTCGACGCCCACCGAGACTCTTCGAGCAAGTCCGGTGCATCATTGCAACTGGCCACATCCTCGGTCATTGTCCCCATCGGACCAGCCGACTTGAGCGACCTCGTAGTAGAAGATTCCGATGATGAACTACCGGGTAGATCGACCGAGCCCAGCAAGAGTACCAGTACTCTTCAGCTTGTCAAGGAGAATATCCGTCGTCACTTGTCTCAGGACTCGTTTCCAAAGAAGAAGTCTCGCTCAGCCGTTGGCAGCAGTCACGAGGAAATCCAACGACGGGCAGAGCTGAAGAGACTCATGCACAAAAGGATACAAGAGGAACTCCGCATAGAGCAATCCCACGAGCGCGCTCAAAGTGAGGTCTCCTCTGTGCTGCCACCACCCAAATCTTCTTCACTTGATTACCTCCCGGGTGGAGGTCCCCGTGATACACTTGAGTTCTCGGTAGCCCAAGAAGAGGAGGAGCCACATCCTGACATGACCTCTTTGGCCATTGCAAAGTCCGGTGCCAGTGTCTCTCCATCAGCACAGGCGACTCCTCTTTCAGACAAGGAAAATAATCACATACGGACAAACATTCTCCAATATCCTACCATCTCTTTCAGCCAGAAGCCAATTCGAGAACGCAATTCACTTCCGGAAATGCCAGCTTCTCCGGTCTTGGCTCCACGGCGCTCTTCAAACACGATTGACACTTCTTCCTTGGGCTCCTGGAGGCTTTCTTACAGCGCTACTCAACTGGAAGACTTTCTGAGCTTCATTGATCAAGATGGTTCATCCAAAGACGCCGAGTCCTTCCTCAAAGCAGCAGCTTCTAGTGTGGGTGCCCCTTGTTCGGCACAGCTACTACGCCGGTCCAAGTCAGAGACTCGTTCACGCTCGTCCCCGGCCCGCACCCCTGGGAATGCAACTCCTTGTGTGTTAGATCAGTCGTCAATGGGTACCTGGCTCAGAAGCCAGGGTCTTGGGTCGTGTTCGCCATCCATTTCGCTGGGTAGGACCTCGGACAGAGACGGCGATCCTGAAATAAGCGTGGAACAGGCCAAAATGGTCATGCTCAAGAGATGCAGCTCGATACCCAACCACGCTGGCGGTGACATTGGTCTTCAGCGTCCCGAGATTGTCCATCTTCATGACATGGATATTCATCAGCAGCTGGTTACACAGACGCTCAACACCCCTGATGAGTCCACTGCAAATACCGAGTCGGAACATAACACAGTCCGTAGGTATCCTGTGAGACAAGACAGCTCTGATCAGACAGCTGCATACGACTCTGAGACATCACAGAGGCAACTCAACGGTCAAACTGGCCTCCTTACCAACCCATCATCTACATATCCCTCAGCTGGACATAGCGCCGAACCTAGCGCAGGAGCATCTTCATCGCATCTACCGTCAGGTGTCATGGGTTCTAATAACTTGTTTGCAGCGACACCATTGCGATGTGAGTCGTCCGACGTGAACAACTGTTTTCCAGACGCTAATGGACCATAGGGCTCCTCTCACCCAATCCTTTTGACGAAAGCCATTCAAACACGGCCACCGGAAGGAACTCACTCGACAACCCTATTGCTCAAGGCACCGCCATTGAGACCGGGCTGGTCTCCCCCAACGCGGTATCGAATGCCATGAACAAACGGCAGTCGGTACCAAAGCTAAACATGGTAGAGAGGGGCTTCGCTCGTTTCCATCTAGGTCATGGGGCACCGTCCACTCTCGCCAAACGCTTTGACAAAGCCACCGATTCCAAGAAACTACGCGCCGAGCCTTCCAAGCGATCACTCCTAGCACGATTACATCTGAGCCTCCCCAGACGAGTCAAACTGCCCCCGACCACATTTGACGGCCAGGCAGACGACGAGCAAGAAACGGCAGCGCCGTCTACATCACTTCCTGCTGGTTCCCGGAGACACAAGAAGTCTGCGCTCAGTGATGTTGGTCCCCAATCGCTCGGTCAACGCAGCGAGCTTCCGTTTTCCGACAGCGATGATAGCACAGTGGAGCTTTGGCAACGTGCCGTGAGAGAGGAGATCTGCAGGCGCCATTTCGCCACTGGAAAGAAACGCAGCAACAGCCTTTTCTCTTTCTCCGAGTTCCTGCCAGATGACCTTCCACGCAAAACCTTATATCCCTATCCATACCCGGGAGCCCGCCCTGGTGGCCTATATCAAAACAGTCATACCGAGTCTATTTCCAATAAAACACCTACCGAGGAACCCCAGAGCGAAGCAGCACCTACCGAAAGTGTTTCGGATGCCGAAGCTGTGCGCAAATCGTCACTTGAGATCCCTGGAACCGAATTACAGAAGCCTCGAAAGTTTCCTGAAGCGTGGGCAAGATTTCCTTCACATAACCGTGCAGAGCGTAACGCAGATCTTGAAGATGCGGACGAAGTCACGGCTGAGGGATCAACTTCCCATACACAACCCACCCAAGAGGTTACACAGACGGCAATCTCTGAGGATATTTCCAACCGCCATCGCAACGGGGTTATTGGTCACCGACACAAGAACTCAATGTCCAGCAAACTCGGAAAGGCTCTCAAATCTGGCCTTAACAAGCTTGTTCACTCCCGCAGATCATCTGAGATTTCGTGCGGTGGATCGCGCCTTGACGAGGCAAGAGCCACAATGGAATACCCGGAGCTCGCACTTCAACCCAATGAAGCTGGTTACCGAGAACTCGAAGCACTGGGTCGAGAAATCAGGCGCTTAAAGCAGTCGGCATCGGCCGAGGTGGACGATGGACCCAGGCCTTGGGTATTTAACCCTGTTGGTTCCGATGGTCGGAATTTGACTAGTCCAGGAACTCTGCCCAGAAGTCGTGGAAGGGACTCATCAGCTGCTACCGACAAGTTTGCTACGCCACTCAGCTCCCCCTCTCTTAATGATGCTTCTTTTCACTCCTTTCCGCACTCCAATTCGCCAGAGTCCAGACGTCAATCGTCTATCCCCCTTTTGAGCAAAGCAGTTTTGCCAGAGATCAAGATTACCGACATGAGCTCGGTCAAGAGTGACACCACACTGGTACTGAAAACACATCAGGTCAGATTTTCTGATGAGAACGGCCAGAGTCAGACTGATTTGGCCGCATCTGGCTCCTCCAAATACAACACCTGGAGTGGTCCAGATGATTCTCAGAGTACCGATGAGACAAAGGACTCGGATGACAGTGGGCACATGTTTCCTCAAAACAACAAGCGGAGATCGCATCCGGAGACCTCGATGTCAATCCAGGAGATAGCTGCCGGCCGTATGTAGGAAAAGGGAAAGGAGTGAACTGTCGGTGGTCTTTCTGATAAGCAAGCATATCTTTGCTTTTGCAGTTTATCTTGTTAGCTATATCATGGAGTCTCATGTGTTAGGCCTTGTGGCGAGGATTCAACATGTATGTTTATTCTTCGATGTTTCTGGAACAGTAGCAAGGGCTGAGGAGGCCTATACTAGAGACGAATGTAACTATAATCGGGCTGAACCGAGCCGTCATTCTTTCGCGTTAATGGTAATGGCTTGTGGTGGGGAGAACGAGCGAAGTCAAGTTTGTCCTCTGTTGCCTTTCTTTCCAGCTCATTTTAATTATCCGAAACGATCTTTTCAGCAGAATTAGATATTCTTCGCATTCGAACAACCCTTCGTCACAGAAACACCCTTCAAGACACATTTATTGAGTAGTAAAATTTCTAGCCCTTCTTCGGGATTTCCAGACATGATATCTAACTGCAAGCTGGATAAGCCCTTTCAGAATGATGCTATTTACCAAAACATATGATCCAGTGGCCGGGCATTTTCGGGGACCGACGGGTGGGGTGCCTCCAGTTGCATGATCTGTCTGGACAGGCAGGAGGGCCCAGCTTGCGAGGAAGGTAGGGCATCCGCAACTGGAAGGAAGGCTTTCTGCCAGACGCTTGCCAGCCAGGTGCTGAACCTTCCCGTCCGCTTGGGGGCGCCTTATGAGATCCCACTCCAGGATCCCTAATAACTTCCGTACAAAACCGTTCGCCTTGTGTGTGACCATGGAAGCGGTATGCCCCTGGTGTGGTTGGGGCTGGGGATAGTTAGACATTGCTCAGTACGTATGTTGGTAAACGATGGTACAGCTTTCATTTTCGGAGGTAGAAAAATGAAGGAACAGCGTAAAGATGGAGAGTTATTGACTTCTAGCGGGAATGTTCCCATGTCAATAAAAAAAAAAGAAATTTTGGGTCTTTTGTTTTTTTTTCTTTACTAGAAAGATTTTTGATTTCTCTCTTTAGCGCACTTGCTCTACTTTTTGGCTGTCCACTTTCTTATAGATATCGATCGTTCATGGTACATCGGTGCGGTCTCCTGGAGATTATTTGTACTCTCCAAAACCCGTGACTGCAGCGCTCTTTCAAGCAAATGATACCACTGTATCGAGACATTCGACTCCGGCATTTTCTCATGACTTTCAAGAAGTCGTCGCGGGCCTTAATCTTCAGGCCCTTCCATGGACCCTCGAAAACCACTATTTTGCGGCACCCGGTCTTTTCCTGTAGTGCAACGCACCAGTCTCGACCTTTTTCTGTGATCGGGCCAGAGGTTGTGCATTAGCCATGAATCACCACGCCAAAATTCATACTAACCTGGGTCTCTAGAGACACTTCCATCGTCGTGTGCTTTGAGAATCGGGGAAAACAGTGTGTAGGTGACTAGAAACTTACCATCCGCGTTCACGTGAAGTAAACGGCCCTCCCCCGCCCCCGGCGGATCGTTCATCAAAACCACATCCCTCAGCCGAATCTCCGTCCTCTCCTTTGCCAGCCTTTGCAAAAGCCTCTCCGTTTCCCCTTTCTCCAGCGTCAGATCCGTCACCTTCAACACGTCCAGCCCTCTCTCCTCCGCTAGCGGGTGCAGCCTTAACCGAGACGTGGTTATCGGTTGCTCTTCCCAGATATCTCCCACCTTTGAGACATCCAGCCTTTTTAGCTTCAGACACCTTGCGACAAATAGTTCGACCGCTCATTGACCGCTCTCCACCACCTCCTTCTCCATCTCATCCGTGGCTAGTCCATCAACTTCAGCAACTTCAAGTCTAACCTTTATGTGCAGCTGCTGCTTCAAGATTTCCTAGTGTTCGGGTGTATACCTGGCGATCAAATTGTCCAGGTTCGGAAAGGGATTGTTCGTTGTTGCGGCTTCACAGGCTTTGCACAACAACGAGACCAGCTCGCTTTCGGGAGCGGTGACATGCAAGGTCGTGAGGTTAGCACAGCAGCCGAGGCGAAAGGCTAGGCCGGGGAGGAGCCCACCGTGTCTTCCTCTTTGACCGTGGAGCTTGAAGTTGGGACCTTTTGGTGAGTCTGGAGCCATGGGATCGAGCGGTGGAGGGGTGAGGTTGATGTCCAGCTGCTTTAGCCGGGGCAGGACGTTGGCCTTGTTTGGATTACAACCAATTTTGCCGAGGTTGTCTGTGAGATGACGTATGGCGGCGCGAAGTTCTTGTTGGGTGTCCTGGCGCTGGTCATTCCGGTTCTGGCTCCCATGCTGACGCTCATACGCGATTTCAGCGCGAGTCTGTACGGTGTTCAGGTCTTTTTGCTGCCAATTACGCCGGTTCAGGTTCTGGAGATGGTGATTATACGCAATTCCGGAGCGAGTGCGGAGGGTGTGCACTTCTTGCTTGTGCCGTTTCGGTTGATTATCCGAGTGCCATTTCTTCGCAATATTTAACGAAGTCCCGATTATTGAAGGTGATAGAGAACTTCTCGATGCGGTCCATCATGTCTCGGTTGTTCTTGTCGTTCCAGTAGTTGATCATCTCTATTCAGCGTCCGGGCTTGTCAAAAGCCAAGGGGGCGTAACTGGTCATGTGTATCAGTGCTGGGTGGTCAAAAGCTCTGCAGACCAGCCGAAGTTGGGAAAGTTGTTGGGAGAGTTGTTGGACTTCATTCAGAGGCGGTGATAATTTACTAATCGCAAATCTTTCAACGAACGATTCTGGAGGAGCGTAATAGTCTGCGAGTTCCTCTTCGTAGTTAAATCCACCGCGGAGCTTTTCATAGGTGAACGCCTCACAGACATCCTCAGCAAATAATTTACAGAACTCTTCGATGATCTGTTTGACCAGCATCCCTGTGTTAGCTTTGGATCGAGTAAGCGAACCCAGGGTTCAACTTGCCTGGTAAATTACCTCATAGGGTAGTTGGTCCATGGTGAAGGAAAATACTGTAGCGGAATGTCACTGTTCGGTTGCTGGAGTTATGGCTGAAGAGCACGTCAATCTGGGATCAAGCTTGTAGCCGAGTGATGACTTTTCGCAGAGGACCAAGGTCAAAAGTGCTGACAGTCATCCCCAATATGCAAGACTTGCTCTTGGGAGACTTCAGGCAGATTCCACTCAACAGTCGCTCGCAACAGAGAAGAAGATAGCTTACACAAACACAGGGATGAAAAGATTGACAACGCAAGCAACCAAGTGTCGATTTGTAGAAGCAAAAAGATGGCACGAATGAAGACAAGGATTATCATGTCTAAGAGCACGAATTACATGGCCCAATGTCAAAAAGTTGAAAGGACTATTTACCCAGATGCACCGTGTCCTTTTTCATCAGGATTCCGGCAGTGATAGCTCCTCAGGCTCTGGGAGAATGAGCTTAGAGTCAATCATGACCTGTAAGCTACGGCACTGTAGCTGTTCTTGTAATCTCTTGTAACTAGCTGCCTGCCTTTTGTACGGAAAGATTTCTGTATGCGGGCATAATGAATGTATTAGCCACGGTTCCTTTGTAGCTCGAGAAGCAGATAGATGAAAGAGGGGGATATCATCACCAACCTAACAAGGCCCCGTTAGCGATCCATTCCGAGTTCCACTGACGAAATGAGTGCCACCAAACCCTTTAGCTCTTGGAACAGGTCCGACCTAACATCAAGATCGCCTAAGATAAACTTGTCCAAGCCTTTATTTTCTGGATGAAGCTGCAGATTTTTGGGTTTCGGATAAGACCGCGGATAAGACCGCGGATATGTGAGCAGGCCAAAGAGACAAAGTTCTTGTAGGTTCGGGCAAAGCCTCACCGAGTCCGAAACGCTTCCTGCGGCCAATCTCGATTCTCTAGGAATATTACCATCGTCAATCGTCCACAGGCGATGACAGTGAAGCGATTTCAAGTTCCTGTAAAGCGGCTTCGACTCCTTTGCGTAGAAGAGAATGGGCTCGAGAGAACCATCCTTCGCTCTCACTCTCAGGCTAGTTAAATGGTCAAGCTTCCCATCATCAAAGGCCAGGCAAAAATCCACGACCGGGTCCCTCAAAAGAAAGCCTTTGTTGAAAACGAAGTCGTCATTGTCTGTGGCTTCGTCGAGGTAGAGAACTAACTCCCTTAGGCTGGGTAGTCCAAACATGGGCAAATCGAGCTGAGTCCGAAATTTGGTCGCACAAGTCCGCAGTTGCCGTTTCTTGGCTGCAGAAAAGGCGAGCGCTTGATCCGGCTGGGTGTGCTCACCGACAACAATCATCAACTTCCTTAGCCCATTCCTCAAGTGCTTCGTCTCTTCACTAGACCAGAACCGCAAGGATTGTGATCAGCACTCAACTTTCCCAAATGTTAGTGGAACATACTTGAGAATGTGCGGCGTAACGGCGTAGCAGAAGGCCTTTGAGATAAGGCGCAGCTGGAGAAGCTGTTGGACAGATGTATCGGTGAGGAAGTTGCGGTAGAGGACTTCGTGGGGCTTGGGAAGGTAGATGATGCAGAAATGGTGGATAATCTGAAGAAAAATTCGATGTTAGCGTGATCGCTTGATAAGTAGAGGAGAGAAAGTACTGGATCGGAAGAGAGTCGTGGGAAGTATCGCTGTTCTTGACACCCGGAATGAGGTTCCGTCCTGCGGAAATGTAGCCAGGTTACTGCCCCAATGGTCTGGTAATCCACGGGATAGCGGTCTACCCAATGTCCGACAGGATGGCAACGAGGACAAGAGAGATGAATGGCGATGGAAGAGTCCTCGTGAAATACCAAGACCGTCCACCAAACCGCCAAACTTGTGCCCCTCATATCAAAAAGCCTTATACTCCTTCCCAACTCCCAAGGCAGTGACACGAAAAAAGTGGAGAGTAAGGGAACTTACTTGGTAGAGAACGTCGTGAGGAAGGAAGGGGGTCATGTTGGCGATTATTGACTTCGATGACACCACACCTCCGATGTCGAGTGACGAGCGACATCCCAAGCACCCGTATGAGCCAACTTGGGGATGATATATAGTGGATGCCACGAAAATACAGGAGTGTCCGATGGCTTCCAGCGAAACGTGGCATTATCAACGAAAGCGCCGTCACACTCCATTACCATGGAACATTGTTGACAACAGTTCGTCGACGTTTCTTGAATCCTCCACATGGATCATTGGTCATGATTCACCATCTTCCCAGCTTCAGGGACAGATTTGCAATGCACAACACTTGTTGAGCGAAGCTGTTGGAAACAGCATAAGGTTCGCCATATGCTAGATAAAACGACTATAAAACGATAACACACCATACACATGCCAAGCCATAGAACTCACAAAAGCCAGACAAAGCCATGGGCCATTGTTGGTGGCAAGTCGCAACCCCTGAACGGTTTGTTTACTTTGGACGATCTCAACGCGACATGATTACATAATCTGGATCAAGAGGACTTGGAATATGGCCAAGGTCATCATCATATCACAGGAGAGGGAAGCACATGGTAGGGTCGGGACGTATCCATTCGGAGCAAATCTCATCTGTTTTAAGATCCCCAAACTTCACAAATCGCACCACATGGCAAGGGCGGGATAACGATTAAGTCCACCCCTTTTGACTCCCACAGGGCATTCCCTCTCTCCAGACAGCATATACAAAGAGTAGATGACGTGCCAGATTGAGTATCTTTCCCTCATTAGTGCGGTCAAGTTTGACCCGTTGCCAGGGGATAAGCGGTTTGCAAGAAGCCAGAGCCAGATTCCATTGTTGGGGGTATTCATGATCAATTCGTGTTGGAAATCGGTGGGCGAGGTTCAAGCCACAAGTCCAGTCTCCATCACGCCTCCATTACGCCATTTTTGACCCAGAAACCGAATGTGTTTTTTCGATTACAACTGTTTACCAGCTGGACTCCTTGGCCTCGGTGGCGGCCCAGTCAGCAGTGGTGGCAGGGGCAGTAGCGTCCCAGTTGGGGGCAGCGGCACCGGGAGCGGTCTCGGCCCACTCACCGGTGGCGGGGAAGCCAGCGGGGGCAGCCTCCCAGTCACCAGTAGCGGGGAAGCCGGACTCAATGGCGGCAACACCCTCCTCCTCAACACCGGGGAGCTTCTCCTCCTCAACCTTCTCCTCGGCCTCAGCCTCGGGGTCGCGGTCTGTAGGTTAATAGTTAGAGACATTGTCCCACCAATTCACGGGGGCTCCAGGAGATACATACAGAAGTAGAGATCGACCATGACGTCCCAGGGGGTCTCGCGGTTGTAGATGGTACCGCGGAGGCGGAGGACCTCACGGGCAAGCATCCACCAAACGCAGCCGATGGCGTGGCGACCCTTGTTGTTGGTGGGGATGGCAACATCGACGTACTCGGTGGGCGAGTCGGCATCGCAGAGGGCAATGACGGGGATGTTGACGTAGGAAGCCTCCTTGATGGCCTGGGCATCAGTGCGGGGATCGGTGACGATGATGAGGCGGGGCTCCTTGAAAGAGCGGGTGATGTAGTTGGTGAAAGAACCGGGGGTGAAGCGACCGGCAATAGCCTGAGCACCGGTGTGGGCGGCGAACTTCAGGACGGCACGCTGACCGTAGGGACGGGCAGAGATGACGCAGATGTCGGACGGGTTGTCGATAGAGGCGATGATGCGAGCAGCAAGGACGATCTTCTCCCTGTGGTGAGCCAGCACTGTCAGCCATTGTGGCCTTTGTTCGAGGTATTATCGGGGTGACCAAGCATCCTCCTCCACCTGGTCACCCATATTCGATCGATCCTCCACATACCAGGTCTTGCCAACGTTCAAGATGTTGACACCGTCGGCGCGAGTCTTCCAGAGGTAAGCTGCAGAGAAGAGTCAGGTCAGGTAATTGTCCGTGCGATCGCAAGTCGTTGTTTCTTCGACAAGTGTGGATATTTCGAGGGAGGAGTGCATACGCTGCATGTGAACACCGAGGCTATTCGCAATCGCACAAAGTCAGCATTTCGTGATCTCTTCAACTTTGTCTCGGCCATGTCGCCGGCGAGGTGTGGATATTTTTCGCATAAACGCACTTCTTGGAGCCGATGTGGCACTGAGCAGCAAGGAGCTGCTCAATATCGGTGCTCGTGGCATTGAAGATGGAGGGGAGGTTAGCGGGCGCCATCTTGACTGATCTCTGGCCTTGCGGTGTGAGGACTGAGGACTAGGAGGTGTCAGGAAGACGGCGTGGAGGGTGAATATATTTTTCTTGTAATTCAACCAGCCCAGCCAAGTCGCGGGACGTCCGAGCTTCTGCCTCTGATTTTCGGCACACAAATTCAATTTTGTGGAGTGCCGCGAGTGCGCCGACTGCCCCGCCAGGGCTGTGCAGTTGGTTGACAGTTGACCGTGCCAAGCCTTAGGGACCTTGTACGTACTTTTTACTTGGCATTGAGGATACACCCAATCAACAGCTCTCAATGAGCTTGGCCCCTCCTGGCTGCGACTTTGACGCAACATCTTTTCTCAATCTGCAAGTTTCATTCATTTTGGGTGGTCGGAATTTCGAATGGCCGAAGACCACTCCACTTTGCGCTTCCCAGCCAGCAATTCAGAGATGGTCTAGCCTTGCCCGGCTAGCGCAATAGACACCCAAATTTTGGTCCCAGGTGCGGACCGACACGGGAACGGTTGTTCAACATCGGCCGAGCGTGACCTGGAGGGACGAGGAGGGACCGCCGGGCCAAGCTGCGAGACTTGAAGAAAGTTGTTGCGCCGACTTGCACCTCGAGACCGACCACGCCGCCGGTGCACCTCCACCACCACCACCACCACACAGCCAAACCACCATGCCTCCCAGGTTACCTGGCCCTCAAGGGCTTCGCAGCCTCACACGTACGTGAGCTCTTATTTACCTTGTTTCTTATTTGTTTCCTTTCTCCATGATATGTCCGTCCCCCCGCCAAACATGCCGAGATGTACTGACATGTTGCTCCGGAACCGACAGTATGTCTCCGCCCCGCCGCCGCCGCGTCTGCCTCTCCGGCGCAGGCCCTGCAACCTCTCATCCAAACCGCCAACATCTCTCAGAAAGAAAAGAAGCGTAAAATGAAGCAGGACCCTTACGGCTGGGCCCAGGCGCAACAGCGCAAGGCCGTCAACGTCAAGCGCCAGGCCGAGCTCAAGGCCGAACGCGACGCCGCATGGGGCGACCCGGTCAAGGGCATCACCACCCCCTTCGTCGAGTCCTTCGACAGCGCCGGCCAGGCCCCCGTCTCGGCCCCCAAGGTCGGCCCCGACGGCCAGGTCGTTGAGGAACCCAAGCCGCTGCCGACCTCGCCGCACCTACGGAACTTTCTGCTCAACAAGGACGAGTTCGACAGCGCCATCCAGTACGCTGAACACATCTTGAAGCCCATTAAGGCCGAGGACCGGTCGACGGCCGACCCGGATAAGGAGGACGAGGAGGCGCGCGAGCACGCCGCCAGACACGCCAAGGCCGTCGCCGCCCTCGAGCGTATCGCGAAGCTGGAGCATGGTGGTGCCAAGGATCGCAAACACGCCAACATCCGCCGCTGCATCGAGACTTTCGGTCGCCACAGCACAGATCACATCCTTGAGAGGCCGACGCCGCCGTTGGCCGCCGGAGTGGAGTCCAAGCCTAAGCCGGTGCGGGCAGGTCCGGACACGGGCAGCAGTGAGGTGCAGATCGCCATCCTGACGTCCAAGATCAGGGCGCTCACCAAGGCGCTCGAAGGCTGGGGCGGCAACAGAGATAAGAACAACAAGCGCAGTTTGCGTAAGCTGTGCCACAAGCGCCAGAGGCTGCTGAGGTACATGGAGCGCAAGGAGAGAGGCAGTGGAAGGTGGCATCACATGCTCGAGACTCTGGGTCTGACGCCCGCCACCTGGAAGGGTCAGATCACCCTCTAATTGCATTCAACGCACCTACCTTGGTCGGTTGTCGTGTGTATTGTTTGTGTGTGAGTGAGTGAGTGAGAGTGGAAAGAAGATGTGATTCCCAGTTGTGTAGCATGAAAGCGTGTGTAACAAAACAAAGAGGCCTTCTCTCTATGTACAATACAACAATAAACAATAACCGGAGAAAAACCAAGGGGCGTACACGCGGGGGCAGGGCCATGCTGCTAATGATGATGATACCCCCTTTTCTGTGTTCCTCAAGAAAGTTCCAGATATAATACTTTGGCCATACGCGCCCAATACGCCTTTTCTCCCCTTCCCATTTCTTTGATCATTGATAACATGCAGACTGACAACCCGGCTCGAGAAAAAACATAGGGGGAGGACAAGCTTCCTCTGATAAAAATGCAACCTGAAAAGCAAACCCCATTACGAAAATTTGCTGTCCCTTAGAAAACGCTAATGTAGTTGTTGATCCTCTCCTTCTGGTTCTGCGCTATGCACTCGGCGATCCAAGTGATGTTGCGGATTTCCTGAGCGTCATGTTAGTCACCAAGCAAAACTGTATAAAGGGGAAAGCATCATCACTCACCTGCTCTCTCAGCTTAACCCACGCATACACTATGGCAAAGGTAAATTGCCTTGTGAACGCACCCTTGGAAATCTCCATCTCCTTCTGGTAAAACATGTCCTCCAGACTCTTGCCCTCACTTCCACCGCCGCCCATGTTACCGGGACCGCTAGGACCGCCTCCGAGACCAGCAGCATCGAAGAAGGACTTGTAATCAGCCACACCCTCAACAGCCAGCCTCACACCCTCGAAATCATCCGCCCGCGACAGCATGAGCGTCCCCTCCGGGTACAGCTGGCCGAAACTGGGGTAGAGCTTCTTACGGTCCGCCTTGGACAGCTCAGTGCCGAAAGAGTTCAGAGTGATGTTGATAGCGCGCCTGTCCGCCTCAAACTCCAGCAGCTCCGTCATCACCTCGGCAGTCGGGGTCCCGGCCATATCGGGGTGGGTGTTGACAAAGTTGTAGAAATCCTCCAGGTAGTTCTTGTACAGCGTGTTGCGCACAATCTCGATGTTGAGCTCATCCAGATCCTGGTGTGAAAGACTACCCTTGAAGTAAGGGGCCAGTGGTGTCTCGATCAGCACGCTGTTGTACAGCTCCTCGATATTGGTGGCCACGCAGAGGACGGGCATGGTCTCGAACCAGCCAAGCGGGTGGCAGCGCTCGAGCAGCTCGCGAGTGTCGCGCTCGTGAAGGGTGCCCGTGATAAGAAGGGCGACGTTGTCGATCATGTAGCCGTAGGTGAGGTAGTCCATGAACTTGGCCAGGGAGCCGGTCGCGTTGGCGCGGACATAGCGGAACTCGGAGACCAGCTTGTCGGTGGTCTTGGCGGCGAGAGCGGAGGTCGAAGGGTTGGGTGGGAGAGAGGCGAGGAAGTCGCCGTATGCAGGTCCGAGTTGGAGTTTGAGGTCTGCGGACAATATTGTTAGGGTGACTGATGTGGATGGACGTGTTATGGGTCGTAGATGGAGTTGGGGAGAGAGGCTCACCATCAATCGATTCGCATTGCGTCATGTTGGTATAGTTGGCGCCCGTCAACAGGCTGTTCCTGTATCCACGGACGATACCCTCGATGTAGCTGTTGATGGCATGATTAGCACTTGATTTCTGTACTAGAAACTCAGACACATACCCATTGTTGACGTTGAATAATAGGCCCTCCATGTTTGCGGTTGGAGTTGGAGGTGGTGATGTTCAAGCGAGTGTTCAACAACAACAACAGATGAGTGGCACTCCCTGTCTGATTGTCTCTGGTTGTTGGAGCTCCAGTTGGCCATCGAGGTCACAGGCACAGGCAACTCTCAGCGACAGGGCCGCGGGAAGGCTGCAACAGGGCGCCCACTCTCCGCGCTTCAGAGAGAGGGTTGGACCGTGCATGACTGGTCTTGGCATCTCCAATTCAGAGCGGCCAGAGGCGAGGGTTGAAGGAGAGAAGTTTGGCTGTGGAAAGATACGTACCGTAGCCGAGCTTGGGCCACCTCCGGCTTATTCAACCCCACACCGGGCTCTGATTGGGGGAAAGAGCGCCATTCAGTGGGCAGGCAGAGTGGGCAGAAGTGGGTGCTCCAAAGTCTGGTGGAAAAAAATTGTTCTTTGCTTTCGACTTTTTTCTCCCCTCGAGGCTCTTGGTGAATATCGCAAAAACAGCACACCCACTTGCTGTTTCCCAACGACAATTGACAGCGCGTTCGGGATCCAAACACCAAACCGCAACCATGCCTCTCTTTATCCTAACAGAAACCAGTGCCGGGTAAGTGCCATCACACCAATTCACGTCTACCCACAACGGCCTCGTCCATGCTTTTGCGGAAGAAGTTCGAATCGTCCAATTCGGCTGGTCTTCCATCTCGAACTCCAACAACAACACTTACAAAGATACAATATGTCTGACATGTCCCTACCTACAGTTATGGCCTGTTCAAGGCGGCAGACAAGAAGCTGCTGTCCGACGACAACCTCGCCGACCGTCTCAACAGCGTTGAGAAGATCACCAAGGAGTAAGTTGCCTAGTCATCAAATATCATGGCAACTCCCGGCCTGCATCCCCCGAGATCCAATTGACCAACACGCGTTCCTACAGGATCAAGTACAAGGAGTTCGCCAAGTTCGAGAGCGCCGCCTCTGCCCTTGAGGAAATCGCCGGTGTTGTTGAGGGCAAGGTCACCCCCAAGCTGAACAGCCTGCTTGCCGAGATTGGAAGTGAGAAGAAGGTCACCCTCGCCGTTGCTGAGACCAAGCTCGGTGCTGCCATCAACAAGATTCCCGGCCTCGACATCCAGCCCGTTGCCGACTCCACCACCACCGACCTCTTCCGTGCCATCCGCCAGTATCTCCCTGAGCTCATTCCTGGCATGCTCCCCGAGAACTTCAAGGAGATGTCCCTCGGTCTCTCTCACTCTCTCTCTCGCCACAAGCTCAAGTTCTCCCCCGAGAAGGTCGATGTCATGATCGTTCACGCCGTCTCGCTCCTCGACGAGCTTGACAAGGAGCTCAACACCTACGCCATGCGTGTCAAGGAATGGTACGGCTGGCACTTCCCCGAGTTGGCCAAGATCCTTCCCGACAACCTTTCTTATGCTCGCATCATTGTCACCATGGGCATGCGCTCTAACGCCCCCACCACCGATTTGTCCGAGATTCTTCCCCACGAGATTGAGGCTGCCGTCAAGGCCGCCGCCGATATTTCCATGGGTACTGAGGTTTCCGAGGAGGATCTCCAAAACATCAAGTACCTCGCTGAGCGCGTCATCGACTACTCCGTCTACCGCAAGCAGCTCTCTGACTACCTCGAGAACCGCATGCGCGCCATTGCTCCCAACATGACCGAGCTCGTCGGCGCTCTTGTCGGTGCTCGTCTCATTGCCCACGCTGGTTCCGTCATGAACCTTGCCAAGAACCCCGGTTCTACCATCCAGATTCTCGGTGCCGAGAAGGCCCTTTTCCGTGCCCTCAAGACCAAGCACGCCACTCCCAAGTATGGTCTCATCTACCACGCTTCTCTCGTTGGCCAGGCTTCCGGTGCCAACAAGGGTAAGATGGCTCGTCAGCTCGCCTCCAAGGTCGCCCTTGGTGTCCGTACTGATGCTCTTGCCGAGTTCCCCGAGGATGCCGATGATGAGACTCGCGCCAACCTTGGTATCCGCTCGCGCGCCAAGCTTGAGAACAACCTCCGCCAGCTCGAGGGCAAGCCCATTTCCAGCAAGGGTGTCTCTGTCGGCCCCAACGGTATCCCCGTCGCTGCTGCCCCCAAGTGGGACATCAAGGAGGCTCGCAAGTACAACATCGATGCTGACGGCATGGCCGCTGATGCTGAGGCTCCCAACAAGCCCCTTATCCAGGAGGTTGAGATGAAGGATGCCCCCGCCGATTCGGATGAGGAGATGAAGGATGTCTCTGAGAAGAAGTCCAAGAAGGAGAAGAAGGAGAAGAAGGACAAGAAGGCCAAGAAGGAGCTCGACGACGAGGACTTTGAGCGTCTCGCCAAGGCCGCTGGCATGTCTGCCGACAAGTTCAAGCGCCGCTTCGAGCGTGGCCAGATCAGCATCAAGGAGGACGGCACCCTCGAGGTTCTCAGCAAGAAGGACTTCAAGGGCAAGGCCGAGGAGGTCGAGGAGGAGGCTGAGGAGGAGAAGCCCGCCAAGAAGTCCAAGAGCTCCAAGCGCAAGGCTGAGGCCGAGGATGAGGAGACAACGAAAGAGGAGAAGCCCAAGAAGAAGAAGAAGAAGTCCAGCAAGGAGTGATTTCCTTTTTGAATTCTCTACTTCGGAGTTAATTACCGCTCCGTCTTCCCTTCTTGTTTGTTTGTCTGTATGATACACCTCCCCGGCAAAATTTCGGCTTGTGGTTGATCTCTGGCGTTGGTAATGGGCAATGTGACGGCGTACTGGATGGAGCATTGATTTGATTTCTAGAGAAAGAATATGGTTATTATGTTGTTTATAAAGCGAACTCGATTCTCATTTGGATCTAAAAAGGGGCATCGAGACAGGTTTAGCGGTGGTGATGCGCTGCGGCCCGGTTCTTGTCAACGGTTGGCGGAGAACCGAACTTGTATTCCTATCTACCTAAATAGCCTCCGTCTTCTGAAGCTTGAATTCGATTGACAGTCAGTAATCCATTGTTATTCGGAAAGTGGTCATAACCATCATGTCTTCAACTTCACCTAGTCATTGTGGCCTCTACCTATGGTCTTGACGTCTCAGTTCTGGTTTTTCGTGTTCCTTATCTTATCGCGTCGAACCATGGACAACCTAATAGCCCCACTGAAATTCCGTCACTGAACCAAGCAGCGGTCTCCAGCCAGCAGTCAAAGGTCCCTTGCTGCCTTCGTTTATTTACCATTTGTCATTCTTCCCTTCTTCCATCTGCAACAAGAACCACAAACCTCCACACAATTGCCATCATGGCAGATTCGGACCGTCCAAGGTCGCGTTCGCGATCACCCTCGCGAAAACCAAAAATCAACACAGGCGGATTCAAATGGAAGTCCAAGCCCAGCACCGGCAATGACGATAACCAAGACCGCGCCGGTCTGCAGCGTGGCTACAGGGATCGTTCACCCAGGAGGAACAACCGTGATCGAGACGATGATCGCAACAGAGACAGAGACAGAGACTCAGGTCGGGACCGCGACCGCGACCGTTCACCACGCAGGAGAGATGATCGCGACCGTGATAGGGACAACCGCGGAGGAGGAGGAGATCGCTACAGAGGCGATAGCTACAGAGGAGGCGACCGAGATCGCGACAGAGACAACAGGGACAGGAGAGACCGATCCCGCTCACCGCGAAGAAGAGATGACCACGACCGTTCCCCACGACGCAACAACCGATCCCCTCGTCGTGACCGCTCCGACAAGCCCGACAGGCCCAAGAGAGACAAAAAAGAAGACAAACCTCCTGCCCCAGCTGCCCCATCGGGAGGAGGAGGCGAAGAAATGATCATAGTAACCGTCAACGACCGACTCGGAACCAAGGCGCAGATCCCCGCCTTCCCCTCGGACACCATCAAGCAGTTCAAGGTCATGGTGGCGATGCGGGTCGGGCGCGAGCCGCACGAGATTCTGCTGAAGAGGCAGGGCGAGAGACCTTTCAAGGATCAGTTGAGCTTGGCGGACTATGGAGTTAGTAGTGGGGTGCAGATTGATTTGGAGGTTGATACTGGTGATTGAGGAGGTACGGGGAGCTTGGTTGGTTGGGAGGAGAGGAGGGAAGGGGAGGAAGAGAAGCAGGCTCGCCGAAGATATTGTGTGTGGCCGACAGCTTGTATCACGATACGGAGCGGTATGGGCAAAGTGTCGAACAATGTATGGAATACCTGGGATCGAATAATCGACAGAGCCATGGAACGAAACGAAACAACGTGGTAATGATATCATCAACCTAGCTACTCGCACAGCGATATATAGGTTACACAACCTCAGGACAGATCCCATTGAAAACATACCTATAGTAAAACCCTGCCCAACCGAACCAACGACGCCTTCCGATGTGATCATGATCAATCATAACTCATCGCTCATAACCTTCCTTCCCTTTCCAAAACCCTACCACCCATCACTATCCTCCTTCCCCTCCCCTCCTCCAAAACTCCCCGGCATCCCACCACCCCCAGCAGCTTCCCTCTCCGCCCTCCTATTCCTTTCTCTCTCCTCTCTTCTACCACCTCCACTTCCACCTCCGCCCCCATTCCCCGTCTTCGTCATCTCTCCCCCATCACCATGCCCCGGTGTCTGTCCCACACTCACAATCGAACTGGCAACCTTGCTATACTCAGGCGGATCACCCGGAATTCCACCTCCATTGACCAGAGACCCATTCATCCCTCCCCCTCCTCCTCCTCCTCCTCCTCCTGGGCCGATATTTTCGTTGTCAGACAAAGCAGAAACAGCTTCACTCGACCTTGAACTCCTTCCACTTCCATTGCTTCCACCGCTAGCAGACCGTTTGATGTCTTGCAGATAGTGGTGGTCCTGGTTTAGGTTTAGGTTGCTGTGCTGCTGGTTCCGCGTGCTGCGATGGGTTTGGTGACTGACGTGACTTAAATGGCTATTAAGACTACTCGGGTTTAGATTGGGTAGATGATCATCTAAGTCGTCGTCGTCGTCCAAATCAGGATCGGGGTCGTCTACATGGGCCTGGTGGGCCTGGTGAGCTTGGTGTTGATGGTCTAGGTATTTAAGCGGCTGCTGTGAAGAGTTGTCGAGAAGTTCATCGGGGTGCTCGTCGGGTGGGATAAGGATCTCGTGGGCGTGGCCGTGGAGGAGGACTGAGGATGGGCGTTGGCCTGGACCGGGAGGACGGATGGAAGTGAGGGATTGTTGGGAGAGGCGGCGGGGGAAGGTGGGTGGTTGTGGGTTTGGGCGCGTGATGATGGTTGTTGGCCCTGGGTGGCCGGTGGTTGTTGTGGGTGAGTCTTTGAGAGAGGATGGGGAAGAGCTGCCGCGGGCTTTGAGTTCGCCTTGGGTTATGTAGTGGGCTTTGAGGTCTGTTTGACGGTGTTAGTAGGTAGGTACTGGCCGGGGAAAGAACAACCGGGTGATGGAAAGAGATGGATGGGGGGTGGTCAGGGGCGGGTGAGATGGGAACGTACGGTCAAGACAGAAGCTCTCGACGATGACCTCTTCGTGGCATTTGGGTTTGGAGCAGCCGTCTGTTAATTCGTCAGTGTCCGCTTCACGGTTGAACTAAGAAGGGGCAAGGGCAGGTTGGAACTTACGAGTCCTGCAAAAAATGGCTAAGCGCTCAACGAACTCGGGACAATCCTGGGCACGGCAAGTGTCTGTTATGTCGTCAGTCATTTTCCCAACTATTTATTGCCCTTTCTTTGGCGTTCGTTCCTCTGAAAGCATGACTTACGCAACGGACAGAACTTCCCCCTCACATTTGGACTGGCTGCCCAAGGCCGTGGATACCGGCAGTTAACCTCCGCACAACAGTCTGGTGCATATATGTCAACATCACTTTCAACTTCAACACCTGAGGCAGGGACGAAACAACGATAACTCACGTTCGCTACAAAACGGCTTCGACTGGCTGCTCTTGCTACAGCCCCTCTCCCTACACGTGTGGTTGGCGCAGTAGAGGGATTGGTCGATCTTCATGTCTTTACAACGGTTTACGGCGCAAGTGGCATCTGACAGCCAGTAATTAGGATTTCTTTTCTTCCAGCATTAATGGTCAGATCTGGAGAATACTCACGGTCGACACAGAACCTGAGGTACTCCTTCGCCCCAGAGACATTATGTCTCGCTCTGTTGCAATTGCTGATATCGCATTTAATGTCTTTCGACATAGTGTTAGCCAGTGGGCTGTTTCAACCAGGTTAGAGGAAGTGTAGAAAGGACTTACGAATAGCACAATAAGGATATTTCCCCTCGACTATCGTTCCACATCCATCCTGCTGGCATTGGTCTGGGCAGCAGAATTTGTATACAGCTAAGCTTCACAAACTTCAAGAGGTGTGGTAGGGGACGGGACATGGACAACTTACGTTCCTCGCAGCAAATAGAAGGTTGTTTTCCATCAACAATAACCTGTTTCTTACACCCATCGGCACGGCATCCATCTACATGGACAACGGCTCACTTGTTAGTAGCAGTTTCCTTAAAAGGACTGGAGTCTACCAGACGGTGCAGTTCAGCAACAAAAGAGCCTGATGGCACTCACGTTTGTCGCAGTAGTTTGCCTTCGCCGATGGTTTCCGACGAGTACACCTTCGGATGGTGCACTTGTCTATGTTACATTACGACTTGAACATCAGCACAAAGTCCAAAAAATAGCATTTTTGGAATAACAGTAGTCAAGACTCACGATCAGCACAATAATCCCACCTCAAGTACACCGGCCCTCCGTCGTTATGCCTGGGCTCGTAGGCTGGATCTAGGTACTGAAGTTTGGCTTGGTTACATTCGGCGACAGGACATTTGGCATCTATCAGCACCGCATGTTTAGATTATGTTCCTTGAGGTGTAAATTAATCGAAGAGTGAGTGAGACGGGGCTTACGATAAGCGCAAACGCTATCATGCACTGGTTTCTGAGCAGTGCAGGTATCTTCGTTGCTGTAGAAGTGGGAGCAGGTATCTGTAGCAATTCATCATCATTGTTAGAGCATTGTTTAACACACACACGCATATACACCAACGCATAAGAAAAAAGCACGCAGATAGTGAGAACAGAAAATGAGATGGAGAAAGCATACGATATTGACAATAAGGCGAAGCGACCGTGCTAGCCCCAGCACTCGAATACCGATGTTGATGACCCGGATACCCCCCCGGAACCCGCCCATCAACACCAGCTGGCGACCCTCGGCCCTGCAGAGGGTTACCGTTTCTATCTCTGATGATGCTGGCCCGTACGCTCGAGAGGGTCGGCACCGTAGCCTCCACCTCCGTTGTCGACGGTTTTGAGGAGGACTTCGTGCGGACAGCCTTCGAGGCGGCACATGAGTTGGTTTTTGCTTCGGTGGTTCATGGTGGCGGTTTACGTAGGGGTTGCGGTGATGATGTTGATGAGGATATGATACCTCTACTTATATCGATAAGGTGGTTAGGTTATTGGTTCGTCGATGATGGCGTGGTCGACTAACTGGCCTCCGATGTGTTGGCCTCGATATGTTGATGGTAGTACCACTGACTGAACCAAGGCCGAGTATTTAGGTCTGGTTGTCCAGGTCGTCCAGGTCGAATATTCGGTCTTCTACACAGGTCAAGGGCAAGAAAAGAAAACAGTTGGAGTAAGAATGAAAAACAAACGGACGCAAACAGTGTGTGTCCGTTGCCAAGGTCAACAAGCGAACAAGGTCAATCGTCAAGGATACTGCAAGGTCAGGTGAGACGATATGGAGAAGTCCTGGAAGTCAAGTCAAGGGAGGACGAGGGTCATGGGCCTGGCCTGGTGAGATGGCCGACCCAGACCATTGGACGAACGGTTACTGTGTGCCTGGATCCCGAGGACGTCTAGCAAGAAGCAAGGGGTAGTGATAGAAGAATGTCAGAACCCCAGAAAGATGGAACAAAAAACAGGAATGAAACTCATAGCAATCAAAGTCAACAGACCACTCACATCCTCATGTTCGTCTTGTTCGTCTTGAACCTGTCAAGTCAATCAGGAGCCTCTCGGTAGCTATCAAGCAAGTTACCACACCACGTTGTGATCAGCCCTGTCCCCCCTGCCCCCTCCCCTCGACCTACCTCAACCCCTGTCACCTATTCTGAAGGAAGCTTGCCAATGTTGATGTTTCACTTGCCCTTCGGAACCACATTGGCGGGGCAAAGCATCGCAGACCCATTTCAGTGGTTCTTTTTTTTTCCAGTCATGCACCTTTCAGCACAACATCCATTGCATCGTTTGGTTAGTCGCCGTCAGTGGAAAGGATAAAAATAATAATATCGGAGGCCGGGCGCAATCCCGTTCCTCGCCTATCGTCGAAGCATCCTTCCTTCTCTCTCCAGATTTGATAGAAAAACATCGAGCAGCTTTCCCATTGGTGACTTCACACACTTCCCAGCCATTTCTCAAACGCCCGCGAATGGCATGGATCATGCGTGCGGCGTGTGGTGTGGGACGCGGGAAGACGAAGCCAGTTGGATGGCTCGAAACCTTTTGACAACCTTAACAAGGTGCGTGTAGGAGATCCCAGGGCTATCATGACCACCAACCGACTTGCACATTCAATACGATGCATAAAGAGGTTGCGTCCCGAGAAAGACGGGAGGGTGTCCTAGCCCCCCCTGGGATATTTTTGTGCGTGAGAGGGTAGGAGAGAGGCTCCGTCCGATGTGATGTTCTGACATGCTTGGCAGCCAGCTCAAGCCAAAAATGCCATGGCGAGAATGGTGTGACATGAGAAGGCATAAAAATGCAAGCGCCCGGCCTAGCATGTCTGGAAGCCGGGTGATGAAGCTCGCCAGAGAGCGGGGACGGCAACAGTGCGGAGAGGAATGATTGTTGCTGTTCTGTTGATAAACAATCAACGTTCAAGCACATTCCTTTATTCTCTTGAACGATTAAGCCCCGCTGCCTTCTAGCTTCTGATCCTCGTCGGCCATCTCCCCCGGATTCCTTCGAGTGAGACAAACGCATTTGCAACAGAAAGAAAAATTTGAATCGATCCAGACTTGCAGTGTAACTTTATCAACAGGCGTGATGCCGTTCGAGTGTGGGGAGGGAAAGTCTAGTCGCTTGACGACGATGATCTTGTCCCGATATAGAATGGAGGGCTGCAAGTCCTATCGAGAAGCTCATCACGTGACGGCGTATCACTCTCGTGTCCGAAGGCCGGCGCGTGCAGAAGTGGTGAGACGCGCTTGTATCCGACTCGGTCAGTATAGTGTGCCCTGGAATGCCATCAGTATTTGATTTTATATCACAAACGCAAGCAACTGCAATAAACAAGACTCCTCATCGGACCCCTCGTCAATTCATCCTTCAGCTTCATTATGGTACATCCACATCTTTTTGCGCCGTTTAGGCGACACATCCTTTCCTTTCCTTTCCTTCCTTTAATCCTTTCTCTGTCGTTATCATGCAAGTGATGTCGGGGGTAACAAAATAAAACAAGGTTGGCCACCATTTAGTCATCCGTTTCTCCGTAACCCCTTTGCGCTTGCCCAAATTTTTAATGTACAATACAGACCAATGAAGCCAAAATCCATGTTATAGCGCAATATGAACTTTTTTGATCATGAGAACGCCCAAGATCCCAGAACAAAAACGCATACGCCCACATAAACAGATGCCAGACGAGATCAAAACGGGAAAAAAAGACACTTAAGCTCCGACAGACCAGCCAGAGCCAGATTCAGCACCCCAGCCGGAGGCATCACCCCAGCCGGACGCACAGCCCCAGCCAGACTCCATCGCGGCAGGCTCATGACGACCAGACTCCTAGTGCTGCTCGTCACCACCCGCGCGAGGAGGGCGAGGACCTCCACGACCGCCACGAGGACCGCCACGGCCACGACCACGACCGCGACCATCACCACGTCCACGGTAACCGCCACGGCCGCGATAGCCTTGCTGCTGAGGACCACGGTTACGCTGAACCGACTGGAAGCCGTCGTCGCCACCAGTAGGGGCACCGGCAGTCTCGGGATGGTCGTCAGCCCAAGACTGGATGTTGGCAGGGGCGGCAGGGGTAGCCTCGAGGCCCTTCTCGGTCTCAGCAGGATCGCGCTGAACCTCGACCCACTCCTGAGAGCCGGTCATGTCGGTAGCAGAGGCAGCGGCCGAGCCAGAAGCATCCCAGCCGCTCTCAGCAGCAGGGTTGGCGGTGCTGTCACCAGCATCGGTCTGGGCGGGAGCGCCGCCAGTAGCAGGCTGCTCTTCGGTCTTTCCGTTGGTCAAAGCAACGGCAGAGCCATCGTCAATCTCGGTGAGGCCGGCGTTGGCAACAGTAAGATCGGTCTGGGGTTCCTGCTTGGACTCGACAGCCTCGCTCTCAGCGGGCTTGGTCTCGACGGGGGCCTCGGTCCCGGTGGCCTGGGCAACGGGCTCCTCAGCGGCGGGCTGGGAGAAGGGAGCGGCGTAGGCGATAGCGACCTGCTTAACCTGGGCAACTGCAAAAGGGGTTAGGTTAGTAGGCATGAAAAGTGGTTTGTACAAGGTAGTGGAGGTGCTTACAGGTAGTCTTGAGCAGCTCCCCAGTGGTGCTGCGAGTCTGCTCCTCGGCACCTTGGACGAGCTTCAGCATGTTCTTGACGGCATTCTCGTCGCCGGAGTAGATGTGGAGCAGAACGCCTTCGAGAGCCATATTCTCGTCGGCAGTGCTGTCGGCATCCTCAGCGCGACGGGCCGCGGCAAGGCGGAGGAACTGGGAGAGGTGGAGCAAGCTGTCGTGGAGCTTCTTGTCGGCATCGGCCTCGGCCTTCTTCTCAAGCTCAGCAGTAAGCTCGGCCTTCTCCTGGGCAAGCTTGTCGTTGAAGGTCTTCTCCTGCTCGGCGAGGCGGACCTTGTGGTCAGCATCAAGCTTCTTGACGAGAGCAAGCTGCTCGTCAAGCTGGAAGAGCTGGGCCTGGAGGGCAGGCTTCTTGAGGTATGCAGCCTTCTGGTCGGCATTGATGATCTTGAGAGACACCAGGTTGTCGAGAGACTTGTTGCCGTGCTCGGCTACCAGGTGGTCAATCTTGGCAGCATTGGTCTACATTGGGAACATGATGTCAGTGTCTAGCTCAATCGGGTGATGTTTTGGTGTGGGTGGAGACCTACGATCTTCTTGGAGACGTTGCGAATAGCCCTGGTGAAGAGAGAAGAGGAAGTGTCAGTACATGGGTAGAAAGTGACAAGACGGAGGGAGGACGGAGGGGCAGAGATAGGGGGACGTACTTTTGAATCTCGCGGATATGCGGGTTGGACGAGTCGCCCTCCTGAGACGGCTCGTTGCCAGCGGCGAGAGAAGCGGGCTTGTCTGGGGTGGAAGAAGTAGCAAGGGCGGGGGACTCGGTGCCCTGCTTGGCCTTCTTCTTCCTGGCAGACTTGGACTCGGTCGCGACCGGAGGGTTCTGAACGGCGGCGGTGGCCATTATGTGTGTTGTGTGATGTTTTCAAGCTTGTGGGGGAGCTTGTTGCGGTTGCGCGGTGTGTGAAGGTTACCTTGTTTGCTTGGGGACAAGGCTCCAACAATCTGTCTGTCGGCTTATGATGCTCCTTTGCGGGGTTGCGTTGGTTGACTGCTTGATGCGGGGAGCTAATACCAGCGATGTCTTGGACGTGCTGGAGTGATAGGGTTTCGGTGTTAATATGGAGAGGTAGAAAATGAGAAGAGCTGAAGTTGTTGTTTACAGGAAGATGGTGTGGAGGTGAGTTTGTTTTGTTGTTTGGCGGAAGGAGGGTGGGCGGGACGGGAAGGCGGCGGGACAGCTCAGCTGCTGACGTTCGACAATTTTGGAGCTCTCCGCGGCCAGGAGAGGTCCCGCCCCAGGTCAAAGTGGAGTCCCCGATCCCGCCCAGGCGGACACCACCTCAGTCACCAACCCCCAGAGCGGGACGGGCAGTTGTTGATGCCTTTTTGGCGGGCGGTCGACGGCTGGACGGAGGAGTCACAGCGGGCCTCCTGAATCTACAGGCGGATGAGGCGGTACGTTGCTGCCTTGCCGTCGGGTCTGGGGTTGGCCGCAGCTCGGCGGCTTCCCATCGACTGGAGCCCATTGACGACAGGCAGAGAAGCGTGCAGAAACACCAAGAATCTCCATCACAACAGCGGTCAATACGGTAACTGTATTTCACCCAATTTCAATCTTCATACCACCCATGGTATTTTCTGTCTGTCCTTGTGAAAATCACGGTGAATTTTGATTTTACCATTCTGATATGTCCTGATACATAGGACGGGGAATGTCTTGATGTCCTCCCCCGCACTTCTTTCAGCTATATCATCATCACATATGAGACCGTTGTCACCACGTCCACGAATGAAGGCGTGCTATGAATAATGATAGGTCGTCAGGGCCATTGTCTCGTTTGCTTCACCTCCAACGGAATCACCGGCTGTGGGGGTAACCAGTGTGCTGTCAAGACCTGTCATTGCAGATTTGCGTTGGTTGTTACGATTCCTCAACCTTTGAACTTTGCAAGAGTGTCCTGTTGAAGCAAAATGTCAACAAAAGGGGCCAAAGGGTCAAAAAGGGGGCTGTGGGGGGAAGACAAGAGCTGAATGCGACTTTGGGAAAACTTACGGCAGTGACTTTCTTGACACTCCGACCTGTGATGCCCCGTTCACCCCCTTGCTTGGCTTCAATGGTAGCCTCTTTCATGAGGCTGTCAAGCTGTTAGCGTCATGTCATGTAATGTTAGGGGAGAGTTTCTTACGTCTGCATGAACAAAACATAATCGAGATAGATCTGCAGCAAACGCGATGTCAGTGCGACACGTTGGATTTGGGAATAGTGGCATATTTTGTGACGTTACCGCTTACCATGATATCGACGTTTTTGCTAACATTGCAGTTAGCGTGGGCCTTGACGATTTTCTTGACCGTCGCCCGCGGGTATGCTTTTCGGCCAGGCATCTCAAATGTTCTCTGCCGGTAACTCGGCTGGTATGGTGTGACGGCCTAGGAGACACCAGAGATCATATCCCAAGGTACTCTGCAAAGTGTCAAGTGGTCGTTGTCAACGGTCGTGATGTGTTGTTTTGATGTTTTGGCGTTTCTCAGAGGACCTAACACTAACACAAAGGTTCTGGCCAATCGGGTAACAGAGCCGCAACCCCACCATGATGTACCCCCTGGCGTCGATGAACAACTGTGCCCCTGATTGATTCCAGGTGGGGTGGGTTAGAGCTTCGACGTCGCTTTCGGGCTGTCACCACGTCGACCAACGCCTAACAACTCTCTACCTCCAACAAACATCGCCAGCTAAATCCACAGGCACAATGAATCGCCGCATGGTAAGCTCTTGACGAGTGACTCCCCAACAAGATCACACATGGTTGCATGGCGCTCCCGCTAACCACCCCAACAGCTAAGCAGAGAGGACGAGGAGGCAGCGGGCGACGAGATCGAGGTCCGTCGCGAGGACCAGGACAAGATCAACAGATTCAGCCGATTGCACCAGCGTGAACTCGGCATTGAGGAGGAGCTCAAGAACAAGAACAAGGAGAAGGAGGAACTGGACGACTTGGATACCGAGCTCGAGCTTGTTGAGGACGAGGAGGAACTTGTCCAGTAAGTTCGCGAAACCAATCAACACCCCGACAGGCATTTGCTAAGAATCGACGACAACAGGTACAAGATTGGCGATTCCTTCTTCCACATTCCCCACGAACAAGCAAAGGAGATGCTCGGCATCGCGGCCGCAAAACTCGAAAAGGAGATCGAAGACCTCGAAGATAAGCTTGAAACCATCCGCACCGAGATGAACGGGCTCAAGGTGGATTTGTACGCAAGATTTGGAAGGACAATCAATCTCGAGACATGAAAAACATACCCAAGCTATGCCGCCTATACGTCACTTCCGAGGAGTGTGAATAATGCTTCCGTATACAACACTGGCAACAGATTGCTTCTCCCAACAAACCGTCTTGATCGGCCGCCACAAAGTTATACAATCACGTCGAGACATGGCCGACCATGAGGAAAGTGCTGGGATATAACGTGGACATTATGTCACTGGAAGCCTTTTAGGCAGAGGCTCAACTCTTTCTGTGTATCAGCAGGCCTGATGCCCAATGAGGCATGTTCGCAGCGTGCAGAGCATGCACGGATCCGCCCGCTGCCTCGGCCTTGTCATCTTGTCCCATCGCCAGCGGCTACCAGTGGGAAGCTGATAAACTCGGTAAGGCCTTTCAAATCAACACAGAAATTCGATCCCAGGACCATTACTGACTAAAGCAGGTTATTGAAGTCACGTCAAACTGGAGCCAGAGATGCTTCTTATTTAGGCTATCAATGTCATGTTCATATACTTACCACAAAGAAAATGGGAAATGCAGGAATCATCTGTCCCATGCGTTGAGATGTGCTTCAAGCAGGAACGGATTTGGCGCTTATTCGTCGCTTCAGCAGCCGAACCCGTGTCGATCACCCAATACTGGTCCTCATTCTTACTCTTGTCCTACCGAACCAGGTTGCTGTCATCAGACGGCTTGTCCTCGCCAAGGCCACGACATCAAAATCACCACTTGCTAACCTGCTTTCGCTGCCATGGCCGACCCAGGGGGGCATCGGTCACTGTTCTGGTTGAACAACCTTGAACCAGACATCTGCCGATTTTTAACTTGAAATTCTGTTTTGTGGTCTTGGGGCTTGCCCCAAGTCTGATGGCCTGAGGCTGTAGACAGCGATGAGTAGGTATATATGAAAGCATTAACCCTCGACAACCAAGTGATGAAACTTTGCAAAATTTTGATCAAAGAAGACAACACCCATAATCACGTTACATCCCCGAGCCACATCGCACTCCATGCTGACCGATTCGGCTCCTCCGTCATTCTCCGATAGTCGACAATTCCTCGGCTCGGCGAGTGAAATATAGGGGTCGTACCCCACGGAACGTCATGTCGACGTTGAGACACCCATTGTCTCGTCGGTCGTTCCCGAAGATCTTTGCCTCTTCACATGTCTAGCTCAATTGCTCCCATGCCACAAACTACCGCCATTTGGGCAATACCAGCAAGTTCCTATTGCCCCCCGACCAGCCAGCTGGGACGCCTGTCTTCCTTCAACCAGAATACTACCAGAGCTCAATCAAGAGACTTCAAACATTTTGAAATGGGCGTGCTTTGCTTGACAGAGTCATTTAGAAGGAAAGTAACGTGGCTGACTTCCGCACAGAAAGAGTCGACAGTCTGATGGCTTGTTTACGTCCCCACATCAAGGCACCAACTGTAACGCTACACATCCTCGGATATCATCACTTCCACTATCAAATCGCCCTCCCGTCATGCAGAACTGTTCAAGCATGCATGACATATTTCTTCTTCACTATGGGTTTACCACTCTCAACACATGTTCTCACGTTTTGTTCACAAATTCTGTTGTCATAGGAAACAAGATGGCGTTGTATATCACCTCTTTTGTTCCGCCGCTTGTCCGCTATTTGTTCGGGTGAACTTGACCCTTTCTTTTTGGCTACTCAGATCAGCCCGGAACTTCATCGCCTTCAAACCCACTCGACCTCTCCGCTCCGTTGGGTGGTCTGGTGACCTCCATACCCTCACGACATGTCACAGAATGGCAAACTGAACCCCAGCGATGATTATCATCAGCAATCCCAAAATACCCAACTAGAAGAGGGTATCTCAAAATTCGACGCACGAGTTGATTCCGGTTTCGTGCGAGACGAGAGACCAAAGTCTCGCAAAGACAAGCAGTCCATCCACAACAAGAAGTCTCCAGAACCGAGGAGGTTCTATCTCGGGACATCATCTAGCTCGGGAGAAAACAGTGAGAGGAACAGTGGGAGCGAGTCCTTCTACTCTTACGAATCAATGAATCTCGAACAACTCTTCCACTTCGGCGAGTTCAACATACCCGAAGAGTCGCTACCTCCTCTGTCAATACGGGGCAGCACCAGTGGTGAGTCTCAAATAATCCCCCCCAAGGGTATAATGACCGTTTCTGCTAACCAACCGAACAGTCCCAAGAACCAGCTTTCCCGACCCAGCAACTATCCCCATCAGCGAACATGCCAGCTCTTCGTCATCCTCCTCCTTCCACGAAAAGCCAACAACCGTTGTAAAGCCACAAGGGGCCCCTTCCCAACTTCCCCGCGCCAGCAGCATAACCAGCTTCGGCTTCATCGATGATGGTGAAGACACCATCATCTCGTGGGAAGAAGATGACCATGAAAATCCGTACAACTGGTCCTCGGGCAAAAAGGCCGCGATCCTCTTCACAGCCGTCATGTTGATCCTCAACTCCTCCATGGGCAGCGCGCTTCCCTCCAACGCCATCCCGTTCATCGTGGAGGAGTGGAACATCCAGTCTGAACAAGAAACGGTGCTTCCGATCTCCATCTACCTAATCGGTGAGGCCTTGCACTACCTGAGCTACTTCGAACAAAGACTGACGGACTTAGGATACGTGATGGGACCCATCTTGTGGGCTCCCTTGAGCGAGCAGTATGGACGCAGGAGACTGAGTATAGGGACGTTCATGATGTTTACTTTGTTTACGCTGGCGTGTGCGCTCGCTCCGCACTGGATCTCGTTTATCATATTTCGACTGTTTTCGGGCATCTTTGCTAGTGCACCTATTGCGCTGGTGCCAGGGATTATTGCGGATATTTACAATGAACCGAGAAAGAGGGGGAGGAGTATGGGCATTTTCATGGCTGTTAGTTTTTCCCCCTTTCTTCCCTCTCGTCACATTCCCTTTCCATACCTTCCCCTTCCCACTGCCTACAGTCATTAACATCTCACAGACCACAGTCTTCGGCCCCCTAATTGCCCCCATCATCTCCGGCTACGCCGCCACCACCATCGGCTGGCGCTGGGCCTTTTGGATCGGCCTCATGTACGCCGGCACCACCCTCCTCCCCCTGTTCTTCCTGCTGCCCGAAACCTACGGCCCCATCCTCCTCCTCCAGCGCGCCCGCAACCTTCGACTCACCAACCCAACGCGCACGTCGTCGCCCCCCGCGAACTCGAAGACAACCAACACTCCCTCTCCGAACTCACCACCATCGTTTTGACCCGTCCCATCCGCATGATCCTAATGGAACCCATCGTCTCCACCTCCTGCGCCTACATATCTTTATGTTACGCAATCTTCTACATGACCTTTGAAGCCTACCCCTTCATCTTCATCGACCTGTACGGCCTCTCCCCCGGCGAATGCGGCCTCACTTACCTCGCCATCGGCGTCGGCTGCTTAATTGCCCTACCGATATTCATGACATGGGACTCGATCCTCACGCGCGCCCGCAGCCGAAACGCACCCTGGACAAAGCAGGAAGAATACCGTCGCCTGCCTTTAGCTTGCCTAGGCGGCCCCATGTTTGTGATAAGTCTCTTCTGGCTCGGCTTCACTTCGCGCTCCTCAATTTCCTTCTGGGTGCCCATGTTATCCGGGATCCCCTTTGGCATGGGCTTCATGTGCGTTTTCCAGGCCCTTCTCAACTACCTGACAGACGCGTACGAGATTTTCGCGGCGTCAGCCAACGCCGCTGCTTCTTGCTCGCGGTCCCTGCTGGCGACGGTGCTGCCGCTGGCTACGGCGCCCATGTTCCACCGTCTGGGAATCGCGGGCGCGTGTTCCCTGTTGGGAGCGATGAGTCTGATCATGACGCTTATGCCGTTTATCTTTTTGTGGCAGGGGGAGAAGATTCGCAGGGGAAGCAGGTTTTGTTTGTTGCTGAGGGAGCGGAGGGAGGAGATGGAGAGGAGGATCGAGGAGCAGAGACGGAGGAGGACGGGAGTGACTAGTGGTGTTAGTGGGTTTCGGTTCTCGGCGTATGGAGCGGGTCAGGCGAGGACGGAGACGAGAGGGGAGGGTAAGGTTGTTACAGCGATGGGGGGTATTGAGGAGGAGATGGGTAGGGAGGACGGGAATGAGAAGCGGATGAAGATGGAGGACATGGAAAAAGGGGAGATGGAGAAGGGCAAAGAGATGGAGAAGAAGAGCTCGAGCTACAACTCAAGCCACAGTGAGGGAGACCGCCAGGCTGATGTTCCGCATCCAAATGGCGATACCGGCGATATGGCGAATCACCCTGAAGGCCCGGATTACGGAGCCGATGAGGTCGGCGAGTCATCCTTCAGTCACCACCATGACCATGACCATGACCGCCATAATGATCCTCATCCGCCTGGTTCAAGAAGTGGTTCGTCGGCTACCGTGGCTGTTGGTCCGCCTACATGTAGCAAGACCAGCGGTGCGCACGATGTGGGAGCAGCGAGTAGGATGGAGATGGGACTGGTTGAGACGAGGAAGGAAGGATGAATTTGTTTGTTTGTGGTGTTGGACAATGAATGACCACTTAGCATGAAGAAAACAAAAGGGGGAAATGAAGAAAAAGTATGATAGCACCGATTTTTTATGCAAACGCAACAACACCTCTTTCTCCTCAGCTCAACCCCTCCGTCCCTTCGCTCATCCAAGAAAGGCGCAAAATTGGTACACAAAGGTACAACAAACTGATACCATAAGATTACCAACAACAGTTCAATCAAGCGACATCTCACTCGATCATCTTAGCACCTCTTGCAAGCCCTTTCAGTTTGTTGGTTTTTCTCGGGTTTGTAATTGTAATTATTGATTGCGTTGGGTACCTTCTTCCATCGCTACTCACACTTGCAGATCCGTAATTGGTGCCAATGGGGGCCTTCATAAGCCTATTACAAGGAGGCGGTCTGTCTGGGTTTAAGTAGACAGACTTCCAACTTCCAGGTCCAAGTCTCCTTCCTATTTATTGCGGGTGTGAGTTGTGCATAAATCAGGATGACTTCCAGCGCTCTTGACTTCGTGGCTCTCTGAAGCGCCATCACCCCATTACAGTACTTCACTTCACCATGAACCGACTTCCCTACGATGTGGTTTATCAAGTAAGATAAAGCCTGCAGTCATCCATTCTTCATCGAGCTAATATTGATAATTTGAATGAACACAGACTATCACAGAGCTCTGCAATTTATATTTCTCAGATCCTTTCGTAATAGAGTTCAACAGATCAACACCCTTATGTTTTCAAAACAAATGGGTCTCACTGTCCAGTCTCAACCTCGCCCAACAGCTCCTCCAACTCCGGCTTCTCTGTAGAGCCTTCGCCCACCCAGCGCTGGTACTCATGACCAAGCATATTCCCTTAACATTCAACAAACCTGACCGCTGGCTGAGGATACTCGACGACTGGAACGATGATAATAACCGTGATCTGATGAGCCAAATTGAGAAGCTCTCGGTAACCTTCAACAACTGGAAATTTGTCACTCACCTCCACGAAATGATAGCTAAAGAAAACCAAGGGCAACAAATCAAGGATGATGACGCACACCGCCAGCACCTGGCGCAGGAAATCAAACAACGATTCAGTGCTGCCATACGTCCTCTCATTGACCACCTCATAAACAGCGACAAGACGGATGCAACAATGACGACAAAAAAGGCCGCCCCCCTCCTCGTCCGGTTAAGCCAACTATACCTCAACTTGGTGCCCCTACCTCAATGGCCGGACGGACTAGACCGCCATCCCTCCACCATGGAGTTTTCCACCCGTGCCCTCTACAGATCTCTAATGGCACGGAATAGAGAAGGTGCAGACGTGGGACGGCGCCTTCTTCTTCCCGGCCTCGAGGAAGCGTTTCGGCTCGGCTTTGACTGTACTAGCCAACTGACTACTCTGCACATCATCGCCACGGAAGACGATTTGGCCTCGTTGCTATGCAAGGCCCTTGAGGACAGAAATAGCAAGCTCTGCGCGAACCTGGAAGAGTTCAGCGGCAGGTATATTCCCAACAATCGGTACGGGTGGAAGAGGCAGCTTTGGCCCTTGTTTGTTAGGATACCTCTGGAGGAGGATTTTCAAGTTGGGGGATTGTCTGGGACGCTGGCTCAAGACAGGGAGGTCGAGGTGAAATGTGCCGACGAGGCAATCGAGCTGTTTGTCGCGAGATGTCCAAAGCTCAAAAGGCTGGAGGTTCAGCGGCCGCGAGAGCGCAAGTTGAGATTGCACCCGTTAGCAGCGGAGCGGGGCCTGGAGGTGTTAAATGTGAATGGAAGGTATATGGACGACAGGCCTATATGCATGACCTTGTTGGGTAGATTGGCGACGGCAAACACGGAGATTCAGCTTATGGACGTGACTGCGCTTGTGCGGGACTTGCCTTGGGGCTCCTTGATTGGAAGATGGCTGGGCGCGGATGGTATGTATGAGTGCCTGGATTTCTTCTCTTTCTGTCTTTTCTTCTTGCCCACTCCCAGTCGCTGAAGAGAGTGTCTCTGCAAGATTCTCGGTCATAAAGACTGCTTGAATGCCCCTCGTCACCCATCGTATGATCATTATCAGCTAACGTAAGAATCTCGCCCGACCACAGTACTTAGTCAGAACTGGTGTCGTGCTCTACAAGAAAGGACCGGCTGCCGAAGCGTGAAGGTTTTTCAAGGTTGCAACATGGTCCTGGAGGTTTCCAAGGTTGGCGGCGATAGGGCCATAGTAGACACAGAATGCCATCCATACATCGCATATTCGCATGAGTTGGATAGGGGAGGTCGCACCTGTGGATAAGGTGAAGAAGACTCGCATTAGAATGGCATCGAGGGAGAAATGGGGGCTGGAGCTAGGTAGAAACCTGAAGCTAAAGAAAAAGTAATGTAAAAAGCTGGTGAGGAAGCAAGGGTGCCGTGACAGATAGAAGGAGAAAAAAAAATGCAAGACCAACCGCCGTTCGAATGCACCACCTACCGGTCTTCAGTCCGTTCCTCCCATCCCTCTCTCATGAAGGTACAAAATGATACAAGCAAAAAAAAACTCAATCGAGTGGCATCTCAGTGAACCATCGAGACGCCTAAAAGCCTTTTTTATTTATTTATTCATGGTTCTTCACCTTTTTTTCTCTTCGCGTTGCTTTTCTTAATTCTTTTTTGTCTTGGAGGCTCGTGGTTTAAGGTGTTGGGACAGTTGACCGTTGCGCCACTCGACCAAGCGGTTGTTGGTGACAGAGGGTGCTGAACAGGTCTCTCATAAAGCCATTAGGTGGTCTGCGGTGGTCTTGGCTTCCAATTGCAGGGTCGGTACTGATCTGGTCGGCTCCCGTAAAATGGGATGGGATGGGATGGGATGGAATAGAAGGAGAAAGGGAGAACGGAAGGTAGAAGGTAAGGAAGGAAGAAGGGAGTGGCGGCCGAAGCAGTGGAGGTGCGGGAAGCTGTGCTGCGGTCTATTGTGGTGTGCTGGAGACAAAGTCGTGCAGGGCAGAATGTCCAGTAGAAGGTGCTCACGTCTAGGTACTGGAGATTGGCATTGGGCAATGGAACGTATCAACAACATACTGAGAGAAGGAGCAAGACCTACCTAGTGTCGGACAGGAGGATGGGAGAAGAAGATGGCGGCTTCGCAAAAAAGCAACAAGAAGAGAAAGAGGGACGACTGTGCCATGGTTGGTCCGAAAAAGAAACAGCGTGCCAACCAAAAGAAAGCTAGAAAAGCCACAGCAACTTCTGAACTGCTTCCAGAACCGCAGCCAGAGCTACAGGCAGAGCCGGAACCACAGCCCCAGTCACAGCCAAGTACGGGTGTCACGCTTGGCCAGCTTCCCTATGATATTGTTTACATGGTCAGTCAGAAACTCCTTTTTCTGTAACATTGTCTTTGCCAATTCAACCCAGTAACTCATCTCTTCCTCATATCAGATCATCTCTGTACTCTGGGCCAAACTCCCGCCGCATGAACACTTGCCCTGCTTAGAGTCTTATTACAAGTCCTTCTGCCCCATCGAGTACTGCATTAAGCCTTCGTATCGTCCTTGACATGAGCGAACTGAACAAGTGGTGTAAAGATCACGCAAAGTCAAGCAAGAGGCTCACTCTAAATTCGATGAAGCATTGCTGGGCTGAAAGAGGTCGGCTGTTAATGATCTTGATGGAGCTCCTTGGAAGTAATCTAGCAAGACCAATGGCGGGTTTACCAGCTTTGAAAAAGCTCGATGTTCGGATTAAAACCCATCCGGACTTACCCATCATACCCATCCTTCCAGCTGTTCTAGAACAATTTTTGGGGGAGTCATACAACGCATTTCACGGGGGTCACTTTGTCGGCCTACGCAGCGTAAGATTGACGGCTGGTGCCAACGACTTGGTCTCTCCTGGGGTCTGTGGTGGATTCGCTGGAGACTTGCTCGACTCTTCAATCTCTTCATTGCGACAAACTGGCTGAACAGTCCCTCAGGTACCCGGACGAGCCCGCGGAGTATCCGCATTGGGGCAGGGCAGTTCTCATTAACGGAGTTTTTAGCCGCCCAGACTCTCGCTCGGGTGTTATGATTTGCCGTCTTGTTTCGTGATGTCCTCAAGTCAAAATTCTTGCAATTCCCGGTTTCGCCCTGCTCAACAAGATCGTCCTGCCCCTGAGCCTACATCCGGAGAACAAGGGCCTAGAGAAGTTTGTTGTCATAGGGAATTTTGGCACGAAGAGGTGTATCCACAGACTCAAGTCGTTGATTGCCAAGAAAAAGCCTGCGTTGGTACTCGATCGATCTTCTCCATGTCTAGGACCAGACCTGAATATGGTAGGTCTTGAGTGTAGCTTCCGCAAAAGAGCCTGACTTTCTCGTGCTTCTCACATGGGCAAGGCGAACATTAATCATCAGAGAACTGACGCAGAAGTATGGTGTTGTAGTGCGGGATGTGGCCGAGTGGTTCGGACCCAGCTTCGAATGGATGAATATCAGTAGACGCGGCTTCGAACACGGGGAAAAATTTGCAGACTTACCAGAGTGATATACACAAGTCGTAGCCGCTCAATTCCAGGTAAATCGGCCTACTTTGCAACCCCCGTCCAACGAACCGAATATCCTCAAGTCATATAAAACATGAATACAAAGGGCCATTTGCTGACTCGCTTGGGGTGATGCCTTAGGGGCATGGAATCTCTAGGCACCTACGTCAGGGTAGAGGGGTACAATGTAGTCTGACCGAGGATACAAGTCGTAGCGAGAGGATCTGTGGAGGACTAACAAGACAAAACTTAAGACTGGCTCGACACCAAAACTTTTATATGTGATTCCGGAAAAGAAGACCATTGATAATACGGGGTTAAGAAACCAATATTGAACTTTTGTGGGGCGTTTGAGGTAATGTCTTCGTGGGGGGGAAGGAGCGATTAGGAATGGATAGCTTGCGAGCGGTAGGGTAGATTGAGTCACCCAGATACATACCTACTATTGAAAATCTACTACGTTGCGCGTCTACCTATCTATCTTGCTTCACTGCCTCGAAAGTTCATCCACAAGTCAACAAATTTTGCTTGGTGCGGTAGAACGTAAGTTCACATTTCGAGAGGAAGAAAAATGTCCAGTGTCACTCATGCCATGTTGCCGCCTTTTTGTCTCCTTGCTCCTCGCTTGTCTCATTTCTACCTACCTCTACACAGTAGTAATACAAACCAAGATGCCATAGCATATAAATTGGAAAAACCCATGGATGGGGTTCTTACACTATGGGAAAGGATTGCACTCAGATATGTTACCTTGTGATCTAAATACTCAGCTCCACGATGCTTCTTGAAGATTTAGATAAGGTAACACGGGATAGTTACCGGTTGGTCCCTTTGGTGAGCGTTGACCGGCCCTGAGCAATGGTCAAGACACTGACCATTATTGCCCCCTGTCCTCATTCATTGTTTATTTCTTCGATCGCGGGACATCGTCCCTGTCTGGTATTTTCCAGTCTTTCGCAAACAAGGGGCATAAACACAAGCTCGGGTTTTTTTGGTGGCGGCGAAAGAAGCAGCTCATTGCCTGATTTTGCCGTGGCCTGCAATTAGTCTTCTACCAGTTTCCAGACTGTACTCACCCACCAACAGTGAGTTCCGGAAGATCTGAGGGGAGTCTGTCCGTCCACCACTCTCAGGTAGGGACCAGAATCTGACTGTAAAAGCTCCATCATACTGGTCACTCCCAGCACACGTATCGTCACACCCGCTAGACTACTCCTCCAGTTTCCTTGCGCGGAACGAATTAAACCCGCATATAAGAACCAGCCTGCGACTGTCTTCCAACCACTGGCTCTTTCACTCGTTCAGTCGTCCACTCACCTCGGTACCTATCCGGAATTTCATGTCTAAACCTTGAGTCAATGGTGACACTTTACTTTCTTCCCTCTTATAAACTCTCTCCTCGATTATTTCACACCTATTCCCATGTCCCCGGAGGCTTATTATCCCCTCCCCATTCAACCCCCAACTCCACTACTGCATAAGTCAAAGATGCCACGAAACAAGTACCCCATGCTCGGACCAAAGAGAAGAAGACGAAGAAGAACTAAGAGATGTTGCACGAGGTCACCAAGCTCAGAACCATCACGATCAGAACACGAACCATCACAACCGCAACCACCAAACCCGAATTCATTAGCAGAACTAAACCCTAAAATAACAGAATCTAGAAGTAACTCACCAGTAGTACCGAACGCCATGAAACCAGAACCATCAGAACCAACTCCTACCACTAGACGTATTAAACCAGAAGAACCATCAGATGTAGCCGACTCGTTAGAAAATCTTTTTGGGCTACAGGATATATTAGCAGAGGAGCGGGCTCGGCTTCTTGTTGGGTCAGAGCCCGCACAACAAGAGCCCGTACAAGAACCAAAGCCAAAGCAAAGGCAAAGGCCAAAGCGCCTCAAGGAAAGGAAATTCGTACCTCGCCCGCCTCCGGTTGGGAGATTAACGCTGGATCGGATGCCTTATGACATTCTGTGTTTGGTTAGTTAGATACCTTTCTTTTTCCCTCTTTTTTTTCCCGGCATCTCGTTGGCTTCTCCAATTTTATTTTCTCGCTCTCTTTTTTTTTTTTTTTTTTTTTTTTGAAAGTAAGGTACTGCAAGGTAAGGTCTACATCTTTTTCTTTCTGTCATTTAATTTCCCTCCTTTTTTCTTTTTTCTTTTTTTCTCTTTTTTTCCTTCGCGTTTGCATTTCCTCCCTCTTTCCATTTTCCCCCTTTCTTCTCTTCCCTTGTACCACCCACCCCCACAATCCGCTTCCAAGGGCAACAAGGCTAACAACCCGCCGATGTGTTTCTACCATCTGTATACAAAGCAACAGATAATCAAAGCTATCTGCAAACCCATCATCTCCTTGCGGTCTGACTTCCTCAAAGATGATCATCATCCTCATCTGCCGCGATATCCACTTATGGCAAAACTAGAGCGCGGATACTGTTGTTGTGGTGGTGATCATGCGCTAGATTAAGTCCGTCTCACGATCCGACAACTCTGCGAACTACCGCTTGTGTGCAAGGCCTTCTATGATCCGGCGATGGCGAGTATCTACAAATACATCCCTTTCAGCTTTCATCGTAACCCGGAGAACTGGTCTAGCCTCGCTCAATACTGGATTGGACAAAAGGAGAATCCCGTGACGAACCGTATACAACAACTCGATATCGTCCTCTGGCCCAAGTTACTCGACTGCTGGCATTTCGACTCACAATACGCAGATGCGCCTAATGTGAAGATCCATCTTGATGGTATCAGGCAACTGATCAAGGTGTTGATGTCTCCTCTGACAGATTTCTCGAGATTGAAAGAGCTCAATATCAGCCTGGAGGATGAGGCTTTGAGTACGTCACCTTGTGAAACGAAGCCATCTTGGAAACTCTTCACGTGCCTGGAGAACGCGCTCACGAACCGGTTTGAGAACTTGACTACTCTTGGACTAAAAGCCGATGCCTATGATTTGGCTTCACTCCTGCGGAGCGTGTCATCGGAGCTCTGTAAAACTCTTACATCATTTTACTGCACGCTAACGGGATATTATAATGGCGACCTAACAGACACAATAAATGCCTTTGTCAAGATGTGTCCTAACTTAGTGACCTTGTCACTCCCTTACCTCACCAAGGGGCTGCGGCTTCATCCGGAAAATACGGGCTTGAAAGAGCTGATTGCCTCCGAAGGGTCTGAGGACAAAACCCTTTCGGATCTCGAGAGTTTGTATCTCGAGCTTTTTCCCGTACTGATGTCGAAAGGGACTGCCCAGATAAAGTTGTGGAACGTGCATTGGGCTTGTAAGTTGTTGAGACTTTACTCACCTCTCCTACGCACCAAGCCCGCAGTTTGGGTTCTTGTCATCTCCTGCCCTTGCTGTCGTCTTTTCCTTTTCCCTAGGTTGAAAATGTTGTGAAAGAGCGAGAGCTAACAAAAAATCTCATTTGTCAGTCCCCGGCAAGAAGTGGTACACCAAACTGGCAATAAAATCAGGCTACAGACTGAAAGATATGAGGAAATGGGAGTCGCGGTATTTGATAGTGGTAGTGCTTTCGAGGGAATAAGACGGAACTTGGTAATGGGTATTCTCTAGGTAAGGGATTATAGAGCAGCGACTGTGCGCCAAGTGTCTGGTCCTGTGAAAGCATCATGTAACTGCTTAGGGGTATCTTGTTCTAGTAATGAGGCGGGAAACGAAAGTTCCTATGAGAAGTTAATACCCTTTGGTATGAGGTTGGTTCTACTAGCGCTGTGAGCTTCAAGAGTCTGATCTGCTCAGCCTTCTTATTAATTCCGATGGCTTCACTAAATGATAAAGCTAAGATCTCCTATGTTTGCCAAGTGCTCAAGTGGTCAGAGTCAAGTGGTCCCGGGGCTAGAACAATGTAGGAGTACCCAAAATTGTGCTAATGGTCTAATGACTGTGTGACCGACTTGATGCTTGGATCTTGCATGGTATTACCGAAAAAAAAGAGTGGTATCGTGAAGAGGCGGTGTTACTGCAAGGGACATATTAGCGTATCTCCACGGTGGTTCGAACAATAATCTGCTGAATATTCTCGTGACGATTGACATATGTGCCCAATGACAGGGTCTCGGTGACGGATTGCGATGGACAGCCACCACGAGTCTGGGGCGTCCAGAAGGAACAGGTAAACTTCCATGCATATCAGCGACCCGTCGTTGATTCGCCATCATTGGATAGCTTTTGTTGGCCGGCCATCTTTGTACAGCCTGATGGCGGTGGGAGGATCGAGGCACACAGTGTGGTTTCTTTGCCGAGTGTCCATGGCCCATAGCTAGGTATCGACGATCTGAAAAGCCAAGATATCAGGCTGACGGCCAAGACTGATGATGTTGGTACCAACGGCCGACTGACGAATTGGGTGGGTGGTATTGTTAGCGTAAGAACGAGCGGGTTTGTGGCTATGCTGGGTCATATGGAATGTTGGTGATCCGTCTCAATGCTCAGTTGTCCGGGGCCGGATCGGCTCGGACGTAACAGGTTCTTGGCTTAGCTTAACCGTCCCGTCTTATCAAGGAGTCTGGAGATGTTCTCATGTAGTCGTGAGTGAATAACTGACTTGATATGTTCCTTAGCAGGAGGCGGCAAAGAACGATAGAGCAGTCAAAGAAGCACTCAAGTGCAGTGCAGTGGCTGATGATGACTCAGGCAGTCCGTTGGTGATTTGTCAAGAACTGTGGCTCGTTATGGTGTAAAATAGCGGGAATAACGAATTATTGGGAGATCAGCAGCGATGCTCGATAACCATCCGGAAGAGGCCATCGTGGAATGCGGTGCGTCAAAGGGGCCTCGGTGCCCAGTTGAAGTCGGGTAGACGAGGGTGGCGTGCCAACAGACCCCAATATCAACGATCCTTATCCAGTGCAGAGCATATAGTGTAAGGCTGGCCGGTCGGTTGGTCGGACATCGGCAACTGAATTTTGGAGTTTTGCGATGCCCTCCCTTTCAATTGGTTACTTGGACCTCGTGATAATTCTGAGGGCGTTGACGAGGCAGTGCAGGGAAGGAGGCAAGGCGTTTGCCTATGAGGCATTTTGAATACTTCAAGACAGATAGCCATTATCTTGTCGGTGTGAGAAATGGGGATTCGATGAAGCCAACGAATCGATGTACGTGCTGATATGTCGGCGTGGTGAAAAGACGAACGGAAGTAGTGGAAGTTGTTGAAGTTAGACCAAGTTGGAGAAGAACTGGAAAGTGCCCGACCAGAGTACATGCGGGGAAATGACACCACGATGCAACACTAACATCATCCACTGATTTCCAGATCAACCGCTAAAAAATGCACCTTGCAGGACGACCCCAGCGCCATGCCCTAACTGGCTGGGGCCCTGCTCCTGCCGCCCTTCCCCACATAGACCCCTGTCACTAACATCCCTTTTAGGAAATGTTATCGCTTACACGACAGGAACCACGCCTGAGCACACCACACCACACCACCTTCTTTCGTTTCTTGTCTTTCGGAGATGCACGCTGCACACTTGTATCCGGGCCAGACTTTTCAGATACTACCTATCTACCATGAGGCAGTCATACATGCAATCACACTCTGTCCTGTCGTCCTGGCCACATCGCTGGGTTCGAGAATCCTTAAAGGTTCCCTCTCCCCCCTCCCTCAAATTGTTCTGGATTTCCACATTCCATCCACCACTTACACTTGTATGGCTAACACCCATCCATCCAACTCAGCGCAACGACAACAATAACATCAACAGCCACTTACTCCCTTTCTTCCACAACACACCTCGCTATCGCCACCACCTCCGCAATCCGCAACCATGAGCTCCATCTCGACTGCCCAGGTTCCCCTCAAGGGCAAGACCCCCCTCGTCGAATACGATGCCCACGACCACTCGGACCACCCGACAAACGGCACCGGCGGGTTCCGACCTCAAGCTCCCATGGCCGTCCAACCTCCCAAGGCCGAGGACCTCCAAAAGTCCTACGCCAGCATCATCACCCACGAGGCCGACCCCAAGGACTGGTACGGCTACCTGATCAGCGGCCTGGGCACAATCATCGGCACCCTCGGCGCCATCCCCTGCTGCGTCGTCTGTCCCAACCCCTACAAGACGGTCGAGCAAGGTAACGTCGGCCTGGTGACCAAGTTCGGCCGCTTCTACAAGGCCGTCGACCCGGGTCTCGTTCGCGTCAACCCGTGCTCCGAGAAGCTGATCCAGGTGGACGTCAAGATCCAGATCGTCGAGGTTCCGCAGCAGGTGTGCATGACCAAGGACAACGTTACCGTTCAGTTGACGAGCGTTATCTACTACCACATCGTCAGCCCCCACAAGGCCGCGTTCGGTATTACCAACGTCAAGCAGGCCCTTATCGAGCGTACCCAGACCACGCTGCGCCATGTCATCGGTGCCCGTGTGCTGCAGGACGTGATCGAGCGTCGCGAGGAGATTGCCCAGTCCATCGGGGAGATCATCGAGGACGTCGCGGCCGAATGGGGTGTTGCCGTCGAGAGCATGCTCATCAAGGACATCATCTTCTCCCACGAGCTGCAAGACTCCCTCTCCATGGCGGCCCAGAGTAAGCGTATCGGCGAGAGCAAGATCATTGCCGCCAAGGCCGAGGTCGAGGCCTCGAAGCTGATGAGGCAGGCCGCCGACATCTTAAGCTCTGCGCCCGCTATGCAGATCCGGTACCTCGAGGCTATGCAGGCCATGGCCAAGTCGGCAAACAGCAAGGTCATCTTCTTGCCGGCGACCAACCATACGATGCCTACTCAGGCCCAATTCAATGCCTCGCTGGATGCTCCGGGATCTTTCAACGAGGGCGAGGGTAGTGGTGCGAAGAATAACAACACGACGACCTCGTTCCAGAACTTTGGAGGTTCCGATTCAGGATTCCAGCAGGCATTGAATGCCCACATTGTTGAGAACATCTAAGCCCCCAGGAGTACGGTATCATGATTTGATTTGATGGTCGATGACTTGGACGGTTTTACACTTTCAGGCAACGATGACAGCGGGAAATGAGCCTCTACGGAGTATATGGCCCAATCAGCGCGACAACAACGATGACAGCGGGAAATGAGCCTCTACGGAGTATATGGCCCAATCAGCGCGACAACAACGATGAGACACATCCCAATACTTTATACAGCCTACCGCTGCTGAGCTAGAGCTTAATCGGGGGCTTTGCACCAGCATCATTACTCTGCGTATCGCTCGCGTCTCGCTTCGAACCGTTTTCTCTTCTTTGAAAGTTCATATTTTCTTTAAAGAAGACCCATGGGCTTTTTTTTTGGTTTCCTTTCTTCAAGGCTACAGTTGGAAGGCACGGTTTTGGGAAGCGATAATGGGAAATGACTTTTGTTTTGGTTTATACCATGGGGATCGCTCGTTACAAGTACATGTTATTGTTTGACGAATATACCCACACGCTTTTTATTACCCTTATTTCTACATTATACACTCGCTAGTATTGGTAATGATATTTTAGTTCTGTAGTCGCTATTTGTCCAATTGTGAAACTTTGGTAAATGTTGTTGTAGTGTCTGTGACACTTGATCACGGACTTGAAGAGAACTTCAAGACCTTAGGGCTTACGACCATTATTATACCCCTTATTTCTTTCTGACAGCCATTTCACTGCTCCTTTGTTTCTCCGCTATAATAGGTTTGATGTCTTTCCCCACCGATTCTCCCTTCTTCGTTACTAAGTCACATCTATTCGCCACCGATAAGCGTTCACAGTCCGGTACCAGTTGGCTGTCATTTTTTTACTCCCATCAAGACATATGCAACCCATTGAGAAACACCTCACAACTAACTAGTGGAAAATACCAAAGTTCAAATCCAAGATGCCTCACCTACATCAATGATCACATATTCACACTTACGTTAAGCCTCAGTCATCGAAGAATACACATCGGTTAGATGTAAAAACACATATTTTACCTCAAATTCACGCCTCCGTTATAAAGCAAAACACGTCTATTGGATGTCAAAACGTCTAGCAAAGTTGACCAGACGTCTCCAAAGGTAGGTAGGTACGTGCTATACACCGCCATCTCTGTTAATTTCAGCATCGTCGGCCGCCCGTCATCGGAGGAACCACTCCACTTCCCTTTAAACGCAGTCAACTCGAACCAGTATATGAAACACGCCAATACAGTACAGTAGAACTACTATCCGGGTTAGCCCCTTGGTGGCCCAGAATTGGTCTAATATTCTCTTAGAACGAACAGATGAAGAAAATAGACCGCCACTAACACTCCTATATCATCTTCGTATTGTCGGTAGCCGAGAAGCAGTTTAATCTTCGTTATAAATGTATACATGTAATACGTGCATAGTATGCATACCAGTGTTTCCGCCATGAGCTTGATGATTGGGCTAGGTTATCACTTCTATCAGTACATAATCCATGCCATTAGCCTTCCAAGCTCAGGTGGCAAAATACCACTTACAAGTACTTGGGTACATGATACGCGTGTAAGTACCGCACTTGTAATAGGAGGTCAAGGCCCAGAGATTTTGCTGTGATGAACTCAAAAAACGCTTGTCTTGTACCTCGGTAGAGCGTCGCCGTTGTTGCTGATGCTTGCTCCATCTAGGTAAGGTACTCTGATATTGAGTCTGAGCCTGAGGTCTCATGAGGTCTTGAAGGGTGATCCTGGATTTGAGGCACCATTCCATAGGACATGTTTTCCACTCGACTCTCATGCCCAGGGTGAAGAGATCGACAATACACATATTCTCCGCCAGCTGAACAATAGTATCTTAAGATGGTGGGAGTCCGATCTAGCCGCCACCCAGCATGAGGTCCAGTCTCATAAGTACCTAGGTACTAAATCTTCCCGGATTACACCCGGAAGAGAATCGAACATGATGCGGTAGAAGTCTGTTGATATCATTTGACCCAGATGGGAATTTCTGCTCCGGGTTAAATTCCGAAAACTCAAGCTGGACATCATTGTGTCAAGAAGGTCAGATTCCGAAGTCGAAGCACGGTACGGAGTCGGAGCCAGGCCAGACAGGGTCTGCCAGGAAGCCAAAAAAAAAACGCCAAGAAATCAAAGTCACCAAAAGTCGAGGCAAAGCCAGCCTACCTCGTCCGAGCTCCGAGGTGAGGTCGGAGTCGAGATCTGAAAAATCATCCCAGATGTGTGGGGAGAACCAGTCAAGGTCGTCATCATCACTTGTGTCTTCCCAGATGTCTGCGTAAAGCCAGTCGGTGTCGGAATTGATATCTGCTTCATCTCGCTCAGGTCCACCTAGAGCCAGCCAGTCGATCTCGGAGTCAATACCGCCGGTGTCTTCATCTTGGACTGCTTCAAGCAGTGGCTTCCAATCGACTTCCGAAAATGCTGGGTCGTCACCAGCGTCTACGGCAGCCGCTTGCACCAGCGGATGCCAATTGATTTTGGAGAATGCGGAGGCGTCAAAAACAGCGCTTGGGTCAGAGGACGGCTGGGCCGCTGCGGAATTGATGTCCGAAGTTTTACTGTCTCCGGATGGATGCTTTAAGTAAGGGTTGCCAATCAATCTCTGAAAGGACCGAATCGGCCATAAGGTGACACCGAAGTGTCGCAAGGAGAGGAGGAGGAGGAGGGGTGAGTAAGAGAGGTGTTAGTAGCAGCCTCAGCGTCCGTGGTTCCAGTGGTGGTGGGTAAGCCAATCTTCCTTGAGGGGGGGAAGTTCGACGAACAGAGGTCCGTGAGGTGAGATGCTTGAAGCTACCTCTTAGATGCTGAAACTTGACAAGAATATTCTTCGGGTGAAGCTTAGGCATTGTGTCAATATCAAATGGTGTAATAACGACGGGTGGTTAAACGCCTCAGGGTCTTGTTAATAAGTCTTGAGGGTATCATGGAAATATTCGTGGCCCAAACAACCCGCAGATGGGAGCGTTTTCGCGTGTACCCTGGGAGAGGAACCACGCAGTATTGTTTTCAATTGAAGAGGTCATGATATCTCTTTGCTTCACTCAAAGTCTCGATGGATGGCAGGATCGGATGAAATAGCGGGCTGGGATTCTTGGATGACTAACTTGAAAACATAACGGGAGGGAAGGCGAATGTACTGTATACCTGGAGTCTGTCGGGCGTCTCTTTGACGTTGCAAGCGGGCCTCCAGAGCGACCCGAGCCTTGCGCTGCTTCTCTTCACGGTCACGACGATCGGCAGCGTTGATACTGACGTACACGCTCGTCGTTTTCCCGGCGCCGTTGCTGACGCCTCTCTCTTTCTGAAAGTGTGGAAATGTCGGAGCCACAATCCGACCTGCGCCTTGCGACGTGTGCTTTCTGCTTCTTCTTACAGCGGGACGTGGGCTGTTGAAAAAGGAGTGGTCGGATAACCAATCTGCTTCTTCAGTTGGATGGAACGACGAGCAGACAGAGAAATTGTCGAAATTGGGACGTTCGTGGGTCGAGAGTGCGGCAACGATGCGGACACTCGTAGTGGATGGGAAATCTCATTGTTCGTAAGAAGCCTCTAGAACGATGATGGATATTTGGTTCGTGATGGTTCCAGTGAGGCTGTTCGGCAAAGCTGGTTTAGGGTGACTGGCGAGACTGGTCAAGTCGAGCGGCAGGAAAGGCGTCGGACATGGCACGCCTGGCATCTCCAGACCGAATCCGAGGCTCTCAACCTTCCAGCTGCCACTCTCTCCGCCGGCTCGCCTCAGAGGGACGAAACGCATCAATTCAAGCACACGGGGTGCGGGAGGTCTCGAACAGGTCATCTCGGCGCCAGCGCTTCTGTTTCGTCCGGGCCCTACTGGTATGCCGTCTCCATCATCGGCATCGTTGTATCTTCGACGATCGGAGCCTCCTACATTGCGATGTGTTTTGCAATGCCCATTAGCCCAATTGCTTGCTCTTCGTCAATTTCGGCGTCCGAACTTGGGGAGATCCCATTTGTCATCGAGATGATGACCTGCTTCGTCGGCCATTGCAACCAACATGGCCTTGTGTAGTTGGTGGCCTTTGGTAGCCCACATTCTCTTGCCAATCTGGTCCAACCAAAAAAGAACGAATTCATAGCATGTGAGTTTGTAGGACGAGGGAAGAGAATAAGAAGAAGTGCTGAGTTGGTACCAGTATAGCCGAGACGCTGGAGGAGGGGTAGAGGCCTTCGTGGGCGCTCGGGGAAGAGAGGCCACCGTCATGATGTTGATGGAGGAGGAGACAGCTTTTCCATGCAGCAATCTGATTTAGAAGCACGGAGCACAAATATGATTCTGATCTTTCCGGTGGGCGCATAACAGAATGTTAACGCCGCGGTCGTTGCAATATAAGAGGTAATATCGAGTTTGGGAAACGGGAGAACACCCTGCCATTGAAGGGGGTCGGAGAGACTGAAGACCTCCGGAGGAACCGGTATCGGATCTTTGCACCTGTCAGCAAAGCGTACCGACTTGCGCGTCAGGGTGTTGCTTCTGCTGTCTTCTCTCGGCCCCCGCCTCTTTAGAATCGGCCTCAGCTCAGGCCCCGTCTAGATCCCCTTGCCATCCACGTCGTCATCGGAAACAGGCACCGCGAGAATGAATCAAGGCCAGACCCAGCAGCGTATGGATGTCTCAGGCTCCGTCTAGGTCCCCTTCATTGTCCACCGTCAATGATGGTAGTCGACAGAGAAGTTGCGAGTCTCGACAGAGTTTTAAACGGCAACCTGTTTGTCGAGCGACAGTGGGTGGGTGCCAGTCACGACGTCGACAATGAAGATAATAGGACCGAAGAAAAACTGTGCGAAGCACATGGCGGTGGCTTTCCGAAGTTGTAAGATACGAAACCGAAGGGCCTGTTGACAACAAAAGTTAGCATGACTGCACTCGGTTGGATGTGAAGCGAAAGATGGTTTGGACGAACCATGGTATAATGAAACCTGATGTGGTGAGCATCGAGAGTAGGTTTAGAGGTCGTTGGTGGGGTGCGTTGAGGCGGAGATGGGTTGAAATTACTGTGGTGTGGCTGATGAATGTCATTAATGAGGTGTGTTCGATCCAAGGCAGGCAGATGCATCAGTGTGTAATAGGAAAACCCGAGAAGAGTAAGTTGAAGGGTGTATAAGTGTTTGATTGTGCGAAGAAGAAGGAAAATCCAGTCAGAGGGATTGAGGAAGCTCAGCAAGAAGAGCCAGCCAAAAAGTGGAAGAAGTGCTTGAGTCTGGATGAAAAACGGTTCTGGTAAAAGGGGCGGGGGAAGCCCATCTTATACACCTGGGCACTGGTCCCCTCATGACTTCCAATCAGCCATGCTGATTTGTTTTTGGGCTTGCAGCCATGCTTCCTGACGTGCGTCTTTGCAGGAACTCCTGCATAGTTTGGCTCCCATGACTTCCTTGATGTGATGATGCCTTCTGCCTCAACCAATGTGCGCTTTCTATCCAGTAATGAAGGCGGCAGAAACCGTAAGGACCGCATAGAAAAGAGAGTAACCAAGGCCTGGCAACAGAAGGGGAGGATGGACGGATGGCAGAAGGAAGATGAACAGAAAACAGGCTTGAATATGCCTCGAGAAGGAATCTTGTCCAAATGACAATGGGTGATCACTCCCAGATCAGTAAACAGTGAAGAGGAAGGAGATGTCCAACACCACAGTCCAATATTCTTAGACTTAATCGGTTTGATACTCCCCATCAACTCTCCCCAAACTTCCAAAATGCATCAGTGACACTTGACCACATTCGGACATTGAGCAAGAATATGTGATCAGTGTCGGCCCAGATGTACCGACATTGAGCTCAACATTTCGACGCTGGATCACGAACATGAAGCTCGGTGAAGAACGCCTGGAGCTGGGAAAATCAGCGAACCATCTTCGTTGAACAAGCTTCGCGATAGTGTCGTGTACAAACTCCTTGACCGAACCTCCTCTGTGATTCGAAAACGACACCGAGGAGGAGACATGGAAGCCACTTGCACCCCCGACGATCACACCTGCAGGATACCATCAACATCCTTTCCAAGCTTTCTTTCCTCTCGCAGCTCAAGGCCATCCATCCAGCTCGGCAAGAGCAAGGACACTTTCGTCTGACGCTTCGTGGCTACCAAAGATACTCTGTCCACAGCAAGTGGAGGAAAGTGGAGGAAGAGAGGGAAGTGTCGGTTCGTGAGGGAAGGGGGGCGCAAACTGCCAGTTGATCAACTCGAAAGCTCATCTCGCAGAACTCAAGACCATCCCGCTTCCATGGCATCCAGCTTGGCAAGAATCGAGAACATCTTGTCTGGCGCTTTCTAGAGGTAGCCAACAAGTGTTGGCGAAAAGGGTATCAAGAAGCAGAAGGAATGGGAAGGCAGAGCAGGTAGCTAAAGATAAGGGTGCATATCTAAGGAGGCGGCGACTGGTGACCAGTTGAACTCAACTGCCAGGTTTTGCGACGGGTCTGGTATTTGCGACTTGTGATAGAAGGGAGTAGAGGGACCAACTATAGGTAAGGTAGGTAGGCACCAGCATGGTCTCGGTAGTACTCTACGGCTGGTTGGTAGTTCTTCTTGTTAGCATCTCTCGGCAGCGTCAATGACTAGGTTGCGGCTACCGCATCGCTGTGCCTATGGGAGAAATGGTGAGGTCACGGCAGATAATGTAATTGATTAGCTGTTTGTTGCAAGTGTCGTCATCGGGGTCTGTGATGGGTTTTCGGTGCAGAGATACATACCAGATACTGGCACGAGCCGTGGCCTTCCATAATGATATTAGCATGAACATGCGCAAGCCTGTGGAGGTCACTCCAGCGCGGAAGTTTGGTATGCCCTCTTCGTACGCCCTAGATACCAATCATTCATGGAGTAAGGATCGCAGCAGGAACGAGAAGAAAGCGTTGGTCTATATTAACCATATTCCAATCATGAACAACCCAACCATCCATCAACATCTATATCTTAAGAAATCCACCGAACTTAATCCATCCCTATACCATTCTCATCCTCACTTTTACCCTTTACCTCTACCTCTATATCCACCTCTCTACCTAATATTATACCGAGCAATCAACCCCGCCATCTTCTCCACGAACCAGTCCTTAGGATCAGGACTCGTGTCCGCGCTCTCCGCCACCGTCAAGATCGTCCTCACACCTACACCGACGCTATCCGAGCCCGTATACTCGCGGAGAGTACTCAGCACCTCAGTAATAGCCGACTGGTCACCGCCAAACGCACCGACCTCGTTCAACACGGCGCCAAGCTCCTGGAGATTGTTCACAGCCGGGACGGCAATCTGGTAATCGAACGACTCAGTGACATCCAACTGCTCCATGACAGAACGCTGAGAAGTCGTGGCGAGGATCAACAGGCGGTGGCCCTTGGGCGGGGGAGTAACCAAAAGGGTGACGAGCGCTTGGAGGATGGTGTTGGACAAGCGCGGGCCGACGGGGTTCCATTCGATGATGCGCTCGAGGTTGTCGATGATGAGGAGGGAGAGCGGGGACTTGTAAGCGTCAGTGAAGATCTTGTGCAGGTAGTCCTTCTTGGCCACTTCGTCGCGGAAGCCGACCATGTCCGAGGGCGTGATGGTCTTGATGAAGGGGAAGTCGGACTTCATGGCGATGTGGGCGGCCAAGGCGGTCTTTCCGGAGGCCGAAGGACCGTGGAGGAGGACGGTCATGTGCTTGAGACGCTCGAGCTTGCGCACGTTGTTGACGTAGAGCAGACCGTCCTCTAGGATCGAGGTGATGCTCTTGGAGTAGTGGATGACGCCGTAGGCCAAGTGCTTCTCGAGCTCGGACTCGTCGGCACCGAAGGCGGGCTGACTCTCAAGGGCGTTGAGGAAATCTTGGCGGTTGACCTTCATGTTGGCCACGTCTTCGGAGACGCCAGCCATGGTGCCGACTTTGATGTGTCGAGAGAAGGCGTAGGAAGTGGCGGACTTGACGAGACCGCTAAGCTCGGCACCAGAGAAATTCTTGGTGAGAGTGGCAAGCTCAGCGAGGTCGACGTCATCAGCCATGACCTTGTTCTCCTTCATCTTGGAGGTATGGATCTTGAGAATCTGGCCACGGCCATGCTCATCGGGAAGCGAGATCTCGATCTGGACCTCGAGACGACCGGGACGAAGCAAGGCGTCATCGATCATGTCCTTACGGTTGGTCATTCCGATAAGGAGGATGTTGTTGAGCTGGTCAACACCGTCAAGCTTGGAGAGCAGCTGGTTGACAACACTGTCACCGACACCGGTACCGCCGCCAGCACCAGAACCTCTCTGCTTGCACACGGCATCCAACTCGTCGAAGATGATGATATGCAGACCGGACTCGTCGCCCTTCTCCTTGTACTCCTTCTCGGCATCGGCGAAGAGCTTACGGATGTTCTCTTCAGACTGACCAACGTACTTGTTCAACACTTCGGGACCGTTGATGACCTTGGGCTCCCTGGCGTTGAGCATCTTGCCGATCTGTCTAGCAATGAGGGTCTTGCCGGTACCGGGAGGACCATAAAGCAGCATACCCTTGACGTGCATAATACCGAGCTTCTCGATGAGTCCAGGGGGGAAGATACGAGAGGCGAAGGCACGACGGAAGATGGTGGAGAACTCGGTATCCAAACCACCGATACCCATATCCTCGAACTTGAAGTCTGGGGCAATGATGGCGTTGGCCGCTGGGCGCTTGTTGGAGCCCTTGAGCTTGATGGGTGACCTAGCATCCTTGTAGAAGCCAATGCTGGCCTGGTTGGTGAGAATACCGCGGGCTCCAGGGTCACTGCGTGTGGGAGCCTCGCCAGTGCCCCCCATGCTCAGGTCAACCAGAGTGACCGTCTTGACCATGACAGCCAAGGGGATGTTCTTGACGTCGAGGAGGAACCTTTGACCGGGAGCAAAGATCTGGTTCTGGAAGGTCTTGACGAAGATCTTGGCAAGCTCATCCTGGTCATAGGGAGCATCAATGATTCTGTTGGCTGACGCAAATCCGATCTCGACATCCATGGAGCCAATGTAGGCGTCGCCTCCACGGGCAAAGGGGTCGTAGACCTCTCCCATCAACTCGTCCATCATGCCAACACCGCACCATGTTCGCTGGGGGTCTGACAAGCTGATGTGTCCCGAGCGGAAGCCAGGGGTAGGGCGCGCCGTCACGACGTAATCTCCTCGTAGTTGTCTTCCTGTCAAGCGGACGTATAGATCGGAGCCGTCGCGGTTCGGGGGGAAGTCATCGGGCGATACGGCGCAACTGGTATTCAAGGTTAGCGGCTTTGCTTACCTGACCGTAGGGTGCGCATTAACTTACATGTTGCCAAAGATGTACAGACTCTGCAACGTCTTATCATCAACCTTTGCCAGTCGAAGGGGAATACCGCGACCACTTGACTGAGGACGGTATCCGCCAGGAGCGGGCTGTCCACCGTAACCGCCGCCGCCGCCGCCGCCATAGCTCTTCTCGGATGGGGCACCTCCATATCCTCCAGCGCCATAGCCGGCACCACCGCCGCCACTAGCGTATTGGGGTTGCGAGGGAGCGCGACCACCTGGGCTGCCGTAGTTGGTAGGTGGTGCGCCGCCGCCGCCATATCCGCCTCCCGCTGCTTGCTGAACGGGACGGCCGGGGAGACCAGCTCCTCCTGGTGGGGGTTGGGGCTTCTTGCCGAAGAGATTGCCTCGAATATCCATGGCGAATGTGGTGTGTGTATTACGGGTTAAGAGTATCGAGGACTATGTTGGGTGGGTGTAAGTCGGGAGAACCAGTCGCCCTTGGTGGTGTTTATATGGTAGTTGTTGTTGGGAGTGCGGAGTTGGTGCGCACTGGGTTCGCCGCAAGTAAACACGTTGGTATGTTGGTTCGACGATTGATTGCTGAAGACTGTCGCCAATGGCGATATGGTCGAGTATGACAAAGGTGTGTAGGTATTATCCAGATAAGAGGCCTGTCTTGAGCTTCGATGTTTCGTCGAGAGGGGACTCGATGGAAGGGAACGCGAGCTCCTGCTGTGACCGCGTGGTTTCAGCTTGTCCCACTGACGCTGTACAGGAAATGCTGTAATTAAGGGCCATAGTCAAGGGGAGATGGTCAAAAATTACTTGTACAGGCGGTCCAGCTTTCAGGCACTGGAACCGCTAATTCCCGTCAGCGGGTCCCCTAGAGCCCCTGATCAACGTACGTCAAAGAGCGGGGCACGTGTTACTGGACTAGCGATAAGATAAGAACCCTGAGTTTCCCAAAAGGTGAATACTTCCGCGACAACGTCAACCATTCAACATCGAGATAAGCGTCTCGGTGTGAATATCAATATGCCACTGTGAGTTCCAACTTACTCTTGAATCTCACCAACATTCGCTAACACCATGAAGTCACCTCCTCGGCAAGAAATCATGGAACGTCTACAACACAGACAACGTCGCCCGCGTCCGCCGTGACGAAGCCGAGGCCCGTGCTCGCGAGGAAGCTGAAGAGCAACGCATGCAACAAGTCGACGCGGAACGTCGTCTAGCCATTCTCCGCGGTGAAGTCCCGCCGTCTTTAGAGGAACCCGTCTCTTCAGCAGATCCCAGCAACGACCCTGGACGACGCCGTCATCGTGAACGCGACCTCTTGGCAGGAGGACGCAAGCGCAAGCGAGCAGGCGAAGATGACACCGATTTCGAAATGAGGGTAGCGCGGGAACGTGCCATGGTAGGGGCAAATGCAGCGAGTGAGCTATCTGGTCCGGTTGTGAATTCGGCTTCCAGCACCACTGCGGCATCGCTGGTTGATAGCAAGGGTCATATCACGTTGTTTGCTGAAGAGGAGCTGAAGCTTGCGGAGAAGGGTGAGGATCTAGAGACGGAAGCAGCGAAGAGAAAGCGTGAGGAAGCGGAACAGCATCAGGTACGCTTTACTAGTGCGGCTGGTAGGGATTCTGAAGGCTTGCTGGCGAAGAATGGCCCCTGGTATGCGACACCGGATGGAGATGTTGCTGCGCTGGTTCCATCCAAGAATGTGTTTGGGAAGGAGGATCCAGGACGGAAGGCTCGTGAGGTGGAAAGACTGAGTGCAAGTGATCCGCTTGCGATGATGAAGAGGGGTGCCAAGATGGTGCGTGAGATCAACAAGGAACGGGAACGGGAGAATGAGGAGAGGGAAAGGGTACTAAGAGAATTGGGGAGGGAAGAAAGGCGACGCGAAAAGAGGAGGCAAATAGAACATCACAGGGAGAGACAAGACAGTAGAGGGCATGGTGATGAGTCCGACAGGCGGTCTCGGTCAGAAAGGCGGGAACGAGGCCGATCGGGAAGTAGATACCGGCACCGTGACCGTCACCATGACCATGACAGACATCGTGAACGAGGTCATCACCATGAGGAAAGTGACAGAAACCGCGACGGAGAACGAAGTCGTGAGCATGACAGAGACAGGGAGAGGAGAAGAGACCACTGTCGTGACAGGCACCACAGACGGTCTAGCAAGGAGCGAGACGACCACGAGCATCGCAAGCACAGGGATCGCGATGGTCATGATGGTCATGATGGTAGGCATGGCCGTCACCGACATCATCACCGAGCAGACAAGGTAGATGATGAGAAGACAAGACATTGAAGGGATGATCGCGCGTAATAGCCTCAGCTGGCCATGACGTCCAAATCTCGGAATAATAGCAACCTAGCGTCAACATTAAATAGCGAGAACAAGATACCCAAAACTATTAACCAATCAATATCTCCCAACCAAAACCAAACTCCAATCCCCCAAAAAATTGCATCCCAATCCTCCTCATCACCCTATCTCGTCACCTTACGACCTCTCCTTCCAAGGCAGCTCAATCTTGACCTCCCTCATATCCCCCTCCACCATCTCTCTCAACCCCTTCGTTCCCTCCCCACCCTCCTCCACCACCCGTTTTAAAACTTCTAAAACCCCCTCCACCATTTCCTTACTTCCCCCCTCCCGCAAATCACTATAAACATCCACCCCTTCTTTTGTAAAAACCGTCGGCGCGAACCACGTAACCACCCACCTCTCCTTGACCTCCCCCGTCTCCCAGTCCTTTATTTCTCCCCACCCAAGTATTTCCCAGTGACTGCTCACAAAGAACAACCAGCCACTTCCGCGCCAGTCCCAACATGTGGTATCATCTTTGATGTTGGCAAGGGACCAGTTCCCTGTGTCTACCCCGGAGACGCTTTTAAGGCTGCCGGAGCCGGAGAGGGATTCGTATTCGACTAGGTCGTCGACTCGAGGCACACCGTCCTTGGTTGGGGATAGGGGGCGGTAGGTGATGCGCACGTTGCGGGCTGAACGCCACATTGAGAGGGTGGAGTGGGTTACGGACCAGGTGCGGTGGAGGAAGGAGAGGGGGGGGAAGGGGATTGTTTGTGGAGGTGATTGGGAGGAGTGGGAAGAGTCGCGGGAGTATTTGTAGGGGAGGCGGAGGGTGATGCCTGGCCCTGAGGAGGTGGTGGTTGTGGGCGGCGGTGTGGTGGACATGGTTGGTTGATTAAAGATGGTTGATGGGGGAGATGGTGAGTGGAATATTGGTATCGAAGACAAATATGACGAACAGAATCGATGGGTAGACAGGGCGATCTTATGTATGTGCGCGTATGGAATGAAAGTGATGCTGAAGGGTGGAAGAAGTTGATGTCTTGATGATGTTGGATCGGGTCAGCTGAAACAGTGTGAAATGCTACGCTATTACCGATTGGTTTACTGGAAACACAGGGGTTGAGGTTGCTCGAATCCCCTAACTTCCCGGTCCAGTCCAGAGATCTTGATTCAAGTTATAGGCCGCGTATCGAATAGAAAAAGAAATGACGGGAAACGTCGTGGGACTTGGGGATACGAATTAGATCAAGAAAACTCCCCATTGATAAGTTGTCCTGGTGTCTTTCTCGCGTCAAATCCATACACCTCAGTTTCGACGGAAGAAGTCATATCGAATCAGCTGTCCTTTTCTGTCACCCTTCTCTTCCATGTTTTCAGATGTTCTCCCGCTGTGTCATATCTCACCAACATGTGACATTCAACCGCGAGCGGCTCAGGTAAGGTGTCATGCCGTAGGACTCGGTCACAGCCAATTCCAGCCCGTCAAGAAGGTGAAAAGTGACAAAACCTCCAATCGGGAGGGTGACATTCCGAGACAAGGGTGCCTTCGTTAGCGGCACGCATCCACCCAATTCACTGTGCGGCTGCTTTTGTTTTAGCAGAGAACGAGTGGGGCCCCACAAGGCTGATTCCAACGACATGTCTTGACTCCACCTTTTTGCTCTGTGGTTCTTGAACTTCTTGGCGCGTTGTTGTTTGGGTCTGGCCTTTTTTGACTTCACATCAACTTCCACACTTCCTCGAAAAGACAATCAACGACAACCTGAGGAACCAGAAACAATCTTGAACTCGAATCAACTTACCGAAGGGGACTCTGGTCATATTTTATCTCTGCCAATCTCGAAACCGCTTCCATCATCTCCACCTCCAGGCTCAAGCTCAACCAACCAACCTCATCATCAACATTACATCTCACCCCATCTCCCCCGCCACAACCCTTCCCTCACCCCATCCCCAACCACAAAATGGCCGACCCAAACCCCTCTCAACCACCCATGGACAACAACGACGACGTGTTCCTCGACCCAGAAGCCGAAGCAGCCGCCATGGCCGCAGCAATGGGTTTCTCCTCCTTCGGCCAACAAGCTCCCCTTGCCGGCGGAGACTCCGACCCCGACGACGACAACTCCGCTGCCGGTGACCGTCCCTCAAAGAAGAGGAGGTACAACTCCCGCGTGGACGCCTACGTTGGACCAGCACCACAGGGGACGGGGGCGAATGACGTGCCTGTTCAGAGGAGGGTTTTCAACAATGCACCGAAGGAGGGGAGTGTTGGAGCTACGGCGGGAGGTGGACTGAAGGATGAGAACGAAATTGATCTGGATGACAACGAAATCGACCTTGGCGACGATGACGAGGAGGGTGTCGATGCGGGAAGGAGTGCGATGACGGCGACGGCGACGACGCTGTCGATTAATCCATCACTACCACCTAAGCCGCAAGTTCAAATGGCAACTCAACAAGGCTTCCAGAATCCAAACAACCAAAGAGGTGGTCATGGTGGACGAGGCGGTGGTAGAGGCGGTGGTAGGGGCGGTCACGGTGGAACCCACGGCCGTGACCCAACAAAACCTTGGTACACCGATTACTACGACCCCTCGAGCAACGAGAACCCGTGGGAGCGACTGGAGAAGGTGCGGGGGCTGGACACTTTGGGGAAGTGGTTGCCTAGTCGGTCTGGAGGTGGTGGCCGTGGTGGTCGTGGAGGGTTTGGGGCCGGGTCTGGTGGTCCGTCGGGTGCTCAGGAGGGGACAGCTCAGCAGGAGGGTGTGCAGGTTGTGCAGGCTGTGCAGGAGGTGGCTTAAGTCTAGATGAAGGGACCTGTCCTCACTTCTTGTGATGCGTGCGGGGTGGTTAAGATGGTGCGCATGGCAAAGGGGATGACGATCTCGATATGGTGTTGACGATGGTGTAGGAGAAGAAACCGGTACCGGCATCGAAGTACAAGCAGGAACTTTAGCCGAAGCTGAAGGTCAAGCTTGAAGTGCGTCGACTACTGAAGTGTCTGCCCGTTATCACCGATGCTGGAGGTCGCCGTGACAGCGGTCGATGGTTTGATACCCCTAGTTCTTATGTTTTAATGTTATGTCATGTCATGTCATGCTTTTATATTTCTTAGTCAAGGTCCTCATCAGTCGTTCTTTTCACTTCGCTCCCCTGGATGATACCTAATTGTCCAGTGCTCAGGTCCTGTGGGGTAGCTAATGGATGTCTTATGGGTTGGGCTAGTCTGTGAGTGGGTGGATGGATGGTGTGCACATGTTTACCTTCCTCTGCGGTAAGGTCAACCCATGGGTGGCGGTGATGGATCGTGTGTACTCGAACATGTTGACCTGCGTTGGAGTATTGGACCAAGTGGTCAACCCTTCACTATGTGGTCACATCACATGAAACTAGATGTACATTTCCATGAGTCTTTCTTCGTCAAGGTCATTGTCTACTTCTTCTTACCTTACCTTGCCTTGCCAAGGGTACCCTCACACCTGGCCATCAACCTACCCATCATTAGTGTCGATTCTGGGAAGCAGATACCACTCAGCATACGCCACTCACCCATGGCCTCTCGCCACCCAAGCCAGGGTACCTTCCAAATATCCCTGGTTACGACCAAGGTCACAGTCACAATCACATCAAACCACCCACCTCAACAGAAAAAAACATTTTTTACTGCCAAAAGCAACATATAACCAAACAAGCTACCTAAAACGCCTAGCCGAGACCTAAAGCACTATATCCAAAGAGAGAAACCAAGCCACCAAATCCCCGGAATCCTAACCCCATTGCCTGTCTGGTACAGGCAAACCCGGCTAGATACAGAAGAGCCATGAACCATCCACCAACCACGCGCACCAAACCACTTCCCTTTCCGAACAACACCCACGCCGCCTCTATGGATGGCTAGCCTCAAGAGGCAATAGTCTCCCCCACTGTCAGAGGTCAGAGGGGAGGTACCCAGTCAGTCGGCACTTCGGTCCGCACTGTCCGTCAGTGTCTGGGGTCCGTTCAGCACCAGAGAAACGGACCAAGTGCCGAACGGTCTCCGGACATGTGCCAGATCAAGCTAAAAGCCGACAAGCCGCCCAGGACGACGGCTGGGGAGGGTGTCATGCCAGTACCTTAACAGTGGGTGTGTGGAGCTCCTCCGGGGTCTCAGAGTCGTTTTCCGAGTCTGCTGGACAAATAGGCAAAGCAACCGTCACTGTCGCTCCCGCTGCCACGCCCATCACGCCGGCAGTGACACTCACGTCCTGCAGCCCTGCCAGGCTTGTGTGTTCCGCAGCGGCTCGGATCTCCCCTTCCGCCCGCGACATGTGGCTGACCCCTGCGCCGTCACCTCCCCCAGAATCCGGATTCCCACCCTCCATCCCCAGTGAAACGAAGCCAATAAAACTGAAAGGGGGTGTGACTGTGCCTGGTGCCTGGTGCCTGGATGCGTCTTCTAACCCAACCCATACAAAGTATCCCAGGAAAGAAAAAAAGGCCCCCAAGGAAATCCCCAAAAACAGTCCAATCAAAGAAACTGGGTATTTTCCCGAAACGATGTGGTCCGTGGTAAGGGAAGAGCAGGGGGGCGTGGAGTTTGGACGAGGAAAACGCCGCAACGCAAGCTGCACGTCTTGACGCATTCCAGCCCAACCTAACGACCAACCCCCGTCATCACCGTAAACCTGACTCCGTTTTTTCTCGTGTCTCCGCTGGGGCGTATATCGCGGCTAAATTTTGCCGCGCCTGATATGCTTTTTCCAACGTCATCTCTTCCGCAAGGCTGAGAATTCAAAAGACCTCCGGGACATTTTCCCGTTTAGTGCAAAAAGTAAACATGAAAAAGGGGGTATGTGCAAGTATGATCCCTGTGTGCTGAATCCGAACAAAGAGAGATGAAGAGAAATCGTTTTTCAATGCAAATGTCACCGCAGCGGTTTAATAAGCCTCCGGGGAAGGGTGACGCGCGCGCGACTTGGCGTACTCCTTGGGGTGCTTCTTCGCCGCCTTGGCTGAAAGAGATCTTTGTCGAAGTCGTCAGTTTGTGTCCGCTCTTCCTATTCGTTCTCGGAAGTCAAACTCACGTCACTTTCTTCTGTGTCCACTCGAGGTCTTTCCGCACTGCCTGGGCATCTTCAAGTCCCTGGGCAAATCGCGCCCTTGTCCTCGCAAGACGGGCCTGTGCCTTGGCCTGCAGTTCAAGGACCTCGCGGTGCTTTGCGTTCAGACCGCCAGAGCTAAGGTGGATCCAATTAGCCAATTGTTCAGGAAGACACACCCACTCCAGAAAAAAACTCACATCTTAGCCTGCTCGACCGTCAAGCGATCGAGAGGGATCGGCGAGAATGTGTCCGCAAACCGATCTTGCATGTACTCGTTCAGATCGATGCCACTCGCAGATCCCGCGCTCTCGTAGTCTCCCTGACTGCTTCCAGCGTAGGTAGAAACGGGAACGGAATAGGTGGATTGACCCATGCCAGACCCAGAAGTCACTGACGGATCGGATTCCTCAGGAGGAGAGACAGAGTAGTTGCTGTCATTGCTGTTGTAGTAGGCAGGATACGTGGGGTATTGTCCCTTTCCGGAAGGAATGGGAAGCGCGCCAGTAGCCGCGTAATACTGGGTAGAGTAGTTTGACGACATGATTGTGACTGTGTAATGTGTGACCTAGAATGCGGAAGACGTCACTGCGGTGGTGGAGACCAAGAATAGAGTTATGCCGGCTTGTGCGTTTGTGGGGTTTCCCCGGGTTCGGATGAGGACTTGTGGGTATTGGGATGTGGAGTGATGCAGGAACTAGACTGCGAAGAGTCAAGTAATGTGAAGACAATACCAAGTGTCAAGATGGTTGTCAAAGGTGTCTGAGAGTGTAAACAAGGTCTTCAAGAAGATCCTGGGTTTGGATCTGAAACTAAAGATGTGATGAAGAAGGAGAAAGAAAACTCAACATGCTGGTCAACAACAACCCCCTTTTATATCTTTCTAAACCTCCCCCCTGTCGACAACTTCGAGCCATCATGATCTCGAGGGGATAAGAGTTGGTGACTCTATTCGTGGACAGGCCTTCCTTGACCCCGCTCGTGAACCGGCAGGAGATAGGATCAGGTTGACAAGGACGGGGATGGTGGTGACGACGATGGACTAGTCTCGATAGTGCCTGGCCTGTCATCCACTCTTCTGCCGTGGCGACATGTCCAACGAGCATGAGGATGGCAAAGCCGATGGGGTGATCCCTGAAGCTTTCGGTCATGAAGGAAGGCTCGGATTCGCCTGCAGATGGATTTCGATTGCTCAGAGAAAGGCAATGCATATGCCGAGAGGCTACTATCACCGTTTGTATTGGTGGACCCATAGTGGTGGAGGGAATATCAAGTGAGGATCCTGTCAGGTTTTTCCAGATTCACACCGCATGTGAGTGACAAAGGAAAGGACGGTCCGGAAAGACATCCAAAGGGCGAACCAAGCACCAACGGAGAGGCCAAGCTGGGATAAACGGGGAACTAGAGGATCGATAACCAAGTCCAGAACGGAGCACAAGGGCATGTGGAGGGGCGTGTGTGCAACACGCTGTCGATAAATGGAAGCAGGCATCGGAGGCATAAGCCATTGTAGGTAATAAGCAAGGGGTGATCTGGCCAGAATTCAGGCAAGGATGGTTCGGGTATGAGAAATGCGTGAGTTGTTGACGGTGTATGACAAGCCGGTAGGTGATAGAAAGTGAGTGTCTGGCCTGATATTCCACCAAAAAAAAAAAATCTGTGAGGATGAGTAATTTGTACATGGAGAGATGTATCGGGCTTGCGCTGGCCAACTGGAATCGATCTGCACCATGGTACGGAACACGGGTCGGGAAGAAGTGCTAAGGCACCGGCTTTTCCGTAAGCCGCTTCTGTGTACATGGTGCACTGTGTAGGTTGGGAGAGCTTCCCACTTTGGAATTGGTGACGAACGAAACAAGCGCGCTCGTCCGTTAACGCTAGCCACATGGCAAAGGCGCTGTTAGATTCGTCAGCGACATAACCGTTTTCGTTGGTAGGAGCAATGTTGATTTCAAACGGAGGGTGCGAAAAGGTGGGTTAGGCAGTGATGCAGGGAATCGGGTGAGCGATGTGTTGTTCAAAATGCCTGCATCATAAATTTTTCCCCTCTCTACCTCGATATTCGGATCTCCCATTTTTGCTCATCTCGTTTCTTGGCCTGACATCCGTACCTTTTCAGGTTCCAGGACCGTTCTGTTTGGCCTGTGGTCTTCTTAGCTTCGTTCTTTTCTCCCCTATAAGAGAGCGGGAAAGCCAGCAGTACCTTACTGTAAGACTAAACTCAATTCCTGAATTGAGCTAATTCCATTGGCTGGAACGGCTAGGCCCCCCAACCTTTAGGCTGACTTGATCCTATCCAGCAGTTGGTTGGAGACGTCCAACAGGGCATTACTCGCATTGTGCCGAATCTTGGGCAAGACAGCGTGGGTGACATGAGTTGGGTCCCGATGGAAATGTCCGAGACATATATACCCAAGTGTTTGACGTCGGGTCAAAAATGACAGAACAGCATTGTGTTTTGGGCCTTGCAGGAGTTCAGGTACACATTGAGGATGTAGTCAACTATGTTTTTGTATGAGGGCATTGGTCCGCTTGGAGAACCTCATGGGCTATACTCTACGACATTCTGTCGTTATTCGGGCCCTGTGAATGAAGCCTCCATGCGGGTCTCAGACGCTGTGATGTTTAAGTGGTTTTGCCTTGCCTAGATGACATGCCGAGGAAGGTTTCGGGAGCCTTCAGCCGTGACAGTTGACATGAGTATGATTCAGAAGGCCACGCAGTTTGACAAGAAGCGGTGCGCTCCATTGCTCTATCCCTGGAGATTCAGGCGAACTGCAGAGGTCCAGGGACGGATGCGTGTGCCGGTCTGTTCTGTGAGGCAACTCCGGAGGAGACATGTACGACACTGCGGATCCATGTAGGTCAAGGGTAAACCGAAGAAGACATTGAGGCACTTGTCCGAAGGCTTTTCATAAGAATTCGCAATTGTGAATGAGATTGACTGGACGTGAAGGGGTGAAACCTCCTTAATAGAAGAGGCATCTCCATTGAATTCCAAAGGTAATGACCCGTCTAGGGATATCACAATGACTTTGAAGCCCAGCGGAGGACAAATCCCAGTAATGATAAAGGCGTCCGAGAGGTCCGGGATGTAGACCGAACCGAACCTGAACGCATGGTTCCTTGAACCGTTTTCATCCCGCGTCTTCCAACCACAGTCGGCCTTCCAGACATCGAATCTGGCCAGAAGGTACCTTGATGAGGTGGAGAAGGAGCATGACTTGCAAAACATGCGAAGACGTAGCTAGTGCGGTGTTGCCGTCCACCAACAAGAAGCCAGATGCCATATGGTGTGCTGTCGTCGGGCCACTCACTTGAAGCGCCATCAACCCGGACCCTGCTGGTATCAGAGAAAGGCAAAGCTAGGCGGGCCCAATTCACCTCGCATGGCTGATAGCTTGCACCGTTTGGGTCTGCGAACTTGCGCCCCCGCGAAAACAACCCCCAATGGCGGAGCGGGGCATTGCGTCAGAAGTGCCGGTGGAAGTGAAGAGTCGAGCTCAATGGTCAGCTAATCCAGTTGGGAGGTGTAGAGTAGTGGATGAAGCCTGACAACGAAGAGCTTGACGTTGCAACGACGAACCGGTGGAAGAACAGGTACCTGGGCTGGTATGTGACATAGCCCGTGGATGTAGCTGTAGAGGTATGCAAACGGTGTACATACGTACATGACTTCCCTTCGTGCCTAATGCAGGCTCGGGAGGGCAGCAAGGGGACAACGCATCAAGCCTTCCTGCACGTTCATGGCATGGTACGGCGCAAAGGCGTGTATCGGTGCAGGAAACGGCGACGATAGCTGGTCGTTGCTTGATGTTCGAGAAGGAAAATGGGTTCCGCGGCTGGATGTAGCCATGTGTGGGGACATTTGGGGAGACATGGAACAGCGAAAATGTAACCTCAGTTGTTTGAGTGGAATTAGGGAAATGCAGTCCAACCAAACTTGCGCCGACGACTGATGACTGGGCACGATTTCATAGGATGAAAGATGCCATAGCCGGAGCCCCCAAGGTGCCTGCTGAGAGAACCATGCCGGAAAACGTACATGAAGCGTACATGAAGTGCCAAGTCCGCGCCCGGGGGGTATGACGGGAAAGACAAGCTTCCTTCTTATGTCCTGTGTCGTGACGAAGTTGTTGGAGTCGCTGTTGGAGTCTCCGTTTCCAGAAAGGAAGGAAGTGGTGGGAAAGCAGGCATTGCTGATTGAGCAGTGATGATTGATGATGACTGTTCGCCCGTCTGAGGGGGAAAAAATGATAGTGGATGGCAGCCCAGCTGCATGCTTTGTTGTTCAAGGCAGATTCATTCGGCTTCTAAGATTTCGTCAGGCAAGGAAAAAAGCAACGTCAATACTAGTAGTGATTGGGGATAGGGTCAACCCGTATGGGGGCGAAGAACTCTTTTGCCGCTCACAGTTCGTGAACCAATTGCTCGTTCCTGTAGACGTCCGCGCAGTTTGGCAACGGCTGGTTTGCAGCCAAAGCCTCAGCAGTTCGCAGTCCGCAGTTCGTCCTGGAGAAATGCGGCTAGGGCTTTTCGGTCCATCAATATTCGCGAATCATACCATCCGAAAGAGTTACCAGGCGTGACATGATATCCGAACCATTCGTGGACAATATCATGTCGTGTAATCTTGAGAAGAACGATGTCGGAGGATCACGAAGGCTTTGGTAGCCGAAGGTGTAAGGTAGGTAGTAGGTAGTAGGTAGTGAAGTGCGTGTCAAGCTGAGAGAAACAGCGAAGCTTCCCACTTCCTGTCCAGTCAAACACAGTGAGAGGTTGAGAGGTGAATTGAAGGGTTGTGTAAGAAAAAAAAAAAAAAAAAAAAAAAAAAAAAAAAAAAAAAAGGCAAGTTACCGTTGGTGGACTCGGAGGACAAGGAAAAATCAGAGTCGAAAAGGAAACGACCTTACCAGCAAGAAAGGTGAAACCGGCAGGCGCGAGACAACCCTTGTCAAAATGCATCCCCTCCCCTGCACTTTTGCTGTTGTGCTTCGCGGCGTCGCTCCTTCCCCGGATCTTCTCACGACATCCGCCCCTCGTTCTTTCCGCCTTTCCACTGTCTGGCTGCGAAAAGGAAATGAGACTCACCGCCTACCAACTTGATGTTCAACAAGCCGAGCTGAGTCAATGCATGACATTTCGAAGTGTGGACACCGCCGCGTGACAGATGCAGGCAGACGAACAGCCCGAGGCAGGCCGGGGCCTTTTTAACGTCCGCCGACCTTGTCAGCTCCGCCATCCTGGACCACCACATTTATCCCGAGTTACCTCGGGCGGGTGACCCCGGCCCTGGAGACAGCAAAATTCAATTATCCGATCAGCGACATGTTCTCCGAGTCCTATTTAAAGATGCAGAAATGGACGGGGATAGGCCCTTGACAGCTTCACAATATTGATGGCTGCATGCTCCCGACACGAGACGTTTGAGGATAGCTGCAGTCTTAGTTGATAAGAAATATACAAAAAGTGGTGAGATATACAGGTTGCAGCTTGTGGGTATGAGGGCGTACATCTCTAGACCTGGGTTATGGGCCTTTCTTTGCCTTTGCCCAGTCTCGTCGCAGAATCCATCCATTACAAAAGTGTTCATACCACCGACATCGTCAGCCACCCATCCAAACGTTGAATAATTGGACCCCTTTTAACCCCTTGCCGCCCCAGAACGCCGGTGATATGCATCGTTGACCACAGTCAAGCCAAAAGTAGATGTATCAGGTATTGTCAAACAAGCATGTGCCAAATCATCGGTCATTTAGCCAAAAATCTTGAGGAAGCCCCAGATACCGAGACCGCTCAGGACGGGGATTGTGAGGTTGTCATCCAGTCCGCAGACGTTAGCCACCTCGCTCGCCGCAGCGACGAAGCCAGACCAGATGCTCATGACGCCCAGAGCAAGGCCACCCGAGATCGTCGCCTGAGCCGGGGTCAGACCGACCGCTTCCGCCAGGAGCAGGGGGAGGCGGAGGGTGCCCTTGAACATGAAGAGCTCGTCGCCGGGCATGGGACCCTTGGTAGGCACCAGCCAGCCCCAGAAGAAGGCCGAGGTGCCTACGCCGACCAGGAATGCAGCCAAGGACCCGGCAAGCGACTTGCCGGTTCGAATACGGGGTGTGTAACGGCCGTACAGCCGTCCAAAGGTGCTTGCCGCAGTGTCACACCAGCTGAGCAGCAGGGTGCCCACAACACCGACGTCCTTGGGGAAGAAGCCCAGGACAATCCAGGCCCCGAGGAGGTAGAAAATGACGCCGTTGTAACCCGTAAACTCGCTCTCACGCATCAGCGCCCCCAAAACCTTGACGTAGAACCGGTTAAAGGACGCGTTGTGGTGTCGGAGAACGTCGACCGCCGCAATGGGTATTAGAGCACCCATGAGGTAAGGGCACACCGATAGTGTCTGCGTTCCCGACAGGTAGAGCCATACGACAAAGAAGCCGATGGACACGTGGAGCGCTTTCCTCGGTACTTCGTGCTTGTGTATAAAGGCCCGCCAGTGCCTGTGGATTGGGATCAGGCCAAGCGGGCTAGGACTGCGACTGATGTCTTTCCATCCCCAGCCTGTATAGCCTGCCGGTTGTGGTGGCAGCAGGTGGCCGTTCGCTACCTCCTTCTCTAGCTTTTCGGACACGGCGATGTCCCCGGAATTGGGCGCCACTGTTGTCGAGTCTATGGAAGTCGTGTCCGCATCGGCAGTCTTGGTGATCCTCTTCTTGGACGTCCGCCTGCCGGCTGTTGGCCGCGTCTCTACCGGGCTTCTGCTCCTTGTGCGCGCTCTCCGTAGACCGGGCACGTCATCCTCCTCGTTGCCCTCTTCGCTAACAGGTAACGGTGTCGCCAGCCGTCTCCTCGCGGCCCTGGTCATGGGCCCCGTGTATTCTAGCGCATCGCGCTCCGAAGGTGTCGGACTGGGCGAGATGATGCGCGGCGTCGCGGGAATACTGCTACGCGTAGGCATAGTGTCGTAGGGGAAGGGTGGCAGGGCGGGCAACGAGATGGCGCCCGAGAGGATACGTTGCAGGTCGTAGAAGCGCAGGGGCCAGAAGGAAGAGTGAATTTGCTTATCTTTTCTAGACTCGCGCGCACCGGTCAAGCAGTCGTACGTCGAAGACCAACCAAAACAGGGAGGGGTAGCGGGTTGTTGGTGGTGTTGGTGGTGTGGTTGTTGGTTTCGGGAAAAGAAGGACGCTACGTGTTGGGCGAGGGAATCCAGCGTGAAAGATGTAGACGATGCGGCGGAGTGTGACGACTCCACCGCATGGCTTGCCGGGGGAAAGGGTTCAAAAAGTCGGCGGGATTTCAAAAGATGACAAGTGGAAGAACCGAATGGCTCCAACCTCCAAAAGCTGAGCTGAAGCGGGACGGGGGACCGGGGGTGTCGGGGATAGGTGACTTGTTGTAACCGAACGATGGTGTGGTCCGGGTTAGCCAGGTAGGGCAATGTCTCAGCAGATTAGGGAAACCCGTGGTAGCATCAAGACGAGTAAGGCTGCCTCTGATTGGTGATTGTTGATTCTGTTTGACTCTTTCCGCTGAATCGATAGGATATGGAGGGTTTAGGACCAAAGGAAAAGAAGGGTGTCTCTGCAGAAAAAAACAGAAGATGCAAAAAAAAGTCTATGAAAAATGCTACTCGTGGCTGAGGTGGCACGTTGCCCTGTTTGGCTGAGACTTGGTTTCGGATCCAATGATGCCGTGGCTGACGATCAAGGTATGGTAGACGACGAATGACGGTGGTTCGGTGTTTGTGAAGGACAGAAATTTCGGCTGTTGCGGATGGCCATGAATGCCCGCGGAGGGAAGCGTGTGCGTTACTCTTCAGGTGGTTGCACCGGGCTCCCCAGCTCACTGGTCTGTTACCCCAACTGCGGCAAGGCGTGATGACATGGGTGCCGTGGGCTTAACCAACAGCAGCAACGGGCACTGCAGCACACAGGGCAGCAACGCGACCTTGCATGTGACAGGAATTTTGACAAGTTCTGCTCGCTTTTTGTTAGTGGGCAATTAACTGGATATGAAGCTATTCACATCCTCTCTACGACAATGAAGCAATGCCTCTTTCTTTTCGCTTTACCGAATACTTTCACTCTGCTGAGTGAGCCTTTGAGTATCAGTAGTTTCGTCTCTCACAATCAATATTGAAATCTGGGAGCTTGATCGAGCTGAAATGTTGACACCTTGTCGCATTAACTAAAGTAAATTGGACCAAGCCTAAACAGGTTGGGCTCTTCAATGAGGCCCACCTCCCAGCATCTCATTATTGCATTAACAATATAAGATCGTGGAGGTTTCAAGAGCCGTCTCTCGACTGAGGTTCATCTATGGACCAGCTTGAACACGCATCGCGAACATACGTCGATCATGACTTGCTCAACAATATTCCATCTTCCAATGAAGGACCATTGACATTGGGGCGATCAAACATAGAAGAAGTGAAGTCAAATGGACCAAGACAGATCCCCGCTTTTGACACGTCAAATCGCCGTGGGGCTCTAGACCCTTGCATTTATGCAACTGACGAGGCCACGCTAACCTTATCGATAGTCAGATAAGATAAGGAATGTTTGGATGGTCGCCAATTTTTGTTTCAACAACGGCATCGCATAGCCATCATCACAGGCAATACACAAGAGCTTCAGGGACCGATTACAGCGCCCTGATACTCAACCAAGTAAATAACCAACATGGCGCCTACACAACCACAGACCAAGGTCCGGAAGCCTCCAAGGTCTTGGGACGCCCTCACGCCTCCTCTCGCCCAATGGATTCTCGACTACCTCTCTTCCATGGGCTTCACCCAGCCTACTCCCGTTCAGAAGTCTTGCCTTGAGCTCTTCCGTGGAAACAAGGATGTCGTCGTCGAGGCCGTAACAGGTAGTGGAAAGACACTTGCCTTTTTGATTCCTGTAATTGAGGTAAGCCGGGCCTCTCTCTCTCTCTCTCTCTATCCACCAGATCAATTGGCCATATGCTAACCAACCTTACAACAGAAACTCCTACGCGGCGAAGAACCAGCCAAGCGGAACCATGTCCAGGGAATCATCATCTCGCCCACCCGCGAACTTGCGACCCAAATCTACAATGTCGCTACTACCATCCTAAAGTTTCACGAACCCTCCGCCGAAGCCATGTCCCACGCCAAAAGCGACGAGAAGCGCCCAACCGCAACCCAGCCTGTCGTTGTCCCCCAATTACTTGTCGGAGGCACCACCAAGGCCGCAGAGGATCTCGGCACATTTCTTCGCCTTTCCCCGAATCTCCTGATCGGCACTCCCGGTCGCCTTGCCGAACTCTTGTCGAGTGCATACGTCAAGGCTCCCGCGTCTACCTTCGAGGTTCTCATCATGGACGAGGCCGATCGCCTTCTCGATATGGGTTTCGCGAACGAGCTCAACCGCATCCTTGGCTATCTCCCGAAGCAGCGCCGTACCGGTCTTTTCAGTGCCTCCCTCAGTGACGCCGTCGAAAGGCTGATTACGGTCGGTCTACTATACCCACACAAGATCACCGTCAGAGTCAAGAGTTTGAAGGATGGTGGCATCATTCAAGAGAGGAAAAACACCAATGTCTCTGCAGATGAGCTACCTGGTCACCCCAGCCAGCCAGAAAATGGCAGCAGTTGTCCAGCTCCTCGAAAAGCTTGAACCCAGGCCGCAGCGATCCATCATCTTCTTCTCTTCCTGTATGGCCGTCAAGTACTTTAGCCGCGTCCTCGGCGCCGTCCTGCCCGCCGGTTTCTCTTGCACTTCCCTGCACGGCAAGCTCGAGCCCAAAGTCCGCGAAAAGAACTATGAGCGTTTCGTCAACACCACCTCTCCCATGGTCCTCCTCACCACTGATCTCGCCGCCCGTGGTCTCGATATCCCCCAAGTCGACCTCGTCATCCAGCACGACCCGCCCACCGACACCAAGGTCTTCATCCATCGCTGTGGTCGTGCCGGCCGCGCCGGCCGTCGTGGTCTCGCCGTCGTTCTGCTCCAGCCCGGACGTGAGGAAGGCTACGTCCAGCTCCTCGAAGTCCGCCAAACCCCCCATCGCGCCCCTTGAGAAGCCTGCCATTGCCGTCACTTCAGAAGAAGCCGAGCGCGTCTCGGCCGCCTTCCGCGCGCAAGCCCTCGCCGACCGCGAGATCTTCCAGATGGCTCAACTCGCCTTCGTCTCCTGGACGCGCTCCTACATCGAGCACCAAGCCTCATCCATCTTCCGCATCGCCGACCTCGACTGGGTCGAGCTAGCCAAGGGCTACGGTCTCCTCGAGCTGCCCAAGATGCCCGAAGTCCGCGAAGCCAAGATCGACCGCTCTCTCGGGTTAGGTATCAACACGGAAGAGATCCCCTTCAAGGACAAGGTGCGCGAGAAGAAGCGTCAGGAAGAGCTGGCCAAGTGGAAGGAGGAGAAGGCGAAGCGCGCGCAGGAAGAGACGGGCGACAAGCGCAAGAAGAACGAGGCGTGGAGCGGCAAGACGGAGCAGGAGGAGACGAAACTGCAGAGGCGCGAGAAGAAGAGGAGAAAGAGAGAGGCCAAGAAGTTCAGCGAGATGACGGAGAAGGAGAAGGAGGAGCATCTCAAGCTGGAGGAGATGATCGAGAAGGTCAGGAAACAGAACGAGGCCAAGGCGGCGGAGGAGAGGGCCGCTGCGCTGGCGGCGAACCCGCCTAAGCCCAAGGCGCCGCCCAAGAAGCTGGATGGTGATAGTAGTGATGAGGAGTTTGGTGGGTTTGACGATTAGTTGGTGGCTTCTTGGGTAATGGAGGTTGGCGCGGTGATAGGTTAATGTTTCCGAAAACGTAGAGGCGTATGAGGCGTATATACCCTTTTTGATGAAATGGAATTTTCTTGGTTCTTGCAACAAGCCGTGTTATAATTTGGCATGGTGAAAGCGTGAAATGTTAATCCTTTGACTGCGAAACTTCAGTGCTTGGAAGTTATCATGTACCAAGATCGGGGGACTACACCTTGGACATACCTATATACTCTTACACGCATCCAAGCGTCTTCACGACATTTTTTTAGTATAGTCTGCAACGGTTTGTCAGTCCAAGAATGCCCCGTAGACGAGTCCGACCGGCTTCGATTGCGACTCACGACGAGGCATATCACCCTATGTATAGCAACAGCCTTTGCTAAGACAGTTAGTTGGATGATATTCGAGTGTCTGTGTTCGGTTTATTCCTGCCACTCCTTCCTTGCCTGGTTATTAGGATGAAAAAACTCAAACGGTCCTGTACACTTGATGAATTCTTGCTCTCTGGGATGGTTGTAAAATCAAAGACTCAGAGACGTCTTTGACGTCTAATCATACCATCATCACTACGTTCAAGTTCACTTATGATCACAATCACATCTATATGCAGTTCTCTTCTTCAGATTGCCCACCTTTTTCTCTAATTTCTACCAAAAATTGTTGAGGAATACAGAACACGAACTAGACTGAAGGAAGTCAGGATCTCCCCATCTCTTTATGAGGAGCTATAGAGACGAATAAAAGGAAATGAAACCCTAAAGAAAGGAAAGGATATGATATGCACTGTACCATCAGAAAGTGTCGCGAAGCAAAAATGCAAAAAGTTGCAAAAAAAGATGTTTTAGACTCGGATACCGGGAGTCGAACCCGGGGCTGTTGAGAGAGCAGTCACTCCTGAGAAGTGAGAGTCAACGATGTTACCGCTACACCATACCCGATTGAACTGATATGGTCCGATTTGTTGTTGCAAAGCGGAGCTGACCTATCCCCTATAACCCTAATCCTACAACGTATCTACAGGGAGGTTTGTTAAGTTTAGGCTACCGGAAGTCAACTTGTGCTTGACTTCCTTTTTGTAAACTCTGATTTGCTCTTTGAGTATCACGAAATGCGGAACGCAAGGAGTTTAACTGAGCTTTCACATCCAAATTGGAATGAGCCTTTCCACTGCGTTCGGTGGCCTCCGACGATATTCCCACTGACTAGTTGGCAGGCACCCTAACCGACATTTGTTCCCAGCACACGAATACAACGTTCACCATCTTTCCAAAATATCCATCCTTTGACCCGACGTTTCTCATCATAATATCTTCAATAACGTTTGATCAACAACCTCAATGGCCGCTTGCAATCAAAGCTTCTTTCCTTTCGTCGACTTAACCCTACTACAGGGTCTAGGCTTGTCACTGCAACACAACGGTCAAGCATAACCTCATCAAACTGGTCAAAAAGACTGTTACACTCGCTACGTTTTACCGGAGTAATTTTACACTAGGAATTATTCGCGGATCACTTGCCGGATTTTGAGAAAGGAAACGAGACGTTTTTTCTGGGCATGGAAGAATGGGGGAAGAAGCACGCTAACAAGAAAAATCTTAGCATGGCGAGCAGGGAAAAAAAAAGAAGAAGGGCGTTGGAGCTTGTATGGGATTTCTTTCAGTTGCATAGATCTGAAAGAGGCTCTGCCTTCGAAGTTTTTTGCGAGCTTGTGTCCAACGGCTTCTTCACGGCTGCAGCAAACCGTAACCGCAACTGTACCTAATCGTTCCGTTGCAACTGCCGACAGGTTTCGCCAAGAAAGGTACCGTGTGACATCTCACATAGGTAGGTGGTTGAAATTTTTTGCATGGCCTTGAGCTCTGAGCTGAAGCTCTGAACTCTGGACTCTGGGAGGGATGAGAGGTAACCTGAACCGTTGGCCATTGACGTAATGTAAGTCAAGAGCACCTGGTTGACAGAGGTGAGAAGGAGGTATGAAAAACCGCAAATGGCTCAACATCCGGTGGTGGTGTCTTACAAACTATTTCCCTCCCTCCCCGTCTGTGTGCGTTCCGAGAGGTTGAGTAGGTCTACCAGACTTCGCTGTGTGATACAGAACCCGCCAAGACGGGTTGCCATCACATCTTCCTCGGTCCCCTCAAGCCTACTGGCCCAAAAACGAATCCGACCACAGAAAAAGAGCGAGGGAACTCGTAGCGGTTGACGGGTTGAATCGAAGCCACTGACTGATAACAACGGTGTCAAAAGTCTCAAACTTTCGGAAGTCTCACCATGAGACATGATGACCCAAGCTTCTAGTACGACTTCCGAGACCTATACGAGAAATCTCTTTCTTTTCAGAAGCAAACGCTCAAGTCTTGCTCGAGTCACAATCAGAGGCGAGCGACCGTTGCCGTTACCGTTGTGCGGCATGTCTTTCAAACCGTGTTGTGTCAGTGTTTGCATGTTGCGCTTGTCTCGGAGATCTCACGCAAGGATCTCGAGATAAAGTCGGACGGAAACCGGGTAGACGCTTTTGAAATCGTCATTGGGCAACATGGTGCCGGAGGGGCAAATAGTGTGACGTTATGGTGTTCGGGGTCTCAACTCTCGAGATCTTACCTTTACCGCAGGTCCGTAGGCGATGGGAGAGTTGCGTAGAAGGAGGAGTAATGAAAGCGGGAGTGTTGTGACATAGCAGTGTTCGAAAGAAAGGAAGAGAGCTGAATGTCGTTGGACAAACAGCCAGTGATAGGCGACTGGCCGGATTGAGTGACGCCATGATTGCCATGGATCTGCTGGCCCGCTTGTGGTCGCTGCAGGAACAAGAGCAATTGTATTGGATAGCTGCGGGCTAACATCAGTGGCTCCGCCTGTAAAAAGCTACTGCAAGTGATTGCACCTTGCAGCACGTAGATGGACAAGTTGGAAAAAGGCACTGTTTGGCGGGATCTTCCAGCGGCAGTTTGGTTGACTGTCCGATATCTCAAGTTTGCCATGGTTTGTGGTTCGTTTTCACTTCGCGTTCGCCCTGCGTTTCATATCCTGATATCTTGATGTCTTCCATGGTTCGATATACGGAAGAGAAGGAAAGCGTATCTTTTTCAGGGTAGGACTCCCGATGACAAGACAGACATTCGGGGACTTGGTAGTGAAGCTGTTATTAGCGTGTGGGGCAGGGGAATTGCATCTGCCTAGACCACGAGGGGCTCTTGATAGTGGCCGATCGAAACGTCCCAGGACCCGGCAGATTGGGAAATGAAGATGTTGGAAGGACCCATTGGCGACCGGAGCAAACCAGGCTCTCGGGTATCGTATCGTACCATGGCGTCCGGTGCTTCGAAGACTGAAAATTGTAAAAAAAGTGAGATGTGTGAGAAGCGGTCTTGGTGGCACGCGTATGATGTCGAGTACATGTGTACCAGATAGGTAGAAGTGACGGGGCTCTTGTAGGATACCTGGGCGAGTATCTCTGCTGCTGTTTTGTGGGTTAGTTGACTTACTAAGATACCGCTTCACCCTTGAAAAGAAACTCGGAATGGTCCAAGATCAGGGTGAGGAGAAAGGATTTGACCCGCCCTTTGCTCCGCAATCGCATGGTTGAAAGATCGAGACAACCAGGGAACCTTGTTTTATCGCCTTCATGTTTGATGCTTGCTATTTCAATGCGGGCTCGTCAGAATTCGTGATCCCGTTTTCAGTCCACGGTTGTCGTCAATGGGTGCCGTCCCGTGCATGGAACCAGAACTTGAAATCCACGGTTCATTGAATTTTTGAAGAAAGCGAAAACGGTTGACTGGTGATTGGATGGTGTCGCCGCTGGCGGACTGTGCCTGTCGTGCTCTATGCGGATGTTGTGTCTTGCGCCCTCCGAACCGAAGATGTCATGCATCATCCATTCAGATACGCCATCTCAAAGCGGTTCACAGCACGTTGTAGAACGCAACCCAAGCAGTCAGTTACGACGGTTTTCCTGTCCATTTGCGGCGGGTGTGCAGAGACGTTGAAACGGGGCAATCGATTTGAATTCCGGAACTGAAGTCGAAATGGAATGAAATCGAGGGCGGAACCAGGAGTGGAGCACCAAACCGTATCTGGGACCAACCGGATCGTCTTCCCGTCGTCAAAAAAGAGGACCCGTGCGTGGTGCCCTTGTCTGCTTCTCAGTGTTGACCCTGACCCTGATGCTAGGGGCAAGAACACCCACTGTGAGAGAAAAGGGAAAAGCCGTGGTCACAAGCGAGAGAGCGAAAAAAAAAAAGTGGAAGAAGGGGAAGTGAGAAATGGAACTTGTCCAGGGGCAGAAGGCGGCCACTGCACTGTAAATTAGCCCATCCATTGGGTTGGTGTCGGCGGGGGTTCACAGTGACCCCTGACCAGTGGTGTTTCGTCCCAAGTCAATACACTAGACGCACAACAAGAAAGGAAGAGGAAGATGACGAGCATAGTACTAAGAAACTGAAGCAGCCTTGTGAGTGGAACAAAAAGAAAAAAAAGAGAAAAAAAGAAAAAAAGAAATAAAGGGGAATCCCAAAGGAACCCATCCCTTCCAGCATGGTCTAGAAGCAGCCCTCGTCTCCAATCCCGCGACTCCTCCAGTAACTCCATCAAGTCCTCCATTCAAAGCTCGTGTCCGGGCCGTGGCTCGTGTGTCTTTTTTGCTCTCGTGGGGCTCCAGGCCGAGCCATCTCCAGTGGTTCACCCCATGTTTGTGCGAGCAATCTCGCACTTGGCATTTGAGATTCGGCGGCAAGCTGTGGTCGAAGAGCGGCATGAGCGGTTGACGACTTGAGGTTTCTCCAAATCACAGTCCGGGCGCACCTTGCATGGTTGCTTCTTGCTGCATCCCGTCTCCATCTGCACGTCCCTGGAATTCCCCAGTGCTCCCCTCCAGCTCCTCCTCTTTTCACTTGTGATCGGACTGGACACCTTGTTGACTTGATTGACACGCTGTCGATCCAAACTCTACCCATTTTCACACTTTCTCCATCTTTTGTTGACTCCAGGTCTCGACAATCGGCAAAGGTAGCCGCTGCCAAAGGGACTGGAGGGTCTTTGGTGTTTATCATTCTGGGGGAGCCTATCGCCGATTTGCATTTGCATTTTGTTCAGGCACCTCATGCAGGTAGTACCCAGGTAAAGAATCCTGGACTTACAGGCGCGGAATAGCGTGCTGTGTGTGTGACCAGAGTGCACCGTCCAATCTTGATGGCGCTGCCCAGTATTTCCAGGACAGGTAACAACGCTCCCGTCGGTATGTGATTTCTTTTCAAGCTTTCTCCCACTTGCATTCCGCCCTCCCTTCTTTCCCTCGTTCGCCTTACTTCGCCATTTTGGGTCAGCCGTCCTCGCGCAACACCCGCCGGCTGCTTTCCAAGACATTCCACTTCAAGTCATTCCTTCCTCCTCCAATGCGATTATGACGACAGCTTCGCCCACCGAGATACTCCCGCTCTTTCCTCGCCCGAGCCAATGAGACCGCCACTGGTTTGAGACTGATTGGGAAGTCGCAAGTCGCATAGGAAAAAAGAAAAGAAGAACAGACGAACTCCAACTTGACGGAACCTTGGAAGCGCCGCAGCGCGAGACGAAAGAACGAACGACCAGGCGACCAGGCGTTGACACCCCTTATGTCTTTCCACCACAGACGACGACGTCCTCCATCTCGATCCAGAAAACAGTCCCTGATCCTGACCCCAGCGGGCAATCCCCCATACACACGCCGGCGCCGACTCCGACCCCGATTCGGATTTCGATACCGTCCTCATCGTCGCCAGCAACAACAACACCACCACCAACAGCAGCTAGTACTGGACGCCATCGCGAGTCATAATCGAGCTGCCCAACTGGTGCTACCGCAATGGAGGCCGACTCGCCATCGGCTCCTCCGACTGCGGGCACCCCCAAATTAACAACAACAACAACACAACCCCCCCGACTTCGACAGCAGAAACCGTTGCAACGAAATCGATCAGATTCCACTCCCACTCCGATATCCTCAACTCTTCAGGCAACCAGGTCTCTGCGCGATCTGCGATTTCGCAGACCATCGGAAAAGCTATTAAAAGATGGAGGAAAGACAATGCCCATGTATGCCTCAACGGGCGCAGAACGACTAAAGACGCCCAAGTCGCGACCCCCTATACCAGGCACAGGTTCTGGAACACCCAAACCCAAGCCTTTGTTCCCAGTGTCGGGGCGCAAGTCAAACGACACGACCAGTCCGACCAGTACACGAAGGAAATATGGACAGGGGAGTCGCGATTTCGACATTACCCCAGATGGAGGTTCTGCAGGACGCGAGGGGAGACACTTCGCCGTAGCAAATGTCGGGCACAATGGGCGCATTTACCTGAGGTATGTATGCATGCAGTGCAGTCATGATGACCGTGTCTCTGCCGTCGATGCTGATAACAATGTAGGCCAACTGTTCGCCCGGCTAACCAGCGCTACCCACAACCGCCCTTCGTCTTTCCCATGACGCCGCCCGATACAGCTGGCTTGGAGCATTCATCCTCGGAAAATGACGATACTTTCGGAGAGAGTACCAAGATGTTCGACAACCAATGGGCTTCAACGCCGGACCTCCCTACCCCGCCCATCACGAGGCGCGACTACTTGGGGAGTCTTAGAAGGCCAGGACACCGCAGAGCCGCGTCGGATTCAACCTTGGCCGATGGAAATGTGGTTCGCGAACCCGAAACCGGGGGCTTCAAGGTCATCATCACCCAGCCCAACGAAGGCACACGACCCAGGACTGTGGAGGATACGGACATGACCGGCTCGCCATTGCTGGAAGTAGCTATACCATCCTGGAGGATAGGGACTCCCAGATTCAGCATTCGAGGAACACCCTTCATCCGTGGCTCTTCATATGCCCCGACAGAAGAGATACTCTCAAGCAGCGCCTCCGTTGAGAACCGCCGCATCAACAGCACAATGGCAAATTGCTCGGCGACTCCAGGCACCGGCCCCATCCATGGCATGGATTTTGCTATTAGCGACCACCATGTCTCGGGGATTCGTGTCTCGTCAACGTCTCCTGCTTCCGATCTGCCGCTGCGCGCAACCTACATGTCCACTCACCTAGTGATTGAGCCCGCCATGTTCGACCAACTCACGTTCCAGCCTGCCTGCAATGATCGAGTTATTGTTAGGTATTCGCCAAATACCGGTGCCGTAACTGCCGCCACGCCCTCTCGTCTTGTTGCAGAGATTACCTCGCCCTCCTTTCTGGATTACGACCTCGTGTCTGATTTCTTCCTCACGTATCGACAGTTCCTCGATTCTCACGACCTGCTTTCCATGCTGTTCGCGCGCCTCCGATGGGCTCTGGCAAGAGGAGAGGGCGACTTGGGGACAGTGGTGCGTGTTCGTACTTTTGTTGCCCTCCGGCATTGGATCCTCAACTACTTCATGGACGACTTCGTTGTCGACTACGACTTGCGCGTTTCGTTCTGTAACCTATTGAACGATGTTGTCGACGAGTGGGCTGAAGTATCCAAGGCGCACAAGATAGAGATGAAGACCTTGCCTGAGCTCAAGAAGTGCTGGAGGAGGATTTGCTCGCAGTTTTGGGATGGGCCCGACTTCGACGCTTCGTTGGCAGCCGACATCCCCATCACGCCAGGGGGTATCGCAGGCCACCGCGACCCGAATTTGACTCCTAGCTTCTGGGTCAAATACGACAAAGGACCACCCCAGTTGGATGAGCTAAATGTCCCGGCGACTCCTCGTGGACCAACGAGCTTTTACGCCGAGATTGCAAAGGCAGGGCATATTGACTCCATCATTGTCGGTGACAGGCCCGGAACTCCCGAAAACCCGGAGATCGATGAACCTGAGAGGAATCAGGCCTCGCCAACCAGTATCACAAGCGTCGAGGTTGTGTCGTGTTCATTCCCGATTAAGAGTTCGCGACACATGCAAATATCAACCAACCATCCGTTGACTGCTCATCCAGCAGATCCCAGTTCCGTATACAACGCCAGTGAAGGCATAGCGACTACTCCTCGCTCCCTAACTGGCAAACGTGTCCGACCGCAGCACTCATCCCACAAGCGCAACAATAGTTTGAGTGATTCTCTTCACGATCATGGCACTCTGACGGAAAAGGTTCTGTACAAAAATGCGGAATTTCTTTTGACGCTGCCATATGCGGGAAGCCTCATCCAAGGCAACATGTTTCCGCCTGGGCAAGCCTTCGTTGAGGTACGTCCAAATAGTGCCATGGGCGACCCTGCCAGGCAGACCACTGTCTTTCAACCGGTGGAGGTTCGGAAGGATAAGTTCATGGGATCAGCAATGTCCGGTCACGGAATGAAGAAGCTCCTCGGAAGCGTCAGGCGCGCGTTGAGCCATAAAACGCCAAATGATCAATCCAACCAAGCGATGTTGGCCAACATATCGCCCATCGGGTCAAAGGGCGCAACAACGAACCGGCTTCCAGGGACAGCAATAGTACCGCAGTCGAAAGCTCGCCAAAACGGGGCTCGTCCACCTGTTCGTATCGATCTGCTCGGCGCTGGTGTCGCGGAGGACTTTAAGAAGGCAGTGCGCGAAGATGCAGCGGTTGAAGCCGAGAGAATCGAATACGCTGTTCCTTCGACAGCTGGAAATGGAGATGAAAGACCCCAGGGGAACCCGGTGGAATATTCGGCTGCACATATGGACACGGTGTTGAACCTTCCCAGTGTTGAGAACGCCCATCCCAGGAGCGATATGGGGATATCGTCTGGTAGTGAATCCATTGTCATTGTCGATGGCACCACCCTTCAACCCGTAATGTCTGGGGCGTTGCCAGCTGCCAGCTCATCGGCATCATTCGCCCATTCGTTCATCCCAATCACCGCGGATCCAACACCACCAAATACGCCGCCAGACCAGCAGCTGGGCACGCCGAGAACGTCGTCATACATCTTGGGCCAACATGCCCTTCGTAACTCGGTCTCAGCCGATCAAGAATCGCCGATTGTACCTGAGTCTACTCCTGGAGAAGGGGAGGACCCCCTATCAGAAGAGTTTGGTCAGCCATCTATCGACCATGTCATACAAGGTCTGGATCAAACCCCTCGGAGCAGACTGCGTGGACATTTCAGGAATCTGTCGAGCAGATCACAACACTCGACTTGGTCAGCAAGGCATGGACGCTTTGCGTCGTATACTAGCGGTATCATGCCACAGCCAACCATTAGGAGCTTCGATGCTACGACATATTCGGAGGAGTCCGTGGCTGATGACTCTTCCCAAGTCCTAGTTCCAGAGCCGCTTCGGGTTCTCAGACGGAGGCCAGGAGGTGATCTCCGTGGTGTGACAAATGTGGGCGATTTGGACCATCCGCCACTCAGACCATCCCGTTCGGTTGGATCTCTCACAACCTACACTGACTCTTTCGCGAGCTCGTTCAGACGAAGTCCAGCCCATGGAGACTCCAGTAGCTTCGTGGATGTCGTCACGAGTGACTGCAATCGACCAGAAGTCTTCTCTCTCGGAGCCCTTGCCGAGCAAAACCCCAAACGCCACCTGTCTCTCTTCACCACTCACTCATCGAAGCCGGTTATGCGCCCGTCCTTCGAGGCTGAGGCGATCAAGCTGGCGCAAATACCTGACGATGAAGAGGATGGCGGTGTCGAAGCCGCACTGCTCAAGTTGGAAGGGAAATACGAAAGGAAGTCGACAATTCGGTTGTCCATGGACTTGCCAACATTTAAGGTCGAGCAGACAATGCAGAAACCTCTTCCGACGCAGCCCGAGGATGTTGCGGAAGAGGACAAGAAGGATCACCGACACGTACATGTTGCCGGGGAGGATATCCTGGTCCAACCTTCACCTACGACACCTGCACCTATGGATATAGCTGACAGCTATCTGGATGTCACGCCCCGTCAGTACCGGAATACAAATGCCAAGTCCTTTATTTCTGCCACTTCCACAAACTCCTACAATTCGATTCCCTTGCTGGAGCGGGGAATAATGGACGAATCTGGCGTCAATCATGATGCGCTGCAATCGTGGACTGACCGTTCCGTCTTGCAGCCCCCTTCATCCAATGAGCAGAGCGTACAAAGTTCCAAACACCCTTCCACGACTTCATTTGATTTCGTGGAGAAGACGGACAGTATGCAGCCCGTCAAGGTCGACGACGCCGTACCCACCGCAGAGCCAGAACATTCTTTCTTGACGATGGAAAGTGAAGATGACACGGACTTATCTTCAGAAATGTCCGCGGAACCATTCGATGCCGGCGTGGATGATTACGGTGCCGTTCCTCCATCGGCAATCGGTGTTGCCCGCTCGACACAGCCCGCACATCCAATGGCTGAGAGTCAATCCGGCCCTAACCCGCCATCGCCACCCATCACTCTGATGCAAGCACTTAAGATGCCTCTGGGTATCGCCAAGGTTTCCGCATATCAGCAGCAGGAAGGATGGCATGGTAAGCCTTTGCCGCCAACACCTGATACTACTCCGACCACAGCGGGTTCTTCCTATGGCCAGTTTGCACACTCATCTCCGGTACAGCCAACTGCTCCGCAGGACACGCCTCGTAACAGACGCCACCTTGATGTACCCTCGCCGCTGCCGGAAGCTGGTGAATTTTCCGAAGCGCCCGATAGCAGACTCTCGGCCCATTTACCCTTCATTCTGGCCTTTGACAGCGAGATACTGGCTCAACAGTTCACCCTCATCGAGAAGGATGCGCTGAACGAAATTGACTGGAGAGAACTGATCGACATGAGGTGGAAGAATGCTGAACAAAAAGGCTGCCACGCGCGCAGCTGGGTCTCATTCCTGAGGGATACGGATGCGCATGGTGTTGAGGTGGTTATTGCCCGCTTCAACATCATGGTCAAATGGGCCATTTCCGAAATCGTCCTGACTCGCGACCTCGAGGAAAGAACTCGTTGCATCATCAAGCTCATTCACATTGCGGCGCATTGTCGACGCTTCCGCAACTTTGCCACCATGGCACAGCTGACGATCGCTCTGATGAGCAATGAGATTGGCCGTCTAAACAAGACATGGGCGATGGTGCCCTCCAGTGACCAACGAACGATGCACGATTTGGAGACGTTGATATCGCCTACTAGGAATTTCTACAACCTGCGTAAAGAAATGGAGGGCGGTAACTCAAAAAGCGCCGATGAGGGATGTATCCCCTTCGTGGGCATCTACACACACGATCTCCTCTTCAACGCCCAGCGACCGAGCGAGATTGCGAGCTCACCCACTACTGCTCCCTTGGTGAACTTTGAGCGGTGCAGGATCGCAGCCGGGGTAGTCAAGACGCTCCTTAAACTCCTCGAGGCGAGCAGCCGTTACTCGTTTCAGCCTATTGAGGGCATCACTGAGCGCTGCTTGTGGATGGGTGCGCTACATGATGATGAGATTCGGAGGCTGGGTGAGAGCTTGGAGTGATCGGACCACAATACCAACCACCAAACCTCGTCGTTTGTCTCACCCACATCGACCGGACAATCTTTGCCTTATTTTTTTTATTTTTTTTCTCTTATCACACGTTGGTTTGGCACCTTTGAAACTTGAGCAAAGCGTATGCATTCATCGCATTTATACCCCTGTACAAACAACTACTGTAAACTGTTTTTATCATATCGAACCCATCATACCCATATCCAACCTACCTTCCATTACCTACCTACCTCCTACAACCAACACGTCATACTACTAAAACTATACCATACCATACCAAAGCCATAATCATAACTGTCTCATTTACTGTTGTCCGGCTTCTCATCGCCAAGTTCGTCAACATCATCATCGCCACAATCAATCAACCCGCTGCTACCTACCTTTACTATTTTCTAGTCGCGTATTTCAATTCGAACTTGCTGTATATATACTCTTTTCTCTGGCCGTCCATTCTTGTCTTGGATGAAAGCATCGTCATCCCGGCTGGAGAGGCTCAGTTCAGGCATATCATTATCTTGCAAACAGCGTATTCACTTTGGAGGAAAGATCCAAACGAATGGAGGGCCAGGATCAAATGGATCAAAACGGAACCGTACGGACATGAACTGAATGGGAGGTCTGGGTGGTAGGCGGTCTGAACTTAGCCTGATCAAATTTTTGTTCTTCCTTCCAGCTTTTGTTACACAATTTTTGATATTCTGGCGAGCGCAGGATGGAGGAGACACCGTAGGTTTTATACCCGTATCCTTGTTCCTGAAGAAGGAAGAAGGAAAAGGATACAATTGGGAGGAGAGCCAGAGATATTTTGGTGGGGAAGTCAGGAATAGGAGCAGATATACCAAGTAGCGAGCGGATGATTCCCCCTGGGAAGAAAGAATGAAAGCAAAGTGATACATTACACTTACCTTGGATGTCCCGTCATTGTCAAGGTGCATGAGGGTTTCGTTTATATTTTCCCTTTGGATCTCGATGAATTCACCTCTTGAGGGCCATCGCCGTCGGTACTGTAGTAGTTAAGCCGGGGGTCTCTAGGAAGACGGTCTTCCTTCCTCACAACGACATGCCACTCAGTAGCGCCCAATAAGCCGAATCATCAGATGAACCCCTCTTTGCAAACTGAGCCTGGATTAAACCGAAACAACCTGAACAAGCCCATACACCCAATCACTGCCTGGCAAGCACGATGCACGTCTCGGGACCAACGGCCGGGGTTTGCTCAACTTGGAGTCAAGAGGCAGGCAGGTAGGTACGAGGACCCGACCTGGAAGAAGGCTTGTAAAATCCTAGCACATCTCATATGGAAGGCGTCTGCCGCTTCTGAAAGGAAGGAAGGACGTCATGATCACCTCCTTTCGTGGAAGGCACGGCAATCAGTCACAGGCTAGAACAGAACGCGCGAACTGGAGCAGGACAGGAAGCCAGAAGAGGAAGCTAGGACTCGAAGTAGGGAGGGGAATGGCCACAAGGACCGCTACATCTTTTGGGCTTCAACAGCTGGTTTGGTTGCTTGATCTTCGTGTTCTGGGCCGTTATCGTTTTGGCTCCTTGACCTGGATCAGGATCAATACCATCCCTTCCATCTCACATCTTTGACTAGGTTGCTCTGAACTTTTTTCCGTTTTTGCACGCGCTGTTCATCATCTTCCTTCCCGCCATATCGTGCGCTGGGCCTTGTTAAATTCCCAAGGGGACTGGGCTGTCGGATGGTATGTCGCTTTCCTCTTCAAGTTGTCGAAATTCCTTGTTGGGTTATCTTTCACGTTCCCATTCTTCCCTTAGGTTTCCTTGTTGGACGGATCGCGTGTTGTTGTTGCCTTCTTTCCCTACTGAGCCTGCCACTGCGTTCTGCCGCCTCTGCTGTCACCTACCTACATGCGCACCGGCATCAGCACCTCGGCATCTCACCACAGGTGACACAATTGCGATGCATCCCACCACAGGTGAGGTATCGCCATTCATTATTTTCTTTGTGGCATCAGCTGCGTTTGGACATGCTTTTACAAGTACCTGATTCAACCGTCTCAAATACATACGACCATACCCACTGGAAAACTCGGGATCCCGTCCGCTCTCCCATAGATAAGCCAGTGAGGGCCAGACTAGTAGTTGGGTCGGTGACGACCAGCGAATCCCTGGTGTTGTATGTATTTTTTTGCTCATTCTCCTTGTGCTTTTTTCATCCCCTTCTTGTTCCAAAATCGTCTGCCCTCCTCTTTTTCCACGGAATACCTTTTTCTAATTTTAACCTCCCACTTGCAAGTTGCAACCAGTTTAGTCTAGTCCGGTAATGTCGTCCTGTATCAATGACCAACCACACAACGCCAAATGGCGCTGTTTCTCTTACGTGGTCGCCTTGCCTGATGCCAGCAGCAACGTACAAGAAAAGAGAGGTTTCCACTCTCGGTTGCTTGCTTTCCCGTTGGCCGTGCTTCATCGAAAGATTTTGTTCCTCATTCTTTCTCCGACAAAAAGGCCTGGCAGGACTTTCACCTGTTACCACACAAACAAACCTGGCCCACTGCAGTCAAGTTATCGTCAACTCCTTCATGTGCGAGCTTCTTACCAGGCTTCGTGACCTACTTGAGCTTTGATGGTCATATCCAGCCATGAAGTCAGCGGGCCTTTTGAGTATATTCAACTGCGGCTTTTGCCTCAGCGAACGCATGAATCGCAAGAAGTCGAAGGGCGTAACCGCCGAACTGCCCCTCTCCAAGACAAGTCGCGCGCCCTCATGCCCCTCTGCTCTTCCAGAAGCAAGACAGATTCTCTCAGAGCCTAGCCAATGTGCGCCGTCGCCTCCGTCGCCTCCACTACCGCCTCCGCCGCCGCCTCTACCGCCGTCGCCTCCTCAGCCGCCTACCGAGACCCGACTATGCCCTTTATCTTTGCCCCCGCACTTCAGATCGTATGAAGCATATATCGAATATTGCATAGCTAAATTCGGACCTGAAGTTATCCCAGAAACTGCGTTTGATCGCATGTGTGCACATTGTACGGCGGCGTTCAACATGATAGGCGACATACCTGCTGGGGATCGAATCTGGAACACCGAAGCGCCCTTTTGTACCGTCAACGAATTTTTCAGATCGTCTACGGAAGGAAACTGCCACGTTTGTCATTGCCTCATGGCCCAAATTTTAAATGGTCATGAAAGTGCTCGAATGCTCGAACTCAAGACTCTCGCGATGGCGGCTAGGCATGCTTTGTTTGGTGTAGTCGGGGCGGGGGATGAGTGGCACCCTGGGGGTCTTGATGATGTCGAGAGCAAGGAATCAGGTATTGACGCTCTCGGGCGGGGAGATGCAATATTGACACTAGAAATAGAGTTGAACGATTGCTCAAGCGATTGGGATCGGGCTGAATGGCAGGGCATCCTGGGAATTACTGTTTTGGGAAGTGATGGCAAAAAGGCTCAGGTCGTCAATCTTGGTATCCAACTCAAGGACAAGGGCCATGGTAAGCTTTGTTCATGACCCCGTTATATCGACATTACAATGACAACGAGATGACACACACAATCAGCTAATGCAGATATGCTTCCTCCAGGCCGTGGCTTCCCAACTGCCCTTAGTACGGCAGGCGACGCAAGCTGGAATCAAGCGCTCAAGTGGATCGAGAACTGCCGCTCGCACCCTCTCTGTAACCCGGTTCAGACCTCGAGTTCACGGGATAGATGGCCTGCTCGACTCATTGCAGTCGGAATTACTGGAGACGTACAGGTCAGGATATGCGAAACAAGTCAACCTGGCTTTGTCGAAGAACCCTACCTGACTCTGAGTCATTGCTGGGGAAAAAAAGGAGTCCCGACTCGACTTTTGAAAGAAAACTATGCTACCTTCTTGAACGGTATTCAACTGAGCGAGCTGCCGAAGACGTTTCAACATGCTATCGAAGTCACTCGAAAATTGAACACCCGCTTTATCTGGATTGATTCCCTCTGCATCATCCAGAATTCACCAGGAGATGAGGACTGGATCCAAGAATCGGCCAAAATGCACCAGGTCTACCGGAACTCCTTTCTCAACTTGGCCGCTGGCGCCTCACCTGACTCGAGCGGTGGCTTCTTCTACCAAAGATACCCACTTTCGGTAGCACCTTTCTCTATACCATTCGGAGAGAATCGTTACTTACTGAACACGTATGCCACCGAGCATACTAACGTGTCGAAAGACGGACTCATTCTCTACACCCGTGGATGGGTGTTTCAGGAACAACTCCTGCCGCGACGTACCCTGATCTTTGGTCAAAATGAACTACACTGGGAATGCTCAACGTGTGAAGCAAATGAGTCCTTCCCAGTTTCTTTGGAGAGATCCACGGATTTACAGGAGCTTACGATCTTCCGACCTGACTGGGAAAAGCTCGTCGAGGGCAAACTAGTCGACTCGGAGCGGAACGACACATGGAATCGAGTGATCACGACTTATTTCACCAGGTCACTGACAAAGCCTTCAGACAGGCTTGTGGCTATTTCTGGTCTTGCAGAGCAACTTGGTAGCAGTTGGAGTGGTATCACCTATCATGCCGGTCTGTGGTCATATCGCCTTGTTCGGGAGCTGTTGTGGCATTCTTTACGGCCATGTAGTCAGAGGATTACAGAAATAGCCCCTTCATGGTCTTGGGCTTCACTGAACCAGCAGAGTCAACCTGAATTGGAGTCTGAGCTACGGGCACACACCGACCAAGATTTGGTCGATATCTTAGCTGAGGTTTTGGAAGCCAAGACAAGACCAAAGACCAGAACAAACCCTTTCGGCTCTGTTGCTTGCGGGGGAAGCATCAGGCTACGAAGCCCAGTCCTTCCTGCAAGAATCACCGCTACTTCCGACGACTTGTCCATTTACAATATAGAACTCCAGGAAACTTGCGACTTGGATGCGCTCATCTTAACTGATCTAAATGTCAAATGGGACGTCGTCAGCGACACCGAGGCAGAGAAAGAAGAGGCCTACTTGGCTCCGTTTGAGGTTAGAACCAGCGATGGCTCGCCGTCTGTGGCACTCCATGGGCTGGTCCTTTTGAAGACAACAACGCATTTTCGAAGGGCTGGGACTTTTTTCTTCTCTGACCACCTTTATAAGGCTTCCCTTTCTTCCGGCGATGACTCAGATAGCGGCAGTGACAGCCGCTCTGTTGAAAAGGTTGACGAACTCTCATACTTCAAACGTTTGAGGCGCTGGAAAAGAAATCTGGAAAGGCTGAAGAGGAGAGGCTTCTTCCCGGATATCGACGCGTGGTTTGCTGAAAGGGTTGGGGAAGATCCAGAAGAGCGAATGAACTACTTGAAGAAAGATCCGTATGTCAACGGCCCTCCGTTGAATACTAACCTAGAGCATCGTTACCCTTCAAGGGTCGAAAGAGAGTACTCCCTGAGATCTCGAAGTTTCTCAAGGGTGTCGCCCGGGTTGCCGAACACAACATTAAGAACGGGACCCCGAACCCTGTGCTCGGAGTGGGTGAAGGGAACGGATATTACACATATGAAGTTGTGTGAATGCTGAAGAGCCCAAGCATTGTTTGCGTGTTTCCTTTTCCCTGTTTTGTCTCCTTTTGTTGACCTAGTGGTGGAGATGATTATTCTCATTGCCCAGGGATCATGAGCTTGTACTTCCTTTTGGTCTTTTATCCTCCTGCTGCTCAAATTTCCTCTTAACGACGTCACGATTAGAATTGGTTACGAGATTTGATTAACTGCCATTCTAAGCCAAAAAGATTCCAAAGAAACATTCAGGTGCGTTGTCAACGGCCAAAACATCTTAAGCTTTACTCTCCAAGGCACCTATCCGTATCAGCATCGACTTTGTCACTTGTTCCTGAAACGCAAATCAGATATCAGAACAGGCGAGAAATAATAGGGCTTCCTACACTCATGATCCTACTTGAAGTATGTTTTACGAGCAAGTTTCAAACGAGCAGTTGGCAGAAAAGTTAGCCGGGTAACCTAAAGCTCGGGTACAGGGCCCTCATCGTTTTCTCTTCTTACTCACATGAACCTCGACAACACTCTCCGAAATCTCCGTCACTATCACGGCAATGGTGATGCCTCTGGACACAACAAAGAGCCTCTTTCAGAATGTGTATTCTGTAGAAGGTTGAAGGCGGCATACGGCTTATCAAAGCAACGAAGGAACAATGTTGCATAAGGCCTGTTCCTAACTGATAATTCCAGCGGGATATCGCTCCGTTTACAGGCAAGTTGTCCGCATAACTACCTCAGTCACGTAGCACATCTTTTACCAGGCTCACTACCTATTCATTCGTCCAGACTCGTACTCATCTGGCTTGAATTGAAATATTTTCCTCGGAGAGTTGTCGCCGCCCTTCAACACCGAAAACATTCCATCTCAGCCTTGTGAAAGCCGATTGGTCATCAACAAGATGACCGCATTCAATGCTGTTTGCTATTACAGATTGTTGCATTTATCTTTTTGGGCTTCAGGCAGCAGGCCTGAGCTGAGCCAGTCAGCTTCACTTGCAAGCCCAATTAGGCTGCCGAGGTTTCTTGACCCTTCACGTTTGCGGGAACCCCGCGATAGCTTCCACTTCACCTTCATATCTCATGCCAACAACTCGAGCACTCTATTGGAAGTCTACGCCTTGGGGCCCCTTCACTAGGCTTTATATTCACCCTTTAAGGTCTCGCTCTAGTATTTTCAGGCTGCGCTGATATCCATTCCCCCTTTTTCGTCACCACTACAAAACCAAGTGCTTTTTTCTTTCCGCCTCTGACACCCTCCCTGCATGTGACAGACACCAGCACACAACACAACATGGAAGCAGCCGACAGCTAATCTACACTCCTCTCGAGCTCGCCCCAAGCCGAGGGTTGCAATGGCGCAGACTCCACCCAAGGTTTCGGTTCCTTCAACTTCATGCCCGTCACCCCGCTCGATTGGGAATCACTCGATCCTCAGTGTCCCACCAAAGTGCGCGAGCGCTTCGAAAATGAGCGTTCAAGGCACACCTACCAAGCCGAGCATGGAAGTAGCGACCATCCCATTCTCAAAGACCTGGTTGAGCAGCTGGGCATGTCCGATTACTCAGACTCAAAAACGAAACCGGAAGTATGTCTTCTCCTCGCCCTCCCTCTCGAGATGCGCCATGAGATTTACGACCGGTTCATCAATCCCTTCCGGCACAATGTGGGAAGACTCCAGGACCACAGCAAACCTTGCACGTCAAGTTCTCCCCTGAAGGGATATCAAGGAATTCATTTCCGCATCACCGAAAAGGAATGGAACCACGAGCGCCCTCAATGACACCTCAACGACCTCGTCGTGTCAGATCCCGTGATCACACGCACCATGGACACTCTTACGCCCTGGTATGTCCGCAACCCAATCAGTCCTGTCCATCTCTTCGCGGCTATTACCAATGGGGCTGTGCCACCTGAGAATCTTCCCTCGGGATGGAATATGCCGACAAATCAGACGGTCAAGTACGACGAGTGGCCCGAGGCGTCGTATGGCAAGCCGTATGTGCCTACTCCTGAGGATGAAGATAAAGGACCGGGGAACTCTGATTGGAGCGAGGAGGAAGAAGAGAATGGTGAAGACTCGGATTCGGACATGGACAGAGACGTGGAGATGGGAATGTTGGACGGAGACGAGCAACAGCAGTCCTCCTCCTCTCAAAGTCTACCCCGACGTAGAAAACGACGACAATCCCGCCAGCCCTACTACCGCCTTCTAGTCGACCCCGTCGTCGAAAAATGCTGCGACAACCATTGTGGCTTCTGCGACACCGCCCACAACTGGCTAGGCTGGGATCCTATGCTGGAATACACTTCATTGTCGTCATTTTCAGGCTCAAGTTCATCAGGCTCAATAATCCCGTCTAATCGATGCGTAACAACCTTCGGCCTCGGCACAGGCCGCTACATTCCCCCCTCCCATTACACCAGCCTCCTCCAACTCTCGCAAATGTCTCCCTTTATAACCCGCGAATTCGCCTCCCGGCTCTTCTTCAACTCCGTCTTCGAGTTTCCTGAAGGCCCCTCGCTCTTCCTGCAATTTGTCCGCGACCGTCCGGCCGTTCTGCTTCTCATGCGGGGCGTAATTCTACGCGTAGAGTGCTCGGCGGATTTCATGGACACGGTTACTTCAGAGCTGGAAGCCATGCTTACCTTCCTAACTACCCACGAAGAGATCAAGTTAAGGTTCCTCACCGTGGTGCTGAGTACTGCCTCGATCCATATGCTAAGGGAGCAGATGGAGACTGCTGGGCAGTGCTTTTACAAATCTCAGGTTTTGCAAAAGCTCAAGTCATGGGCACCGCTGTTCCGGCAGCTCAAGACGGAGGAGTTTTTGCTGGAGTTGGAACCACTGACGAAACAGGATACGAGTGTATATCAGTCGCGGCCCGAGAAGCAGGAGGGGGAGGATTTGGAGTTGACCAAGAACGAGGTGAGGAAATGTGGTTACTTGATTGCTTGCGGAGCCGTAAAGGATACAATCACTGGCTACCTACCTACCTCTACAAGGCAGAAAGATAACCGATGTATACTAAGCTCTTTATACATGTGAGCGTATTATTTCTGTAGTCAAAAAAATATCAGCATCACTACCCTTCTCCCATTAGAAGGAGTCAAAAAATCAATGCCCATCATGCCCTCCATGCCCCCCCTCGTGGCCTTCTCCCATCCCGACCTCAAACCCACTACTCAGTCTAACATCAACCTCCAATAACATATCCCTCGGCGGCGCATCCCTCTTCATCAACAATCCATAACAATGCTTCGCATGCGCCCACCCATCAAACCTCCTCTCCATAACCGCGCCCGTATCTCTCATCCTTACCAACTTCTGCCAGTAGAAAAGACAATGAGCCAGATGCCACTCCCTCGTTGCCCAGAACACGTTCTCCCCTTTCGGTTGATCTGCTAGCAAAGAGATCTGGTGGGCATTAATGCGCGTAGTGCCGTTTTTGTCAGCATAATAATGCCATGACCCTCCATTGCCAGGGCCGGAATGGTCAAAAATGGAAGTCAGTTCTGGGTCCCGACAATGGGGGAGGGAGCCAGGCGGCTGCCATCGTGTCGTAGACGCAGTCAAAGGAAGCCGCTTCGTGGGTGGAAGAACCGCAGGAGCAGAGGTCGTAGGAAGCGTCAGGGTATGTCGATGGGCGGTAGACGTCTATGTCTTTTGTTGCTGTGCTGGCGGTGTTGCCCTTTGCTCCTCCTGGGGGTTGAGGTTGTTGTTGGGACATGATAAGAGGGAAAGACGGGAGTTATGGGTAGCAAAACTTGGGCGAGCTGAAAGATGAGAGATAGAAACCCCCAGAGGGCGAAGAGGTAGAGGACTAAGTCTGGACAGGAGCGGAAAAGAACACGTCGGAGGAAGGAGGGCGAAGGCCTTCGATGTGGGCGTGGACTTTTGTGGGATGTGGCGTCGATGGCGTCTTCAAGATCGACGTCTGTTGTTGACGAGTTTTCTGTTTCTTCATATTCTTCTTCGTGATCCTTCTCGCGTTTCTTCTTTGAGAGGAAGGGGGTCGTGGATTGGCTCATGTTGTAGATTCCAGTTCCTCTAGACCGAGGGTTGGGGATTGGGTAGATGGTTGGACATGAATAGATGAAAAGAGATGGGCGGAGAGCATTTTGATGGATGTAACGGCTAGCATGACAGTTTGGCATCATGAAAAAAAAAGGATGCTTACGAAGAACATGGGGTAAGTGCAACTGGTGAGAGTACGGAAAGTGAAATGTAACCCTATTTGCTTCGGGAAGTGAAGGAGGGAAAACGGGACTAACCCGAGATCTTCGGTTGTCCGGTCGATACCACGGACCGGTGACTTTGGCACCAGACACTCACTCGGTAGCTCCTGAGCACATGTCTGATCCCTCTTACCCAAAGCCCGGATGGTCTGAACGTAGTTGCTCACCAAAGCGCGTGCTAGTGGTTGCCAGTGCGCATTACGAAGAAGTCACTGCGACCTGCGGCGCAAGAACAAGTCATTCCACTTCGATGTATCAGCACAAGTAAGCACACAATCTGATCCCGAGCACGCAACTCACCGAAACCCCGCCCGCCCACTTCCCATTCTTGATCAACCATCGCCTGCTCAACCTCTCACGAAGTTCAATCCCCTATCTCGGAATGTTCCTTGTTCCCAATCAAGCTCGACTGGCTGACCAGTCGCAGTTGCCTCAACACTCACTCGATGTTCCCCCAAGCGGAGATCTTTCAGCTCTGATGCTGAAACCCCTCTTCCTGAAAAGGCAGGTAGCCTTCAACCAAAGTCGGAAGCATGACGATGTTGTAGCAAACGCAATCCGTGACCGTCGTTAATAACCCTGGTTCTTGTTGTGATGAAGGGCGAGCGAGGTCGGAGGTGATAGTCACGACACAGTGCGCTGACGTATTTGAGCACCGAATGTTGAGACAAAAGTTGGCGACATGATGTATGTGACTACCCGACAGCATGTTGTGGTATTGGCGGTTGCAAAATCCTAAAACGGCGACGGTGATGGTGAGGTGTGAGATCCGAGGTGGTAATGACATCTATCTAGCACTCGGCCTGCCTAACTCGAGCTTCAGCGGTATCGGCGAAGAGCGAACGAGACTTGGTAGTTCATGAATGGTTTCATTAGAGAATCAAGCAATGGAACACCAATGGAACATGGGAGTCGGGGTTTTTGGAGTCCCTAGAGGTAGTATGCAACTATTCGGTTCTCGAAGAGGGGATCAACAAAGATTCGGAGCTTTGTGTCAGTCCAAAAAGGGGAGGTGTCACTATCTTGACCTCGCCGAGATATGCGTATGCAAATCGACTCGGGTTCGGAAGCGAAGCGCATAGGCTGAACGCTGTTGGGCTGGAGTGGAACATCCGGACAATGATCAATATGTTTTCATAATAGGGGTGATATGAAAGAGTATAGGGAAACTTTCGTGGCCCGGTCCATCTCGTATTATCCTGAGGATAAAATGCTGACCTGGGGTATTTGCCATCTTGAGATGCCCATCTCTCGTGCAAGCTTCTAAATAGGTGGGTAGTCAGCCACCATCTCATTAAGATCAGTGCTATGGACATACCTACTCAAGAGTTGGGACGAACCTCCCGTCTCCAAGAGTTCGATTCCACAATTGGCGTCCGCGGGCCGAACCGTGCCCAGTCTTCCGCCCGTCTCGCGTCAGAACCTATTTTCCTCGCTACTCCATCCCGTTTGGGATGCAGCATTGCATCGAGATCGATAGTACGATACAGTCCATCCTCGCTTTCCCGGACTCGGCCACGCCAGCATGCCCAGCATGCATGCATGCGTTTCGTGTGCGGAGTAGGTGACAATCTTGGTACAATAGACCACCGGATTTGACGGAAACCACATATGGCGACTATGTAGGTAGCCTCATATGATAGCAACCGGAATGTCGTGATGAATGCGGTTTCTTGGCTTCTGTTTATCTTCTGTTTCCTAAGTTTCTCCGCACTTTGAGGGAACGAGGCGGCGGCGCAGTCGGAATAAGGATTGGAGCGATGTCACCGTGCCCATGTGTCAACTGAACTGGGGGGCGGCACGACATCTGGACGATCCTGTACGTGATGATAGCTTCGTTCCCGGATAGGAAAGTGACAACCGCTTTGGAAGAAAGAGGAGTAGAGGAAGATTGGCTTGGCACGATAGTTCTAGGTCGCGATGTGGTTACAGCGGTTGATGATCGATGACACCGAAACCATAAAGTATATTCTGTTCGAGGAGTCGTTGCTCGCTTATCTGCATAATTCACGAATGCGAATGTGAATGTCCCTTTTTGCTACCCTCTTTCAACGTCCCATCCTCATTCAGATGCAGAATCCCGCCGGCCTCTGTAAGTCCTACATTGACGTGGTGGTGGGAAGCATTTCGGTCGTACGGATCGCCTGTTTGTGGTTGTCTCTGTTAGTCTCGCCAGCGCGCAAAGAATCAAGCCGAGTACTGTAGCTTACCAAAGATGGGATGCATCAAGATGCCTGGCTCAAAGGGGTCAAAGGAGTTCTCCTTCACCCAGTCAAAGATTGAGTCCCAGTTGACACATGTGTGTCTGCCCAAACCCTGAGAGACGGGCTTTGGATCTCTGTGGAGGAGTACTGATGTCAGTAATTATCACAATTTCAAACGCGGAGCAAGACTCACTCAGTCGTCCACTCCATGGGAAGAAGTGTCGTGTCCGCATTGCACTGGAGATACTGCAAGAAGTAGTCGATGCAATGCTCCGTATGTTTCAGCAGGGAAATGGCTTGCATCTCAGTGAGGTCGGGGTAATAATGGTCCTTGTAGATGTATTTCCGGAGTCTCTCAACGCAGTGAAGACCATGGAAGACTGATACGGTGAAGTAGTAGGACCCATCTGTCAAGCGAATGACAGTGTCGTCGTCCTGGAACTGACCCATGTCATTTCTGGGGATGCGAACGTTTTGAACTGTTCCAGCGTGTTAGCAACATCGAGAACTTAACATCACCGCTGGAGTGAGAAAGAAGCTTACAGCGGAGAAGGTTATCCCATGCATTTTCCAGCTCTGGTCTAGGTGGCCCATTGAAGTCGATATTTCCCTTTTGCGTGTTCAATGACATGTTCTTTCCCAGGCCATAAATGGCTCCCATATCAAACGCCCTTTGTTCGTATTTCACCACAGAGCGGAACGGAGCTATACATTAACAAGTCAGAGTGATCTTCTAGAAAAGCAGCAGGATGGGTAAGAAGGGCTCAACAAAAAAACTCACTCGGCTCATGCTGAGGATCGGTATAACGCACAGGAGCAATGACTCCCTTCGTGTACGCGATGAAGAGGAATAAGTTCGTCGCAATAAGCAAGGCATGGACGGTAACAGAGCGCCAGTGTTGGTGAACCCACGAGCCTTTCGAGCCCGCCCAGCGAGCTGATGGAGCGGTTGAAAACTCACCACACTCCTCGTCACCGCCGTCAGACTCGCGTTTTGGTGAGTACGAATCTTCCCCATCAACTGGGAGATACTTGGTGGGCTTGAACTTGTCCATTTTGAAGAGCTCAAAGGGTGAAGAAAGGAAGACAGAAAATGGCTGATAGCTTCCGTGACGACCGGGACGAAATGAATCTCGAAGTTGTGAAAAGAGTAACAAACGAACCAGTTCGAATTCAGCTTGTATCAACTTACAAGGGAGTATTGCATAAACCCGTAAAGGAAACATACAAATCAGAAGGACATCGGACGGAAGGGGGCCGATATCGCAACAGACTATCCTTCTCCAACTGCAACCCCCAAACAAGCAATGTTCAACATTCTGCGGATGTGTGATCCATATGCGTCTTGAAGCACGACCCAAGATCAACTCTGGACATTACTTACAGTCCTCTCTGGAAACTATCAAAGAGGATCAAGGTATGATCGGCCTTGCATCAACATGATGCCCAGAGAAAACGAATACCAGCTTCCTCTTCCGGCCAAACCTGCACCATCTTCGTTCCTATAGCCATATCTTATGTAATCTGGAGTGCTTGGAGATAAGTTCAGCCGACAAAAGTTGCGCGAGCATCTCCGTTACGAGAGCAGCATGATCAACAACGCTTATTGCCAAGTGAGGGGTTCAGTCGGGCACCGTTCAAGTACGCCCCCTAGTTCGTCCTGGAGTATTGCTTGGGCAGGAAAAGAAAAATCGGCAGTGTAAACGGTGATGGCGAGATATCAGGCATGATGACCAAGACCGCTCAAGTTGATAGACATAAATAGTCCAGATATCCCGTCCTGTTGAAGTGAGTTCATCCAGCAAATTCAAGCACTTGTCTCCATCATTCACTCACCACTGACTATCTCTCCCGTCTTTAAAGATGCAGATCACTCAGACCTCCTTCATCATTGCCTTCCTGGCCATTGGTGCCATTGCCCTCCCAACTCCTGGTGAGCATCTTCGGGGTGATGAGCCATCTGAAAACTGGTACTAACAGAGGATGCAGGCAAGTCAGACGAGGCCTGGACCCAAATCATCAACAACGAGCCTCTACATGATAAGCACCCCGAGGCTAAGAGAGCCAACGAGGAGACCTGGACTCAAATCATCAACCCCACGACTAAGAGAGCCGCGAACGACGAAGCTTGGACCCAGATCATAAACAAGAGGGGCGACGAGGAGTCCTGGACTCAGCAGATCGGCAAGCGAGCTGAGGAGGCCTGGATTGTCGACCCTCCTACTCCTGGCAAGCGCGCTGAGGAGGAGAGCTGGACTCAGCAGATTGGCAGGGACAACAAGGAGGAGGCTTGGACCAAGTATATCACGAAGCGGTCTGATCCCGAGGCGTGGACTCAAATCATTAACCCTAGCACAAAGAGATCCAACGATGAGTCTTGGACCCAGATCATCAATCCCACGACTAAGAGAGGCAACGACGAGGCTTGGACTCAAATCATCAACCCCACCAAGCCCACAGTAAAGAGGGCCAATGATGAGGCCTGGACTCAGATCATCAACCCCACGACTAAGAGAGGCAATGACGAGGCTTGGACTCAAATCATCAACCCCATCAAGCCCACGGTCAAGAGATCCAACGATGAGGCCTGGACTCAGATCAACAAGGAGACCAAGTGAGAGTCTTCCGAAACCATCTGGAATCGTGTTCCGTGTCTTTCGTTTCTTGAGCATTGGGTTTCCCAGTTAGGTAGTGAGGAGTTGGGCCTGTTGGTGAATAGGAGATTAGCTTGATGAATTCCAGATATGATCTCGTTGACACTTCTCAGTAAACCGCGATAGTAGTCTTGCTCCGCCTACTCAGGATGCCACCTTTTGTAAACCATGATGTTTTGATGAGATGTTTATAAGCTAAAACCATCACCACCAAACCACGGGTCAGTGTCCTGTTGGTGATGCAACGAAGCCTTCGTGATACCCCAAGTCTGCCAAGACAGGCGGTTCCAAGCCCACAGCCTTCACGTGTCGTGTGCTTTGAAATGACTGTCTGCCAGTTCTGGTAAGCTCTTCATTGGATGGATGGAATTGTACCAAACCATTGCTTTGTTGGTGGTGTTTCGATGGCAGGTGGCAAGATATTTTGGCGTGTTGTCGTCCCAAGGTGCCTCGGTAACTGGGGCGTCCCCGCACTTGGCTCTGGGGAAAACGTGGGGAAGCGGGCCCATCACCGTCAGGGAAACAGGACGCTAACGGTTTGAAGGAATGAACCTTCAGGAACAATAAAGTTCTCACTCCATCCTTCTTACCGTATTTTGTAGGTTCTTGCTTTCAACCTCTTCTCGCTCCCCTCGATCATCGACTATCCAACTACTCACCAGTTTCCGAAGATACCAATACCGACCTTTCACAATGGCCCCCAAGCAGAAGAAGCCATGCTACGTCCTCGGCGTGGGCATGACCAAGTTCATCAAGCCCAGAGGCAAGGTCGACTATACCGAGCTTGGTTTTGAGGCCGGTGTCAAGGCGATGCTCGATGCGCAGATCTCCTATGACGACGTTGAGCAGGGTATCGCCTGCTACTGCTACGGCGACTCGACATGCGGTCAGCGCGTCTTCTACCAGTTCGGCATGACCCAGATCCCCATCTACAACGTCAACAACAACTGCTCGACTGGCTCGACAGGTCTGGCCATGGGCCGCAACTTCATCTCCAGCGGCGCCGCGGACTGTGTGTTGGTAGTAGGCTTCGAGAAGATGCAGGCTGGTAGCTTGCAGAGCCATTTCAACGACAGAGAGAACCCTCTCGGAACCACGTATAAGATGATGGCCACAACAAGAGGAGTCACCAAGGCGCCTGGCGCCGCTCAGATGTTCGGTAACGCTGGCCGGGAGTATATGGAGAAGTAAGTCAACCACTCGGTATCGGCGAGGATGGGATGAGAGACGTAATGACTGACCGTGTTTGCTTTTCTTTCATAGGTACGGCGCCAAGCCCGAGGACTTTGCCGAGATCGCTCGCATAAACCACGCCCACTCCGTCAATAACCCCTACTCGCAGTTCCAGGACGTATACACTCTCGAACAGGTCATGCAGTCGCCCAAGGTCCACGAGCCCTTGACGAAGCTCCAGTGCTGCCCTACTTCCGATGGTGGCGCCGCCGCAGTGTTGGTTTCGCAAGAGTTCCTGGACGCTCGCCCACACCTCAAGGACCAGGCCGTTCTCATTGCTGGACAATGCATGGCCACCGATGCGCCCAGCCTCTTCTCCAAGAGCTCCATCGACTTGATGGGCCGCGAGATGACCCAGCACGCTGCGCGCGTTGCCATGAAGGAAGCCGGTGTCAAGCCTAGCGACTTCGCTGTTTGCGAGCTCCACGACTGCTTCAGCGCCAACGAGATGATTTTGATTGACGCCTTGGGTCTTTCCGAGCCTGGTAAGGCGCACGAGTTTGTGCGCGCCGGCAACATCACATATGGCGGCAAGGTCGTCGTCAACCCCAGTGGAGGTCTCATCTCCAAGGGCCACCCTCTGGGAGCCACTGGTATCGCTCAGTGCGCCGAGTTGGTATGGCACCTTCGTGGATGGGCCAACAACCGCAACGTGCCTCACACCAAGTATGCGCTCCAGCACAACCTTGGACTTGGTGGTGCCGCTGTCGTCACCGTCTACAAGCGCGCTGACGGCAAGGAGGCGCCGGTTATTGACTCGGCGACAGTTGGCAAGCTCAACAAGCTGGGCTACAACCCGGCAGTTGAAGCCAAGGGTTTCACGGCCGAGCAGGTGAAGGCTGTGCGCAGCAAGGAGAAGGTGAACGAGTGGGCGTTGCAAGATACCCTGATCAAGGTCGAGGCTCGCTTCTAAGTTTTCGTATCTGTTTACAGCATATAGTTAGTAATACACCCATTTGTTAAGTACAATCGTTGTGTCAGACCATGCCAAGCGCCGAGGACATACCGGTTTGATTGACTTGATGATTTGAGGTTTTATTTTCGTGGAAGTTAGGAAGGCAAAAGTAACGGGAATCCAAAAATGAACGCAAGAGCAACTACTTTCGACTGGTTGGGTGTATGGTGACCGATGAGGGAAAACGGAGGTCACGCAGACGTTCTTGCCGCTTTATGACTTGACTTCATCAAGAAATTTTGGGATCGGGTTCGCACCTTCCACTTCAGAGTCGGGTTTTTGAAACTTGTTGAGCACGCAATAAACAATGAAGATCTCGCCTTCTGGCACAAAACTATCCCGGTCGTACAGCAGAGCTAATTGTTCGAGATACTAGGTAAGACACAAGGAAGCTCCCTTCGCGATCAAAACAATGATGTGATGACAGCCATGAGCCACAATGTCCCAAGAACAGCGTAGAATGGGAATAATATCTTGCTTGTCTTCCTATGATTCATCTCACGCTGACGCGCCGATTGGCAGGTTGAGATCCTTGATGGCGGATATATGGCGGCTATATGCCACCCACCGTATCACGATTAAGCCCATGGGGCGGCCGCCGTGGATGGTGTCGAGTTACAAGTAACGAACTCTCTCGTCCTTTGTTTTCTGATTGTATTCATTCCCAACAATACGCCGCAATATCTGAATTCGCTAATATTCAAGGTGAGAAGTATATGAGTTGTGAGGACAGAACCCTTAGAGTATTGAGAACTGGAACGTCAGAATAGAGTATTTGAAACATTGTCGCGGCGTGTTGGAATCAGTGTAGGCATGGTCGGTACCGTGCTTCAAGAGCTTGTAAACTGAATCACAGTGATGTTTGGGTCATTGACTGGTAACTCAAAGCTTCTTGTTATGCTCCATCCGTCAGTGTCCCATCGGTTTGGTCTGGGGCGCTTGCACATGTCAGCCATTCCCCTTTTCCAGACGTCCTGTTTCCATGAGCGGAAGGCCTCCGCGCAATACCTAGGACGGCCTGCCACGCACATGCTCCAGCTGAGCTTCGGCCATTGAGACAGGGCATGACACTTTTCATCTCGACTGTCGACGTGCCGAGCAGCTGGGACCAGTGCGACGAGTCAAGACAAAAGAAGAAATCAGAAGCTTGTGAAAGAAAGATGATGTGAAGCACATTGAAATCTCGAGATTTGCTCGGGCCGACTTTCAGCGAGCCTCAAGACCCTAGTTCTTAGGGTTCGAGAGAGACCACACCCTCGGATCGAGTCCCGATCGAGCGCCGGCCAAGATCCCACTTAGGTAACGAATTGGTGAAAAGAAGTGCAAGGTTTACAGCCGAGGAAGAGGCGATGTACCGTCATTAGCTGCCTAGACGCCTGGACCCTGAGAGCCGCAATGTGAATGTGTCGGGTGAGCTTCTGTGTGGTTGGTTGCGGGTTATCGATTTTAGTTAGAATGAGTTTTCACGTCGTTCAATCGCATCCCGGAATTAGTTGCGAGGTACACAGTTCACGGTGACGTGAGTGTGCTTTGTTCCTGGTCTCTTAATCAACCCTATCACTTTGGCGGTACCCGTGCATATCAGCCTCATGGCAGCGGCTGGATTTGAGACCTGCAGGCTTCCACCAGTCTGGCGGATATGTCACTCCCGAAGACATGTCGTGAATTGATATCTGTGTCCAATTCTTCGGGATCTTTATCATCCACGTCTCGCTCAAGATAATGGACACCCACCTGATGGCGAATGCACGAAGCCGTCCTGTGCAAGGACGATCTTTCTCAGTCAACAGTCGGACATGGGATGCTGTGAGACTGCGGAAAACGGAAGACGTAGGAGGTGTGTTTGAGTAACGTCAGCCCTTATTCCCACTTGGTGTGTATCATCTTTGCAACTCTGCGATGTCCTCTACAGTCGACATAGTCAACAACGAGGGGAGATACACCTTGTTGTTGTCAAATATCGAGTCGCAAACCGGAGATACACGGCTTCGAGCTTGATAGTTCTTTCTGTTTTCTGTGGCTTGCATATGTATGATAAAACCGATTGTCGATCATCATCGCTCTGGGCGAACAGTTCGACCAACAAGTCAACACCATGTGAGAGTCCGATCTGAAGCTCCTTCCCAGGACAAACGAAAAAGAAAATCTTTGGAAGTTGGTCGTCTCGTCCCTTCCGTGCTTCTGACATGTGAAAGTGGCATGACACAGGCCATCCCTGACAACCAATCACGCCAATCCTCTTAAGAGGTTAGCGCTTGCTTTGGCGGTGGACCCCTTTGGATCCACGCGGAAGGTACACCCGCAACCCCAAGAGTGTCACTCAGCCCCTGCCCGGTCGTCGTCCAAATGTTTCCGAACCTGAATTGAAATCCTTCCACGATTTTCAACGGGGTCGGCTTTGACTCTTCGATTGGACCTCGCGGCGCACGTGCCGGCGCCTACGATGCGAGAGCTCGTTGGTCTGGGCTCTGTACGGCCATTGTGAAGGAACCAACTGAAAAGCTTACCACAGCTGACCTCGACCACAGGTGGCGCTGTGAGGCAACACTGCGCGCTGCATTACTTGCATTGCTGGCTGTAGTCGAGCCTGACGCCCCGCTGAGCGAGGCAACCTTGGTAAAATCGGTTGGATGTCGAGCTCTTCGTCAGTTGTGAGCGTGAAATTGCTTCCGGTGCAGCCGAGGAAGTTGATATTCCTGAATTGCTCATTTTCCAAGATCAACAACCGTTGAAAATGCGAAATTGAAGTTGTGCTACCGAGACCTTCATTCTCCAAACTTGGCGCTGGAATATAGGTTACAACCTCGTACGGATGATGAACCGGCGGCAACGGGTAGAGATGGCGTGGCGTGGGGGGTGTGAAGGTCATTCTTCTCATTCGTTCTGAGCCTCTCACCGGTTGTTACACAAGATGTGTAGTGTAGGAGTCCATGATGGGACAAGACAAAAACGGCTGACGGCGAAGGGAAACTGCGTCCGAAACCTCAGAATCCGAAGCAAGAACCCCGCCTTCCATGGGATATGCATGTCATTTATCTGGTCGTTCCTGAAAATCTCCCTTATCTTCCACCACCACCACCATGACGAGCTAGTATCTCGATTCAGGAGTGCGCATCGCTCCCAAACCGTCGATGCTGAGACTGCAATTCCTTGTCGGTAAACAGGGGATATTAAAGAGCCTCTTCCTCTGAGAGAATGATGTCACGAAATGATAAGGGATTTCACGTGAAGGTCTTTTTTTCTTTCTTTTTCGCTGAAGCAAGACGTTAACTGTCAACTCAAGTCTCCTGTTCAGCATCTTCCACCATCCATCTCACCTCCATCTTGTCGAGGTTGTCCTTGACGGCCTCGGTCGCCTCCGGGCCTCATTCTCAGGGTGTACGACATCCAGGCAGTTCAATCGGCTGTTTGCCTCAAGGTGAGTGAAATGGATCAATCAAACCCCGGTGGTGATCCTGACATGAGGGTGATGTTTACACTTATTATCCAGGGATATGGATGTTATGATTTCACAGTTTTGGCTTGTGAGCTTTCACATGTCAGAAAGAGGGGTTGCCACTTTCTCTCTCCCTTCGTTTGACTGGCTGGCAGCGCTTGCTCGACAGTCTGGGCAGGCCGGGGGTGTTGGCGCGACGCATGCAGCCTTGAAAGCGAGGAGCCCCACCAGACTCTTATCAGGGCAAGAACAAGGGTCGAGAGGCCTGTTCAATGTGTTCAAGCCCACTTTGGGCATCCACACCTCGAACTTCACTTCGTGTTTTGACGCACCAAGATTTGGATTCGGTCATGGAAGACGAGAGCGGTTCTGTGTCACTGCTGAACGAACCACAAGTACCTGCCGTGTATCGCTCAAAGATATCGCTGGGGAGGCGAACTCGCTCGGCTTCCACGCAGTAGCTGGGCCTTAACATCGGAGATGCCATTTCCACCAGCTTCCCGCATGGACTCCCGCAGCTGAAGAGCAAGAAACATGTTAATGATTTGCGTCAGATCACAGCGGATTCTGGCAGGCTCTTTCATGTGCGTCTACCAGGTATCAGCAAGGTACAAGCAATGACACCCATGACGAGGGAGGGGTGCCCTGAGCGTTACCTCTCCACTACCTACTAGCAAACGGCTCAGTTTCTTCCATCGCGAGTTCCCAAGCTTCTTATTCTGATAGTGTTCCTAACTACTCGCAATAGCCCCATGCTAGTGGCGTGCATCGGCTGGTCTACCAATCTGTGAGGTTTCACCGGAGTGGAAAGACGTCTTTCACCCCTCCACCCCCTCTCCTTCCTCTTGACACAGGCAGTTGCCATTTTCAAATTCCGTCTCCTTCCAAACGAAACCACCTTGCCATTCCTCTGCTTGCATCATTCTTTCCCACCTCCTGGTCTCGACTGTCCCGGACTCCGATTACCACCTCATCTTGTTTGAAAGACCCTTCGGATCTCACGCTCGGTTCCACCTTTCTATCCCCTCTGGAAATTATACAAATTGTAGAGTCCTCCCGTCTCAACTGTCTTCAACTCTTGATTCTTCTTTCATCATCCGCGGCACCACACTCTCCAGTATCTAACATGACTCATCAGAAGAAGACCAAGATGTCCAGCAGCAACAGGCAGGTTAACGGCGATGTTGCCCACAACTCCGCGGTCATCGAGGTAAGCTCATGATGCCCGCCGTCATCCCTTGTGTGTCCCATGACCAAAGCTAACATGACAACAGCACTTGCTCGCATACCCCATCGTCGAGTCCGGCATCTCGACTGTCAAGTCCAACGCCTACGGCCAAAGACTCCTTGAGGTGACCGAGAAGGTGTACCAGACCTTTGGAGCTCCCTTCCTCGGCTACCTCCAGGGCCCATACCAATACGTCTCCCCATACGTCCAGAAGGCCGACGACTTGGGTGACAAGACTCTGTCGAGGCTCGACGAGAAGTTCCCCATTGTCAAGAAGCCAACCGATGAGCTCGTCCACGATGCTCAGTCCATCATTCAGTTCCCCATCGGCCTTGCCCAGAGCGGCAAGGAGCATGTTCTCAGCACCTACAACACCGAGCTCGAGAAGGTTGGCGGCCAGGGCTTGACTGCTTACTACAAGGCTGCTCTCACCACCGCCCTCACCCTCGGCACCGAGACCTATGCTACTGCTGCCAGCTTCCTCAACACCCAGAAGGAGAATGCCAAGCAGCAGACGGCTAACGGCACGGCCAACAACTGAAGGCTGGTCAAACCACCGTTGCTAGCTGACCAAGAGTCGACTGCGTTACACCATTCGGACAAGGTGACTTACCAACAAATGGTCGACGCAGCTGGCAACGATACCGCGCCCCGGGCAGTTGAGAGCTCACCAGCTCCTGCCTCGCTTTGGGGCATGGCCTTTGCTTCTTGCGACTGATAGGACTGCGAAGGCATTCCTTTGGATTGAAGACGCAGTCATACACTACACATACCTTTTCTCACCCCTACACCGACGTCGGAGGCGTGGCTGAGCGCTCATTTAGAGCATGACCATGGAGCTGAAGCATACGAAAAAATGCTTTTCAAACAAACATACAGGAATAACGGATGATATCACTTTTGGGAGGGTAAATGGGTGCAATTGGTTTTCTTATTTTTTTCATCATGGCCATTGTTTAGACGTCGAGTCATCTCTGCTCTTCGGAATTTTTGCGTTGTCGGCTTGGCGTGAGTTGCGTACTGGCGGATAAAAGAAGAGAAGTTGGGAAGATGACACTGATACCAGGAAGGAGCAACTTGCGAGTGCGTGGTTCTGAGCGCTTGATACCTTCCTAGCTGATACCTCCAGCCAGGTGTCATTGCTTGCACCACCTCGGCTGTCAATAAAAAAGTCAAACCATTGCTGTTTCACGCACCTGTGAGCTGTTTTCTCGTGCGTTTTGATCGAGGCGAAGTCCACAGATGAGTACGGTTATGCACTGCTGGCGTGAGTGAAGCTGATGTCAAGACTTTACATCATTGAGCATGCGAGCACTCAATTAACGGAATTTTTGCTTCAGTCAACCTTGAGAGATCACCGTCCTTCCCATTCTGACCACAACATCGGGCCTCACTCGTGATAGCTTCATTCGAGAGTGACCGAGAGAAAGTGCCAACGCACATTGGTGACATGGTCAAAGCTTTCTCAATTCTACGGCAATTGAATTTGGAAGTGATGACCGACTTTGACGTAAGCTATAGGGCTAACCGTATTTGGGTAAGGCCCCTCTTTGTGCTTCCCTTTTAGCCCCACCATAGCTCTCGGCTGTTTCCGGCTTTGTAATCATTTGTCGGAACCTCTTTTGCGTAAAGAACCTTAGTCACTGCGACGGTGTCGATGGGCTATTCAATGCCATGTTAATACCAACAGCTGAGACCAGTGGCGGAAGCAGATGAGCAAGCAATTGGAGAGACTGACCGATCTGGCAAGGCCGGAAGTTTCATGATAGTTCTATATGATATTGACAATTCCAGACTCTTTTCCTGACTACTCTCTTACACCTTGATTTCCAGCTGCTTACGTTGGCCTTGATAATCTTTTAGACCATCACAAAGTGGACGAGACGTCAAAAGTCGTTGGAGAACCTAGACCCAACATACCTATGGATCCGATCCTATAAGTATCCTTACTTTCAACTCCTAGGTCATGAAGAACTTTTTTCTCATCACTATCATCTCCATCTTTGTTGGAATCTGTTCCATTTTCCTACTGCCCATCGATATCCCACAAGCTCGAGTCGCAAACCTCAACCTCAACCTCAACCTAAACAACTTCAACCTCAACAACATCTCTACACTCACAAACCAACTCCTCAACTATACAAAGTCCAACATCAACACCTACCTCACCAACCACCAACAACCCATTCTCTCACCACAACTCCCAACCAACAACCACATCATCACCACTAAAATGTCCTCCCCAGCTACCAAGTCCATCCCCCGCCTAATCCGCAAAATCTTCCTCGCCACCGAACAAGCAGAAGGCGCCGGCGCCCGCGTCCGGCGCTCAATCGGCACCCCTCAACTCCGCAACTTCTCCCCCTTCCTCATGCTCGACCACTTCTCCATCCGGCCCGGCGCCGGCTTCCCCGACCATCCTCACAGGGGCCAAGAAACCATCACCTATCTTTTGCAGGGAGGCGTCGACCATGAAGACTTCGCTGGCAACAAGGGAACCATCGAAGCCGGCGACTTGCAGTTCATGACGGCCGGGAGGGGGATCATGCACGCTGAGATGCCGCGGCAGAATGCTGATGGGAGCGCGAATGTGGGATTGCAGTTGTGGGTTGATTTGCCGAGGGAGTTGAAGGGTTGTGAACCTAGATATAGGGATTTGAAAGCGGAGGAGGTGCCGACGGTGGAAACGGATGAGGGTAGGGTGAAGATTAAAGTGATAAGTGGCAAGAGTCACGGGGTGGATAGTGTCAAGGATTTGGCGTACACACCCGTGTGGATTCTGGATGTGGAAGTGCAGCCGGGTGGAAAGGTGGTGCAGGAGGTACCGGAGGGGTGGAATGCTTTTGTTTACACGCTGGAGGGACAGACTATCTTCAGTTCAGGGGAGGAAGGGGAAAAGAGGACGGTGGAACAATTCCATAATGTGGTGTTTGAACCTTCTGGGGAAGCGGTCTACGCGGAGGTGGATGCGGGAGCTGAGAAGCCGGGCAGGTTTGTGCTGATTGCGGGGACGCCGCTCGATCAGAAGGTGGTGCAGTATGGACCGTTTGTCTTGAATAGCCAGGAGGAGGTGTATCAGGCTTTTGTGGATTATCAGACGCATACTAATGGGTTTGAGAGGGCCAAGGGGTGGAGGAGCGAGATTGGGAAGTCGATGACACATTAAGAGGGCTAAGAGATGGGAGTTGAGATACCGTGTTTGTTTTGTAAGAATATGTTATGATGCTTTTTCTGAACTTTGGCTCGTCTGGGTGCTGTGATTGTAACTGTAATGGTATATCAGAGGTGTTTCAACGAGATGTATCCTCTTACGTGAGCTACATCTTTGGCGAGGCCCCGAATGCGAGCATTGAGCTCGACGGCAACATGGTCACTCGAGGCCCGTAAACCTCAGCATGTATCCCAGAAACAATTTTATTGTAAAAATGTAAATAGGTATCCCAGACCGATCCATCCAATGTTCAACGAACCGGGCAACACAAACTCGTGTGTATGTCCAATGCAATCCTTCCTCCACCGCCTGCTTCCTCTTGTTCCATGTCATATCGTATCGTATGTTCTTCCGACCACCCCATCTGGGCGTGGCATTGTCCTCGATGTCTCCCTTATCCGTGTATCGTCACCGTCTGCATCCCCCTCTCTACTTCTTGGCCAAAATCTCCTTGATCTGCTCTTTATCCCATGTGATAACACCATCTTTCTCGCCAGAGGCGATCTCCTTGCCAGGCTTGCCAACTGTTCGGATGATCTCTTCGTCGGAGAATGCGTCCTTCTTGATGTCGACCTCGACGGTCCTGGAGTCTAAGTCGACCTTGAACGATACGTTGTCGGGGTTCGATTCTGGGAGATGGTCAGTCATGCACAATGCTTCCTTGGTATTGGCCGGTGGGCAATTGGGATACATGTTTAGAAGAAGAGCTTGGGTGGATGTGAATGAAGGACAACGGAACGAACCTTTAAATTTCGTGAGGACTCGTGTAAGGGCGCCGGAGCAGCCGGAGCAGCTCATGGCGACGTCGAACTTGTAGTGCGTGCTCGCGTCGGACATCTTGGCGGTTTGGTTCCGTTTGTGATTAAGGTTTAGGTTTAGGTTTAGACTTAGGTTCGGTAAAGTCGAAGCAGTTCAGATGGCGGTTGTGTTGTCAAGGTGCGAGTTGTCAGTGTGGAAGTGATGGTATGCAATGCGATGCGGGGCAGTTGGTCGGCTTGGTTAGCAACGTGCAACGGTGTTCGCGAACTCGAGAGAGTGGGAGGGGCAGCACTTTAAATTGAGCTCCGCGACAGCACTGCAATGAGCCAAAATGGGAGAAGCGGAACCTGGAACTACTTTAGAAACCACTTCAGGGATACGGGCAAAAAGAGAACACATTGCAATTAAAACGCATCGATCACTAATACGGTAGGAACGATAGAGGACGAAGCTTAATAATCTGCTCACTACATGCCTTGTGCTCGCTCAGTGTCAGGCATATCAGGTGCCGCTACGCCGCTCTGTCTCTGCTCTGTTCTCAGATGATCCCGCGATGGTGTCAGTCAGGGGCTCCTGTGTTTAATCACTGCACAGCGGAGGCGGAGATCTCCCAGGCTGGGGATTCATGTTTGCTCCTTGGTGAGACGTTTAGCGATGGCGTCAGAGAAATTTCGCACTGTATAATCTTGCTGGTTGTCTCGCACTGAAGGAAGCTATTGACAGTGCGGCGCAAACTGTAACGCTCAGTCCGTCCCGATGTCTCCGCCACCACCGCGTTTAGCATCTCTCAGTGTCAGCGACCGACTGGCTGCCGTACCTTGGAAGCCTGAAACCTGCTCACCGAGACTGTCTCACGTTTTATATCCATGTCCGTGTGAAGTTCTTAGATCGCCTCAACTCAACGCAGAGATAGAGCGAACTATTCCATCTATTCGTTTTGGTCCCCGTTGGTCGGTTTATGACCGTAAATTGTTAAGACGTTCAGGGGTTCAGGGGTCTCCGTCTTATGCCATGCAATAGGTCACGTAGATTCACGAACTGCGTCGAGGTTGACCTGCACGAATTGTAAAATGTCGATGGTTCCATGCATATATCTCATAGAGACAACAAATGTGCTTTAGTTATTCGCTACTAGACTGCCTAAGTTGGTAGTCTTCCGAAAACTGATTTTCCCTTTCTCCTATCATGACAACCTCCGAGGGAACATCTACCTCCGAGCAGCCTCCTCTTCATCACTATCCTCCGCATCCTCAACAGTCGCCCGCCTATTCGGCGTTCCACCCGGTCCAAACTCCAACTCCAGCTCAGGATCAAGCTGATCCTCATACCAATGATCCTCCCCATCAAAGTCATCATCGCCCCATCCCTCGTCAAAATCATCCTCCCAACCTCCAGGCATGACATTACCTCTCTGTCTACCTTCACCTTCATCTCCTTCCGCACCGTCCGCTCCGCCTGCCCAAGCTTGACCCGTCATAATATCCACCATTCGCTGCCACACCCCGCGCTGCACGTCGTCGGCTTCAGGATCGTCGATTCTAGCGCGAGCCTCATCCACCGCGGCGCGGAGCTGTTCTTCGTTCATACGGTTTCTAACCATCTGCAGGGCAGCTTCTTCGCGCAGCCTCGTCTGTCTGTGTTCGCCATCACCCTCGGAAATCGCCCACGGCATCTTCTGCGTTGGGCTGGAAAAGATGTTCTCCTCCTTCGGGGGCGGGAGTGGGTCAAAGTCGAAATTGGGCGATGCATTGTGCAGGATCTTGCGCGGCACGGCTGACATGAGCTCGGGTGTGTTGTCCAGGTAGACGAAGCGGGCTGTGGCCAGCGAGACGACCGGGCTGGGAGGCAGGCCAAAGAAGTCCACCTTACGAGCAGCGTTGGCGGCCTCAGTCAGGAGCGAAGTCGCGGCGGGGTTGTTCCAGAGATCTTTGGCTAGGTGGACGTAGAGCTTGGTGTGTAGCGCTTCTTCGTTGTCCCGGGGCTGAACGCCCCAGACGGAGCGCGGTGTATCGAGGTTGAGAGCGCTGAAGAGGGCGCAGAAAAGCCAGGGGAGCCGCTCAATGCTCTCGATCGCAGCGGCGCGAGCTCCGGCATGGTCTTTAAGTTGAAGCTTGGCCAAGGGGATAGTGGCCTTGAAGTAGGGACCGATGTCCTTGTTGGCAATAAGGGGCGAGGCGCACAGCTCAATGAACCATTTGGCCTCATATGCGCGGATGGCAAGAACATGGACCCAGTTCAGCACGCCATACGGGTCATCGTGGTTGACGCTGAGGACGAACTTGGCCCATTCCAGAGCCGTGCGGTAGGTTCCCTTGAGGACCAAGTTCTTGATTTGGTTATAGCCAGCCAGGAAGAACTGCCTGTTTTCGGGTCGGTTGAAGTCCAGTCTTGCGGTGCCTTCTCCCAACCGCTTCCGGAAGTCACTCAAAGTGACCCTGCCAAAGGTAAAGAGGGCTCTCTCAATGAGGTCGTGGGCAAGGTACGAGTTTTGGTCATTGTGGGCAACCTTGCTCACTTGGATAAGCGACGAGACATGGTAAGGGTACCTGGCTAGGAAGTAGACGAGCTGCATGGGATCGTACATCTGGACCAGACCGTAGAAGTTGCCCTCAAGGGCGTCGTATGTCTTGTCATGAGTAAAGGCAAATTCGGCGACACCGGGCTCACCATCACAGGACTCCGTGATACGCACCATCTTAAGGCCGCGAGTAGAGTCCCTAGGCCACGTCTTCTTCCCTTCAATAAAGGGGTTCGTGCGCAACACAGTCTCAAACATGCTCCTCTTGCCTAGCCGCTGCTGAATTTCTGGCGGGACCGAAAGGAAGGTCTCGAGGTCAACATTCTGCCGAGCGGCTCCTCTTTGCTGTTGACGGCTGTTGGCCTCGGCTGCCTGTTCCGCCCGTGCTGCTTCGATGGCACTGCCAAACAGCTTCCGCATTTCGTTGAGAGCCTTGAGATGCTGAAAGTTGACGCGCAAGAGCTCGTTGATTTGGCCGGTCGACTTGGCAGCATTAGAAGTGGCCGCATCTGAAGCAGAATCCTTGTTCTTCTTGAGGTTGAGCTCCTCGAGAACGCGATCGATCTCATCCAGATCATCGTCTTCCTCCTTTTCCGGTGCAGGTGATTCGGTCTTCTTGCCCTTCTTCTTCTTCTTTTTGGACTTTTTGCTCTTACTGGCAGGCGCTACCGGTTTGGGGAGCTCCTCGACTTCTTTTGTTTCTTCCTCGGTGCCTTGATTGTCATCATCGTCGTCGTCTCCTCCTCCAAGAGCGGCGAAGCCTGCAAAGGCATTAGGCCTTGGCTTGGTCACAATGGGCTCGTCCTCGGATTCGTCTTGTTCCCGATCTGCTTCGTTCTGAAGCCTAAGAAGCTCCTGCTGCTTCTGCAGCTTTCGCATTTGCCGTGTCGCCATGATGTGATGTGAGAATGCTGTTCAAAATGAGATGATGAAGTTGCTCGATTGTGACCGCGGGGCAAATCGAAAGCTTTATAAATAACCCCACCAAACGAGATTATCTTAATAATGCGATTGCCGGGGTGAGTAACTTGACACGCGCTGAACAATTGTGGAACGTGAATAAGGCTGGATTCCTGGCAAACGAATAACCACTCACTCAGACTGGTGGTGTATTCAAGTTGCGTCTTGCCTTTTCAGAAAGTTCATCAAAGAAGGGAAGTTGGAGTGGCCGATGGAGTCATCTTCCCGGGCGGCATTGGAATAAAAGTGGGGCATGCCAAGCCCGTGATGTCGACGAAGCTCTCCTCGGAGCTCTTTTAAAATCAGTCGCTTTAACATGCCCCGGAGCTTCCAGCACTGCTTATACATGCGTTTAGGACTATCACCGGACACAGGGGCTGTTCTTTGATGTATCCTTCTTGCTGTTTGTTAAGGGCTTAGGCTTTCCTACCTGTTAGCGACATGACAAAAGTACCATGTCGACAACTGGTCTCACTCGACGGCATTACAACGTGGAAGCTTCGAGTGATGTACAGGTCTGCTCAAGCAAACACCAAGGCCAGGTTCAGGTAGCAGATGCCAAAGTTGTAGTTGTAGAATGTAGAGTCTAGGTTGCAGGTTACGGATGCGTCAAGCTTCCGACAACTTCCAGACCACTCTTGCAGTACCTATGCAAACAGCATGGTTTGAATGTTTTTTGACAGCCGAGCAAATTGGGACAAAAATAGTATTTGAAATCCAATCATATATATATCATATATATTTCATACTCAGCCCGAACGACGAGGTGCTCTTGGGATCACAAAACACAACATCAATGCTGGTTTCAACAGCATGCTACCAATGTCAATAATCACGGTTTCAGGCCCATGAAATAGACGAGTGCTCACAAACGGCACCTGACAGAACTTGCGTTGAAATTGACGACAGCTAGTGTATCAGACGGGACTCGGAAGGCATTCACTCAGCTCTCGTCGCCAACCCGAATCAAGCTCCCAAGGACATCATAACACGGCAAGGTTCGGGTCGACATCCCCGCTATTTCAGCCTCCCCCCCTCCACCGTGGCGGTGCACGGATGCCGGAGAACAGACGCCGAAAGCTGCCAAGGTGGTGACGACGGGCGCAATGTGGGGTCACGGCACCACGAAACAAGGAGGCTGAACTAGTCGAGTTTTCGCTGGTTGGCTGCCTTTTTACCTCGATCCCTCCCGCCAATCCTTCCCTTTCTTTCTTCTTCCTCCTTCCTCCATGCGAACTATGAAACCCCCGCCATGACAACTCTGTGCACACTTTCCTGTCGCCGCCTTTTACTCCCTTTCCACGTCTAAGGCTCGCGCTCTTTAATTCCTTCTTTTTCCATTTTCGAGTTGATTCAATTTGCGTCGCTTTTCTTCTTTTCACCGCATACCACGCGCATACTGCATTTAACATCAGCTGCTGCAGCCAGCGCGCTTTGCCAATGTCTGAATTTCTTGGGTATGTTGGCCACTCCCACCCCGCCATCGCCTGATGGTTCTCGTCATATTCCTCACGCTTCCCCTTCCCTCGCCCTCGAGATGCCTCATTCGCTAACATATCGCTCGCCATTCAGCTCTCGGATATCCTTGATATCGAGGAGCGACATCCGGTAGGCTCTAGCCTCTGCATCCTGCTAGGCTTGGCAGCCCCGCTGACCGTCATTTCAGCTATGTCGGTACCTTGCACAACATCAACTCGGAGGAGTCTACCGTCTCCCTAGAGAATGTCCGGTCATTCGGAACAGAGGGTCGCAAGCACAATCCCGAGGAGGAAGTGCCCGCCTCTGACCAGGTCTACGAGTATATCGTTTTCCGCGGCAGCGATGTGAAGGATCTCCGCATAGAAGAGGGTCCTTCGGCTCCCAAGGAGAACAAGCCTCCGATCCCCGATGATCCCGCAATCCTCGGCGTAAGTCTCCATTCCCACCCGTCACTCCACCCACCAAACCCACATCATGATGAAATATTTCCGGATGTAAAATTACATTTTGTCTGAAAAGCGCAAAAACAATGTTGAGATTTCCGTTGCCTTCCTTCTGATCTGTGGTTCAACCATACCTTTCTTTCACCTTCGTCACACCGGCTTCCACAATTGCTAACATGGAATGCTTAGGCTCGTCCCCGTCAGCCCAATGTCGCACCGGGCCCTCCTGGGCCTCCAGGCCCACACGGTCCTCCCCTCGGTCAAGCCGGCGCGCCCGGTCACCAAGGTCCGCCGCCTCCTGGCGCCCCTGGCGCCCCTGGCTTTGGTTACTATCCTCCTCACATGGGTGGTTGGGGACGTGGTGGTGCTCCTGGTGCTCCTCCCAATGCATTCGGTGGCATGCCGTACCCCCCTCCCCCCGGATGGTTCCCTCCCGGTCAGGAGTTCCCCATGGGCCCCGGTCCCGGTCCGTGGAACAACTACCCCTACCCGCCTGGTCCTGGTGTCGCTCCGGGTGGCGTTCCGGGCCAGGGAGGTCGCCAGTCTGCGAACCAGACCCCGAGCAGCCAGGCTCCCGGCCCGAAGCCTGCACCTATTGGTCCCGCGGGAGACAAGAAAGGACCGTCTACGCCAAGCCAGGCTCAACAGCAACCCCAGCAGCACGAGCTGTCTGCCGATGTGCCCAAGTCTTTTGGTCAGCAGCCTGCTGCCGGTGCCCCCTCTTTGCCCAACGATTCAAAGCCCACTGTTGAGGAGGTTAAAGCCACTGCTGCGTCTCTAAACAATGCCGCTCCTTCTGGTCCTGCCTCCCAACAGAAGAACATTCCCACTGGTCCTAAGGGCAACACCACTCGTCCCACCCAGATTCTTCCTGCTGTTCCGCTACCCGCTGCCCTTACTGCGAGACCCGTTCAGCCGACGGCTGGATCCGCCAAGCCTGAGATTGGAGGCGGACCGATGAGCGCGGCCCAGTTGCGTGACGCTACCCAGCAGGCTAGAGCGGCCGTCGCTGTTGCTATGGCTAATATGGTCAAGCTAGATGGCCAAGTAGCTACCCAGCAGCAAGCAACCGCCGCTGCTGTTGACAATCTCACCAAGCGGGTTAACGAGATGAATGTCAACGCCGCTGCGTCTGCTTCCGCCCCTCGCGCCCCCTTGAACCATAACGCAGCCGCTGCCAACCGCGGTGGTCGGGCTCGTGGTCCTCGTCCGGCCAAGGTTGAGGTCCCTGACTCAGACTTTGACTTCGAGTCCTCTAATGCCAAGTTCAACAAGCAAGAAATTGTTAAGGAGGCTATCGCTGGTTCTCCCCTTGGCGAGGAGCCGGCAATTGAATCGGCTGCTCCCGAAGTTGTTCCCGATGTCTCCGGTGTTGCCCAGCAAGCCTACAACAAGAGCAAGTCATTCTTTGACAACATCTCAAGTGAGGCCAAGGACAGAGCTGAGAACAATGGCCAGAAGCCGGGTGGTCGCGAGTGGCGTGGTGAGGAACAACGCCGCAACATCGAGACCTTCGGTCAAGGCAGTGTTGATGGTGGCTACCGCGGCTATCGCGGTGGCAGAGGTCGTGGTCGCGGTGGTCGTGGCCGCGGCTTCCGTGGTGGAAGAGGTGCGAGCAACGGCTTCCCTCGCCGTGATGCGCCCGCCGCTGCACAGTAATATCGCTTTTCGTGACTTGCCCAGTATTTTGACGGGCTCTGTGGCGCTGTGAACGAACATTTCCTTTTTCGAAGCCTCTAGGTTTGGGACTGAGCATGATTTTTATTGAACGGAGGCAAAGGCTTGTAGCCCGGAGTTTCTTTGGGAGTTGTGGCATGATGCTATGAATTGGGACGACCCAGGGCAGGCGATATAGCGAGAGTGATTTTCCAGGTTCTAATCAAAGGGATAGCGGGAGTGGGCAGCACTCTCGTTGAGGCTGGCCGCAGCATGGCCACCGCCGCTAAACCGCGCAACGTCTTTTACCCTCCAGCCATAACAGCATGGAGGATGATAATCACTGGATAGATGCGACCAGAGGCATCACCTACGTTGATTGGTATTTTATTGTGCACGCAAATCAACAGCAGCATGGGGTCTGTATGGGAAGGGTTTGCCCTCGAGATGGAAGCGCAGCGGGACTGGAGTCGGACAGACAAGAGGCAAGCTGCTGCCCTACAGACACATGAAACGGACGAATTCGGAGGACATGACGATCAGGTTGACTTCAAAGACACCTTTGCTGCGCCTGGATAATCAAAGCCATCAAACCCTCCCTATCTCACCAACTCGTGCAATCAATGGGCCCTCTATGATGCAAAGCTTGAGACCATATCATTTGATGTCTTGGTGCACATTTGCCGCCCTTTTCGTAGACAGCATCATACAATATATTATCCAAATGAAGTCACAACCATTTTATTTCATCCTCATGATATGCCACTCGGCGTGAAGTGCACTGGTGTCTGTTCAAGATTTCAAGTCAAACTTCTCATCTTGGTTCACCGATGGTGTGTCTGTTATCAAGTTTCCGTCTATGCTCTGTGAAAGAAGACTCGCTCCGTTATCCAGTTTCTGTCAGCTGTTAACAACCCATCTTTGAAAATCATGTTGACCTACTTCCTCAAGACCAGCTCGCTGCCCTGAGTGCTATGAATGCTAAGTATGGATTGTCAAGCATCAACAATCCCTGACCGGCTCTCGATGAATATTCACGAAAATCATGAAGAGTCGGGACACGACGAGTAGAAAACAACCCTGCATCTGGTCAGGTCCAGTCACTTGGCTGTTTTTCAACCCTGTTCACTTGCTTCTCTGTTTGCGATGTCTCATGATTGGTGATGGGGATTCTGAAGTTGTGCTAGTACTCGAGTCAGTCTTTTTACCTGTAACGCGCAAGCTCTGTAACGATTTGGGATATCTCAACCCACCTTCAAGAGTTTAATACCAAACTTTATTTCTGATGCCTCCCGGTAGTCTTCTTTCAAGGGAATGTCTTTGCATTGAATTTGCTTTAGGATTGGCTAAGGAAAAGGATTCAAGATATTGAGGAGAGCTTCGGCCAGAACCCTAACCCTGACCAAACATTGCCTGCAAATCCCTGAAATCCAAGGGTTGGATGATGGATAAAAACGGTCATCGAGCGTGCAATCCATGGATTGAGGATATGAAAAATTCCAGTGATGCTCTTTACATGTGTAACTTTGATTTGGTATATTGTAGTAGCAGTATCGTTTAATTTAGTTGAGTAATTGTTGTTGAAGCTCCAAAACCGTTGCAGAGCTTGCGCGTTACAAGTAAAAAGACCGACTTCTCAGAGGGACTATGAGAGTTGGTTGGCTGGCGAAGCGAATCTACCTAACCGACGAGTATGTTAGTATCTTAGTACCTATTCGCAATGGGCACGGTACTTCTGTTGTATTTCTTTCCATGCCGTCACAACGGCGGTGGCAAAGCAAAACCAGCAATCACATACAGTACATACATCCGTCCAGTTGATGAAAAAAAAATAAAAATTTTGAACGAAAAAGAAATGATTGCGAAGGGAAAAAACATAAAACACCAAGGATTCGCTGGTCGTCACCGACCCAACTACTAGTCTGGCCCTCAGTGTTCTTATCTATGGGAGCGGGAAGGACAGGAAACAGGTCTTTTAATCACGTGGTGGGGTCAAAACACTGAACCACCAGCTCCCATATCTATATCGTTCGGACGGAGGCATTACGGTGAATGGGAAGCCGGCGCTAACATGATTGATATAATTGGGCGGATTAAAAGAAAAGTTAACCGTCCTAACACTGCGGCATCAGCCTACCTCTTCCCTTCCATCCTGGCACGTCATAACCATGCGGTTGGCTTGCAACACTTCTCTCTCATCCGCGCATATAGACCATCCAGCCCGGACGGAAATTTGCGTAGCATTTCTTCAGTACACCATTTCTTAACCTCCGGGCCTGCAAGTACTTGGCACACCAACGCCACCCAGAGCGTGTCCTGCGCGTTGGAGCGCAAGTAGTCCTGAACGGTCTTTTTCGTGGTGGAGTTGTACTTTTTCAGCTCTCTTAGTTAGTCCACTTTGTATAAGATGAATGCATCGACAGCTGCCGCAACGGATTCCGCATTTAGCTCCAGGGAGACTTTCAAGCGGTCTTCTTATATATTGATCTTCGAACCCGTTCCGGAGTCCCGAATTTTCGGGACTCCGGGACCCTGGGTTCGGGTTGCCTCCTATTGGTCAATCTATCTAGTTTACATACGGGGTTTCTGATTGGATCGTAACATTCTTCCTCGGTCCTCCTGCTGTAGAATACGAGTACGTGCAGGGTTGTAAAAGTATGGCCAGCGAGGCAAATAGAGAAGGAGGCGTGAGCGGTAGAAGAGCACCGGAAGCAAGAACTCATATACAAAGCCAAATCAAGCCACCAAAGTAGAGCGCTTCGTCTTTATATTTTTTCAGAACTTTTTGTTGATGATAATTGTATGATGTTCATTACGGCGAACTTTGGCAGGCGCGAACTTGACGATGTCATTGATTGTATCCAATCTACACAGTCGACTCACAATGGTACATAGTCAATTTATCCAGCCCAGCCACCGCGTAAGCTAGCAACTCCCACATATTCCCCAGTACCGTTTTGGCCAGACACTGTAGTTATA